GTTTCTTCTTTTAATATTCATTAAAAGAAATATAATTTTACCTGAAGAGGGCAAAATCAGCACGAGCACAGATTTGATGCATTACATGTCCGAATTCATGGAAATATGTTTCGACCTAAAAAAAAAAAAAAAAGTAATTTACAATATAAAATACCAAAGTACACCATGAAGATCACACAGCTGAAAAAAAAAAAAAGGATTTGCCTATCCCATTCCAATGCTTTTGAAAACAAATAGCAGATGGTCTGTGTGGAACTCCATAAAACTAGCACAGGCACAAGAAGTGTGTTACAAAGCATCCTTTTATATGCAGCAAAAGGGCATTAATTCTTTACGCATCAAGACACTCACCATCCATTTAAACATTACCTTTTGTATACAATATATTTCTAAACTTTTTCTATGTTATTCTTCTCTCAAGTTAAACCATTCGATTTCAAATGTTAGTGTAACTCAATCTGCTTATGGTTACTTTAAAAAAAAAAATTTTTTTTTACATTTCATTAAAATTCAAAGACTGTAACAATAAGTATTCACACCTTGAGAAAGAAACTTTTAGTTTCTTGAAAATGATTTTTCCCTGAATAGACAGCATACCCTGGGTATACCAATTGGAGCTGCAAGACAGGAATACCCTGTGGGAGCCACCCGTCCTTACATCAACCAGAACAGAATGGGAGTTAGTCTAAAACACTTGCAGACACACTCAGGAGGAGGTCGGTGCGCTTATGGTCATGTCCAATGTGCGATGAAGAAGATCTCAATAATGAACAATGAAAAAAAAAAAGTTGTGAGGTTAAAAACTGCCTGGGATGGAAAGAGTTTATATCCTTACCCACACCAGACTACAGGGTACACTGGGCAATACTTGAGGCTCCCCCTGTGGGTTGGGGAAAGGGGGGGGGGGGGTTGTTGGTTAAGAGGCTGACAAATGATAAACTCATTTCACTCTATGCCTTCAACCAGTCACCACCACATAATACCAAAATACACATGTAACAAGCTCCCTCTGTGGTTTCCAGAGCCCCATTTGTGGGGGAAAGAGGGGGGGGGGGGGGGGGGATTGGAGGACAGACCTACTACCTCCCAAACAAGAATGTCATAAAAGTTGACTAATTAGAAGTTTTAAATTGGCATACATCTGCCTGAGAAGCAGGAAACCTATAGTCTGCATACAAATAAGCCACATCTGTAAAACTGGATGTGCACGCAAAACTCATGTGCTAGAACAAAATTTAAGTCCACAAATGGACAAACAAGCAGAAATTTCCACCATGGTTTACAGCCGGTGAATGTGAAGAAGAAGAAGAGATGCAACAAGCATAAAGTGCAGACATGTGTGAATTATAGATGTGAACAACAAATTTTAAAATATGTCACTAGCTGGACTACAACAATGATGATGCTGCAATGACAGCAAAGATTCTTCATCTCAGCAAAGTAACAAACCTCGTTGTGTGTCAGGAGTGACGGCTGAGTTGAAGTTGGCTTTGTAAAATTAGCAACCATGGCAGCAACAGCAATTTGTCTTGTGTTGTCCGATGAAAGACATCCAGGCTGAAATATAGCGGGAAAATGCATCTTTCATACACAAGTGTCAGTTAACTTCTCTGCTTAACGCAATATAAATTTTAGGAAGATATGAATTCTCATGTCTTACCAGGAAAGCGATTATGGTAAATAAAACTGATGTCCCCTATTTGGGTTCAGAGGCCTCATTGTAGGGGCAAAGAAGATTAAACACACTACCCTCAAATAAGCATGTTGTAAAAGTTGACTAATTAGGGTATTTCTTTCAAAGTCAGAGTGCAAGGAACCAACAGTCTGCGCACATATCAGCCAGATCTGTAAAATAAACGTGCGGGCAAAACTCAAAATCTGGACCAAGACTAAAGTCCAGAAGTGGACAAATAGCCAGAACTTTCTGCCGGAGTTTGCAGCCGGTGAAGGCGAGAAGAAAGAAATTAATGTGAAAGGCACAGATATCATAGCGTGGTTGTAAATGGAAACAACGTCATGCTATCTACAACAAAAGATATCAGATGCAATACCTGAAACAGAAGTAAACATCTATGTGGATAACGGTAATCAGTAAAAGTACCGATTTTCTCTTAAAGCTAAATCTTGAGCAGCATATACCACATCTGACATCCCACACTGTGCTAACAGCTTCGGGTGAAGGAGCAATTTGGAGAGGATACTAACAATTAGGGCTGTACCGAATAGTGATTTTCACTATTCGGCCGAATACGAATAGCGGAACCAACTATTCGGCCGAATACGAATAGTGTATAAAATTTTCTTTAAAAAAAATATTCATAATGTCAAATGTATGCTGAACTTTTACTTCACATAAAGTAGCACAGAATAGTCATCTTCTTCTTTAGCATTCTGAGCCCTTAAAGTTTACTGCTGCAGATATCACTCGTCTTCATTCATCTCTCTGGCTGGCCTTCTCTTCACAATTTGTGACACCAGTTGTTTGCAGGTCTGGCTGAACATGATCTATTAAACTTCTTTTTTGTCTGCCTTATGGTCTACGCCCATTCCTCTCTCAGGTGTATACAGTTTTTACTTTTCTGTCATCTGACATGCTTTCAATATGCCCCAATCATTTTAGTCTGTTAGCTCTCATGATGCCAGTGATCAATGGTGATTTAAACAGATTATGTGTTGCGTTGTTGCTTCTCACTCTCCATTCCCCACTGTTAGCATCTTTGATGGGTTCAAAGATTTGTCATAAGACCGTTTTCAAAAACCTGTAATAAGCCCTCATCTCTTTTATTTCTGCTTCAGGTTTCAGAACCATATAAAACGACTGGTCTTATCAATGTTTTATATATTTTGATCTTGGTATTGCGAGACAGACACTTTGACTTTAGTAGATGTCGAAGGGCATAGTATACTTTATTTCTAGATTGTATTCTAGATTTTCTTTCTTCTCTCAGCATTGTTGGAGCAGTTGAAGTTTGCACCCAAGTACTTATATGTTTCCGTTCATTTGATTTTCATATTATCGACTTGGATGTGGCCGGAGTTTATATTCTTTTCATGTCTAGTTAGTATTCGTACAGTCAGTCTGTGGTAACTAATAACTAGGAATGAAAGAATTCTAAGTATTATAACAAGTAACTAAACTTGGAAATTGTCACTGACAGCTTAGTTAATGCAGGAAAGCTGCATTAGCTTTCAACAAAACCAATCGTTCCATGTTGTCAGCATTAAGGCCGTGTATGCAGAAGCGGGTGTAAGGTAACTACTATTCGTATTTGGCTTGACCGTAACTATTCGGCCGAATACCGAATAGTAAATTGGTCCATTGTTCGGCCCCGAAGCGAATACAAAGCGAATATTCGGTACAGCCCTACTAACAATATCCTGGTTTAAGAAAATATGGCCTGAAAACTTTATGCTTTGGCAGAGCACACCAGGCCCTTAGCCTTGAAAGACAGCTGGTCTAGAAGCAAAGCTCTGATAGACAGACAGAGCATTGCTCTTCTGATCCGGCTGCTTCTGCAGCCTGCTTTGCTCCAAACATATTGGTGTTACTTCTCTACTGGAGTAAACAAGGCAGACTGAAAGAGGGATCATATAGCATGGCCAAAACATGATCTCTTCAATATACTGCCCAGGCTTTGTGCTATGGAGAGGAGATGACTCATTATAACCCTACCTTTCAACTGGCTATGAATCCCATGTCTCAAAACATCTAGAAAGAAGAAAAGATACAGACGATACTGATAACTGTAATGTAACAGAAAAGTGAGACCTGTAATCTAACAGAATGACACTGTATGGACAGTACTGCTACTTCAGAATGACACTGTGTGGACAATTCTGCTACTTCAGAATGAAACCATGTGGACAGTACTGCAACTTCAGAATGTCACTGTATGGACAGTACTGGTACTTTAGAATGACACCATGTGGACAGTACTGCTACTTCAGAATGACACTGTATGAACAGTACTGCTACTTCAGAATGACACAGTGTGGACAGTACTGCTACTTCAGAATGACACTGTATGGACAGTACTGCTACTTCAGAATGACACTGTGTTGGACAGTACTGCTATTTCAGAATGTCACTGTATGCACAGTATTGGTACTTCAGAATGACACCATGTGGATAGTACTGCTACTTTAGAATGATACCGTGTGAACAGTACTGCTACTTCAGAATGTCACTGTATGGACAGCACTGCTACTTCAGAATGACACTGTATCGAACAGTACTGTGACTTCAGAATGACATGGTGTGGACATAACTGCTACTTCAGAATGACACCATGGACAGTACTGCTACTTCAGAATGACACCGTGGACAGTACTGCTACTTCAGAATGACACTGTGTGGACAGTACTGCTACTTCAGAATGACACTGTGTGGACAATACTGCTACTTCAGAATGAAACCATGTGGACAGTACTGCAACTTCAGAATGTCACTGTATGGACAGTACTGGTACTTTAGAATGACACCATGTGGACAGTACTGCTACTTCAGAATGACACTGTGTGGACAGTACTGCTACTTCAGAATGACACTGTGTGGACAATACTGCTACTTCAGAATGACACCATGTGGACAGTACTGCTACTTCAGAATGACACCATGTGGACAGTACTGCAACTTCAGAATGACGGTGTATGGACAGTACTGCAACTTCAGAATGACGGTGTATGGACAGTACTGCTACTTCAGAATGACACCATGTGGACAGTACTGCTACTTCACAATGACACAGTCTGGACAGTACTGCAACTTCAGAATGACGGTGTATGGACAGTACTGCAACTTCAGAATAACATGGTGTGGACATAACTGCTACTTCAGAATGACACTGTGTGGACAGTACTGCTACTTCAGAATGACACCATGTGGACAGTACTGCTACTTCAGAATGACACCGTGTGAACAGTACTGCTAATTCAGAATGACACCATGTGGACAGTACTGCTACTTCAGAATGACACATGAATGTAGACAGGTACAATACCTGTAATCCAAAGCATGCGGCATGCCCATATTTGCCTTCTCGAGGATGTAAATCCAGGTAGAAGTAGCCAATCAGCTCATCACTGTTCTTATCTTTCACACTGTACTGTAAATAAAGCAATTACATTTCCATCATCAGATTGTTGACGGCAGGATAATCATGCTTGAAATAAACAAAGGATTACCGGATATTCAAAACAATATTTCCTCAATGTAAATTTAAATTATGCATGTAACAACACATGTTCTACATAGCACTTCAACACTTTTTCTCACTGCAAGAGACATCTTCTTTTTGGCTAGAATCTGTTGCATCTTGCTACAGATCACTTTTGCCATGGCGATTCTTGTTCTAATTTCTGAAAGGCATCTTGCATCATATATTATGACTGTTCCAAGATAGTTTCAGATTGATTTCACATACACTCTTAATTCTAGAGTCCAGAAGTGAACGAACAACTAAAACTTTCTGCCGGTGAACACGAAGAATAAGAAGAAGATTACTCTTGAAGGAAATGTACGACTGGTTAAAGTCCTAGTCTTCTTCTAATGTCTTCATTTTTTATTGCACCTCTTATGTTAGTCTGGTAGCTCTTCAATGTATCTCATGTTACTCCAGCTCATTGTATCTCTTATGTTAGTCCTGCAGCTCTTTATTGTATCTCTTATGTTAGTCCTGCAGCTCTTTATTGTATCTCTTATGTTAGTCCTGCAGCTCTTCATTGTATCTCTTATGTTAGTCCTGCAGCTCTTTATTGTATCTCTTATGTTAGTCCTGCAGCTCTTTATTGTATCTCTCATGTCAGTCCGGCAGCTCTTCATTGTATCTCTCATGTAAGTCCGGCAGCTCTTCATTGTATCTCTTATGTCAGTCCGGCAGCTCTTTATTGTATCTCTTATGTAAGTCCGGCAGCTCTTCATTGTATCTCTTATGTAAGTCCGGCAGCTCTTCATTGTATCTCTTATGTTAGTCCTGCAGCTCTTTATTGTATCTCTTATGTTAGTCCTGCAGCTCTTTATTGTATCTCTTATGTAAGTCCGGCAGCTCTTTATTGTATCTCTTATGTCAGTCCGGCAGCTCTTTATTGTATCTCTTATGTAAGTCCGGCAGCTCTTCATTGTATCTCTTATGTTAGTCCGGCAGCTCTTCATTGTATCTCTTATGTTAGTCCTGCAGCTCTTTATTGTATCTCTTATGTAAGTCCGGCAGCTCTTCATTGTATCTCTTATGTTAGTCCGGCAGCTCTTCATTGTATCTCTTATGTTAGTCCTGCAGCTCTTTATTGTATCTCTCATGTCAGTCCGGCAGCTCTTTATTGTATCTCTCATGTCAGTCCGGCAGCTCTTCATTGTATCTCTTATGTTAGTCCGGCAGCTCTTTATTGTATCTCTTATGTCAGTCCGGCAGCTCTTCATTGTATCTCTCATGTAAGTCCGGCAGCTCTTCATTGTATCTCTTATGTCAGTCCGGCAGCTCTTCATTGTATCTCTTATGTTAGTCCGGCAGCTCTTCATTGTATCTCTCATGTTAGTCCTGCAGCTCTTTATTGTATCTCTTATGTTAGTCCTGCAGCTCTTTATTGTATCTCTTATATTAGTCCAGCAGCTCTTTATTGTATCTCTCATGTCAGTCCGGCAGCTCTTCATTGTATCTCTCATGTAAGTCCGGCAGCTCTTCATTGTATCTCTTATGTTAGTCCGGCAGCTCTTCATTGTATCTCTTATGTTAGTCCGGCAGCTCTTCACTGTATCTCTTATGTCAGTCCGGCAGCTCTTTATTGTATCTCTTATGTTAGTCTGGCAGCTCTTTGTTGTATCTCTCATGTAAGTCCGGCAGCTCTTCATTGTATCTCTTATGTAAGCCCGGCAGCTCTTCATTGTATCTCTCATGTTAGTCCTGCAGCTCTTTATTGTATCTCTTATGTTAGTCCTGCAGCTCTTTATTGTATCTCTTATATTAGTCCTGCAGCTCTTTATTGTATCTCTCATGTCAGTCCGGCAGCTCTTCATTGTATCTCTCATGTAAGTCCGACAGCTCTTCATTGTATCTCTTATGTTAGTCCGGCAGCTCTTCATTGTATCTCTTATGTTAGTCCGGCAGCTCTTCATTGTATCTCTTATGTCAGTCCGGCAGCTCTTTATTGTATCTCTTATGTTAGTCCTGCAGTTCTTTATTGTATCTCTTATGTTAGTCCGGCAGCTCTTCATTGTATCTCTTATGTTAGTCCTGCAGCTCTTCGTTGTATCTCTTATGTTAGTCCAGCAGCTCTTTATTGTATCTCTTATGTCAGTCCGGCAGCTCTTTATTGTATCTCTTATGTTAGTCCTGCAGCTCTTTATTGTATCTCTCATGTCAGTCCGGCAGCTCTTCATTGTATCTCTTATATTAGTCCTGCAGCTCTTCGTTGTATCTTTTATGTTACTCCAGCTCATTGTATCTCTTATGTTAGTCTGGCAGCTCTTTGTTGTATCTCTTATGTTAGTCCGGCAGCTCTTCATTGTATCTCTTATGTTAGTCCTGCAGCTCTTCATTGTATCTCTTATGTTAGTCCTGCAGCTCTTTATTGTATCTCTCATGTCAGTCCGGCAGCTCTTCATTGTATCTCTTATATTAGTCCTGCAGCTCTTCGTTGTATCTTTTATGTTACTCCAGCTCATTGTATCTCTTATGTTAGTCTGGCAGCTCTTTGTTGTATCTCTTATGTTAGTCCGGCAGCTCTTCATTGTATCTCTTATGTTAGTCCTGCAGCTCTTCATTGTATCTCTTATGTTAGTCCTGCAGCTCTTTATTGTATCTCTCATGTAAGTCCGGCAGCTCTTCATTGTATCTCTTATATTAGTCCTGCAGCTCTTCGTTGTATCTTTTATGTTACTCCAGCTCATTGTATCTCTTATGTTAGTCTGGCAGCTCTTTGTTGTATCTCTTATGTTAGTCCGGCAGCTCTTCATTGTATCTCATATGTTAGTCCTGCAGCTCTTCATTGTATCTCTTATCTTAGTCCTGCAGCTCTTCATTGTATCTCTTATATTAGTCAGGCAGATCTTCATTGTATCTCTTATATTAGTCAGGCAGATCTTCATTGTATCTCTTATGTTAGTCTGGCAGCTCTTCAATATATCTTATGTTACTCCAGCTCATTGTATCTCTTATGTTAGTCTGGCAGCTCTTTGTTGTATCTCTTATGTTAGTCCGGCAGCTCTTCATTGTATCTCTTATGTTACTCCTGCAGCTCTTCATTGTATCTCTTATATTAGTCCTGCAGCTCTTCATTGTATCTCTTATGTTAGTCCTGCAGCTCTTCATTGTATCTCTTATATTAGTCCTGCAGCTCTTCAGTGTATTTCTTATGTTAGTCCGGCAGCTCTTCATTGTATCTCTTATGTTAGTCCTGCAGCTCTTCATTGTATCTCTTATATTAGTCCTGAAGCTCTTCATTGCACCTCTTATGTTAGTCTGGTAGCTCTTCAATATATCTTATGTTACTCCAGCTCATTGTATCTCTTATGTTAGTCCTGCAGCTGTTTGTTGTATCTCTTATGTTACTCTGGCAGCTTTTCTAAGACATATCATTTCTCTCATCATTTATACACATTTAGATCAACATATCTGATGTCTTCTTCTTCTTCGCGTTCACTAGCTCTAAACTCCAGCAGAAAGTTCTGGTTGATTGTCCACCTCTGGACTTTAGTCTTTTTCCAGAACCTGAGTGTTGCGTGCACATCTGTTTAACAGATCTGACTAAATTATATGCACATTGTTGATTCCTTGCCTCTCAGGCAGATGCACTCTGACTTTGAAGGAAGCCCTCAATTAGATCTGTACGTTCAATAGGTATACTTACTAAAGTAACATCTTCATGCCAAACATCAGCATCTGACACTTGACTGAACTCCAGCCCAAGCAATTCCTGTTGAAACACAATCAAAATAAACGTTAACAATGAGAATAGTAATTGTAGAAAGGTGAGGAGTGCAGATAAAAAAGGGGGAAAAGTCGGAGACATAAAACAAATAAAAAAGCGGAACAGTCGGACAACTATGTGCGACAACTAAAGACAAGACCACCTGTTGCGAGCTGGTTGAGAGAATATATTCCATTGGAAAATAAAGGACAGAATGAGAAAGAGGAACATACAAGAATTCCAACATTTGCTGACATAAAATAGAACCATCAATATTACACCACACAGCAGGAGATAAATACGACATAACCAAGAACTTCTTGTTCTGCGTGTACCCTTATAGGGCAGTTATCAATTTTATAGAACTGTGTAGTGTTAAATTAACCTGCATAGGTAGGGTGCTTAGTATTTCTATTTCAACATTTGAACTTTGTATTGAATATGACGCAGGAAGCTTTATTTCTTCTGTGCTCACTCATAGCAGTTCGGCTGGTATGCTGTATTGTGGTTTACAGCCGGGCTGCAATATCTGTGATCTGCCCAACACATCCAATTTCAGCAAAATCCTAATTAGTCGTCTTTCATGATATGTAGTGGGTATGTTATTATACGTCCCTGGAACCCACAGAGGAATTACAAAACTTGCAAGAATTCTAACATATCTTCAGACAAAACAGAAGATTTGCACACCCCCGTGTGGGTTCCGGGGCCCTATTAGAGGGAAAACAAGAATAGACCCACTTCCTACCCAAAAGCATGTCGTAAGAGTCGAATAATTGGGAGCTTCCTTTCGAAGTCGGAGTGAATCTGCCTGAGAAGCAAGGAACCAACAGTCTGCACACAAATGCGTAAGATCTGTCAAACGGATGCACACGCAACAATCAGTTTCTGGAACAGGACTGCAGTTCACCAAAGTTTACAGCTGGTGAACGCAAAGAAGGCAAAGAAAAAGAAGATTTGCACACATCATTACATCACAGTAGAGGTCAGCCTCCACACCCAGATTATCCCGCACAGACAGAACAGGATGATAACACAACCCAGTGACAAACTGCACTCACCTGGTAAATCTGTAGAAGACCGCTTGTGACCACAGACATAGGAAAATATTCCTTGAGTTTCTGCTGATCGACAGCATACTTCTTCTCCTCAGTCATTGTCATGTAGTACCGGAGGTCCCAGTTGTTGATTTTATTATCAAACTCATAACCAAACTCTTCGCACTGTGAACATACATGAGACATTTTTCAAGATTTCAGTGGCATTGTTTTCCTAATACCATGGCAATTTACTAGATGACCGTATTTCCCTAGATTATCATGGCTATCTTATTCTGCTGTCGCTTTTCAACATGGCAGTTGGCACATCATGTTGTGGATTACAGATAGGCAGCGATACCCGAACCTTTAGGCCCCCTACAATCCAACTGAAGAAAACTAATTAGTTGTCTTTTATGTCCTGCTTGCCAAGGGACAGTGGGTCTATTCTTCTCCCCCGCACACCAAACAGACGAAATGCCATAGTATATTGTCAGAGTTTCAATGTGTCAGTGCATATATAATTTCAAACTTCACTGTGCCTGTCTGTCCAAACATAATTTTTTTCTTCATCATGCACAGAACCAACAAATCATAAAAATAAACAGCTAGCAACAACAACAACAGCAAAACCAAAATACCAGACTCAATACTTACCTCCTTTTGTTTATACTGCAAAAACAGATCCACCTCTTCTTTTCTTAGATCCTGCAACTTGACAGCCAGGCTTGACAGAAACTCTGCTACCGTTTCTGGATTTTTGGCCATACGCATTTCCAAGACAAACTGTGCGTGAGTTTTGTATCCCAGCAGGACAGCTTTCTAAAAAAAATTAAAAAAAAAAAAGAATTGGCCACAATATCGTCATGAAGTGAGATGTTGCATTGTTGTTTTTTTATACTTTGTGGATCAGTACATCTAATATTAAAATTGTTCTGAGTTTAATTTTTGTAGCTACAGACAGCCCTTGCACTCAGACTGTCCCCCCCCCCCCCCACCCTTAGGGGGTCAAGGGTTACATTTTAGGATTTAAAAAAAAAAAAACCAGACCCACTGCATTCCTTCCGCCAACAAGCATGTCATAAGAGGCGACTAATTAGGGGCGTTTCCTTCAAAGTCAGAATGCATCTGCCTGACAGGCCAGTAACCAATTGTCTGCACACAAACAGATCTGTAAAATGGATCTGCACGCAAAACACACATTCTGGAACAAGAGTAAATTCTAGAAGTCGATGAACAATCAGAAATTTCCGCTGAAGTTAAAGACGGTGAACATTAAGAAAAAGAAATAAAACAGAGAGCAGACCTAGAGGTTGCCAACGCAAGCGATGGATAGATGGAATATCTGATGCTATGAATACCAGCATGTGTGTAGCACATACGAAAGCTTGCACCCGAAGCCACTTCAAAACCTGGTGCTGAAAGGCAGAACAGGGACTAGATAAACTAAGAAAGAAGATTTCCTCATCCACTGACTGCCCACAATCTACTTACAAATCAGCAGGTTTGTATGTCCCCTCTATCTGGTTCCTATTCATTCACCTCTCTGACATGGGAGACCTACCACTAGCCATAGCATACTTTTTGGGATCACTGGAATGCACAATACCTCTAGTATTTCATGGTGAATCCAAACCAGGGAAGAATCTCAGTAAGTATTTAAGCGTATATAAATAGCTGTGATTATGGTAAGCTCTTGTTTTAACGTCGGCTCTGTGGCTAAGTCGATGCGAACGCTTCGCTTCGTAATGCCGGGATGCCAGGTTCGATCCCAGCTGCAGGCAATGCGCCTTGCGTTGGTTTCGACAGTGGTATCAAGAAAGCCGCCCGCCCAGCAAGCAATGGCAAACTACTGGATGTAAATTGCCTAGAGAAACCACACAACAGCCAGGGGCTGTTAGGGTTGGTTCTGCAACGTCCTGTAACTAACTTGTTTTAACAGGCTAATAAAATGGACAGGATGTTGACTGAAACTGACAATCAATTAAACTGAAACAGAAACTAGGTAGCTATTTTTGTTTTGTTTTAATATGAAAAGATTTTCACTGTTGTCATCTTCTTCTTATTTGCATTCACCAGCTGTAAACTCTGGCAGAAAGTTCTGGTTCTTCATCCATCTCTGGACTTTAGACTTTTTCCAATACCTGAGTATTGCCTGCAAATCCATTTTACAGATCTGACTTATTTGTATGCAGACTCTTGCTTCCTTGCCCCTCAGACAGATGTACTCCGACTTTGAAGGAAACCCCCAATTAGTTGACTCTTATGACATGCTTGTTGGGGAGGAAGTGGGTCTATTCTTGTTTTCCCCACAGTGGGGCCCTGGAATCCACACGGGGAGTTGTTGATGTCAATATTCACTACTATGCCATATAAAATGTACATGTCATTTTCAAAATGCAGACACAAACAAGACATTGCACAGGTTATTACCCAGCATTTGTCGCTGTCTCTCGTCAGGTGCATTACTAAAGAGTTACATCGAAATACAATGAAGCCAAAAATGTAATGTGAATATTTACAACTTGTTAGTCTAGATTGCCTTACCTCATGCCGAAGTCTCACCAGCTCTTCTAAAATCGGAGTATTCTCTTTCAGGCATCTGAAATAAAGAAAAGTAAAGGGTTTTTTCTCAACATCTTGGGGCGTATTATTTACAAGGTATGAGCTCAACTTTCTTACAGACAACATTATAGACATTTTAACTCCTTCAGTGTCAAGGAAAAACGAAAATCATCGATCTTACCAACGAGTCGAAAGACATCAAACTAAAGGATATTGTTCTTGAAAAAATCACCAGCTTCACATACTTAGGGAGCAAGATAACCTCTGCGGGAGATACAACATCAGAAATAACGACTCGAATCGCGTTAGCATCAAGTGCCTTTAACAAACTGTCAAACATTTGGAAGTCAAGATCACTCAGCAACAACACGAAACTTAAGGTCTTCAATTCCTGTGTGATCCCAGTGCTAACTTATGGTTGTGAGAGTTGGAAATCATCAGTATCAATCGATAAGAAACTAGTCGCTTTCGAGAATAGATGCCTCCGAAAGCTATTGAATGTTCACTGGTCGGACTTTAGGTCCAATACATCTATAAGACAGGAAACAAAACAAAAATATGTGTCTGATTTTATTAGAATGCGTCGCTGGAATTACATCGGTCACGTACTCAGAATGGACATACAGAGACTTCCCCACCAAGCCTTCATATGGTCACCAGAGGGTAAAAGAAAACAGGGAAGACCAAAAGAAACTCTCCGTAGAACCATCACAAGGGAGAGCTCAACCATAGGTCTCAGTCGCACTCAAGACCTACATCAAGTGGCAACGAACCGACAGACGTGGAAAGCTATGACCTCTGCCCTATGCGCCATCTTTGGCACAAGAGGAATAACTAACTAAGTGTCAAGGAACTTGTCCTACAATTCATTAGTTAGTTCAAAGGCAGTACACAGTTCTCACACTTCTTCTGTAGAAGATTGTTCTTATATTAACTCACCAATCTGACATGTTCATTTTACTCCTTCTCCTATAGTGTTATCATGTAACTCAAAAAGTTACATAAAGACATCATCATGTAGCAGGTCCTTTGCAGAATGACGTCGTGCTCATCATGACCTGCTGAAAGAAACTCAGTCTCTTGCCAGCTCTAAAGCCACGTGCACTTTCCTACCCTATGTGTCACTTATATCCTGCGTCCATGTTCATGCTCGTCAACTCCTGCCCCTCTTTCCTGGTACCATACCTTTTCCAATCCACTTGATATGGCCAAAATATTTCAGTTTCTGAGACAAAATGTTATCTACCAGCCCATTTTCCTTGATGTTCAGATCTTTTAGGATATCAGTAAATAAAGACAATTTTCAGTAATTATCTGGTGTCTGTAAAGAATACAAGGATTAGAATGGTACGATAGAATCACTAATGTTGGGTTTAGGGAGAGATTTGGAAAACTGGCTGGTTCACTGGACAGAGAATCAAAAGAAAAGGAAAAGCTGCTGATGGTTGGGACACAATGAGAAAACATGTTAATAGTATAACTAGAACATCCTTTCTACAGAACCCACAACAGAAAAGGGAGGCTTAAATCTACCCAGAGAAAAGAAATATGAGACATGCATAATTCAGACAGGACATGGATGAATGTGCAGGAGAAGGTAACAGTTCTTCTTTTTTGACCAGCTGTAAGATCAGGTGAAGAAAAGTCATAGCTGTTCGTCCATCTGGACTCTGGCTTTGTGCCCATGGCTGCGTTTTGCACATACATCAGTTTTACTAGCTTATTTGTGTGCAGCTAGCTGTTCCTTCTGCTCGGCTAGATGCACTCCGACTTCAAAGGAAGTCCCTAGTTAATCGACTCCTACGACATGCTTGTTGGGCAGGCTTTGGGTCTCTTCTTGTTTACCCCACAATGGAGACCCAGAAACCACAGGGGAATAACACATAGTATGTCGTTGTGTAATTTGGCTGAGATCTTAAGCTCCAATGGGAAATCAAGAGCAGATGAAGAGAAACTTGAAGACAGTCGATATAATCACCTAGAATTGAAAGCTATCTCTATAGTCTTCCTTGTCTCTGGGTTCCTGGCCTTCTTCATGCAGGGAAAAACATGCGGGTACTTCAAGGTGACCTTCAGTTTGCCCTCTGGAGTCTGAGAACAAGTTTTAAGCAAGTTGAGTATACAGTTGCAATTGAGGGTATAATGCTTATATTACAATTACAGGCGATACCTTAGGACAGTGATTCCTACACTGTGCACTACGGCGCCCTCGGCAGCCAGGACCTCTTCACAGGGGCCCAGCAAAATATTCAAAGATACATTAGTTTTATTTTTATTTTTTCATCTCTTACATACGAATAGTCATACTTTTATTTAGGTTAGGCAGCCATATAAAACTTTTAATTGGAAAAAAAGGTGCCACGACTAAGAAAAGTTTTGGAAACACTGCCTAGGACACAAGCAATGATGTAGAGACAAGGTGGTAAGTAAAGAAGAGGCCGACCATGCAAATGATAGCAGAGGGAATAACAAAGTCTCTGGGAATCCCCATTTACGAAGCTCACAAACAGGCACTTTCCTGTAAATTATACTTCACCTCAACGCCGCAAGGTACCAGAGGAGCATGATGAGATGAGACGAGATGAGACTAGGACAGGTGTCTCAAAGATGCTGTCACTTATGAACTCAAAGCCCAGGACACATCCAATTTTCAAATGCTTAGAATTTCGCTCATCTATTATGGTATGGTCACAATAATTTATTTTTACTTACACATACAAACAACTGTTGTTTGTGAAATGAGTAAAATTACGGCTAAACGCTTGCTGCAAGAGTGTCCAACATACGCAGAACAGAGAGAATTATTCTGGCTAACACCCGCTCCTTTTGAGGACAAACTCTATGGAGATGTCAACAACTTCAAGTTGACTGCTGATTTATTTAAATATATTTATACTGACGTTTGAAAGTATAAGAAGAAGAAAACTGTTAGGGATTTCTGGAGCTGATTGCCCCTAGAGATGCAGAGTCTATAAACCATGACATGGAAAGAAAATGAAACAGACCCATCGGTCCATATACTGTCACACTGAATGCCCTTATACTGTCACACTGAATGCCCTTATACTGTCACACTGAATGCCCCCAGGCATCTATGTGGGAAATGTCATATAAAACTATAGTGAATTCAGAAGTCCACTATAGTAAAAAATTTCAACATGCAAAAGAAGCAAAGCACTCATTCATGTAGGTATTTGAAATCCCAGGTGAGCAGGCTGCCTACTTTTGGCTATGAAAGACATAGCCCGTGATGAATGAGATGTTCAATTTATGGAAATGATGTTTAACAGTCAAGAGCAGGACATGGCAATACCTTGGGTGAGCCCAGTACCAGAGCAAAGGTAAAGGTAAAGTCGGGAGATGTGAACTAGTGTCATGGCACATGATTACAAACCATAAGTGCTCTGTCACCAGAACGGACAGCTGATAAGAAATTGCCCGCCTATGTCGTCGTCCACACGAAACACAACATTGCTACAGCAACGTTCCTCCATTTACCCCAGAGTGTTAACTCTGGTACCCATTACCTAGAGGCTGGGTGAACCCCGGGAGCCGCCAGGTTTTGAGCACCGGCCATGGGCTGCAGCGAGACGCAGCTGGATTTGAAAGCGAGTCTCCTATCGTCTGCGCTAACACGGCCCGAGCGCCATGTATTAGCTCTGCATTTATGGAAGCCTCCTTGGATAGCAAGGAATGCTCATGTTCTGCCCCGGCCTTCTCTTGAGGGCTGATCAGCATTATGTGGCATCTCTGGACCGGCCTAATGTTGGACACCATTAGTGACCTAGGAAACAAAGATGACCACACAACAATGAGACTGCAATGTCCCACAAAACTAACTGAGAAGGCTAAACTGGTCAACAAATGCATGCAGAAGTAGGATGGGTTGGTCGAAAGGTGCAACGCAATTTCATCTTTGGATGAACACAGAAGAAGAAAAAGAAGAAGAAGAAGAAGAAGAAGAAGAAGAAGAAGAAGAAGAAGAAGAAGAAGAAGAAGAAGAAGAAGAAGAAGAAGAAGAAGAAGAAGAAGAGGTTTAGCATAAGAAATGCGGCGGGAAAAACAAGAAGAGATAGTCACCAACAATAAATTAAGTACAATAGCAGTACACTGCTGGTAAATGATTTCATCTTTGCCTCTTATTTTCCTTTCTATATGTTTTTGGACATACCTCTATCTCTATGAGCCTGTAGGCTCCAGTGAAAAGACATTCTAGTGACACTATATATATCGTCGCACAGATACTTTAAAAGTGAATTCTTGCCATGAATCATTCACATAAATGTTTTATTTTGCAACTTACCCGCTCCAAGCTCGAGAGGAAGTCATCAGGCAAACCAACTGGGAAAAAAAAGTTTTAAAAATATGACTTAATGCAGTGTTACTAGGGCCTATTTGGGAAGAACAGAATAGTAATACTGCAAAATATCATGAATGTCATAAGAATTGTAACTGCAGGTGCAATTGTTGATTTGTTGCAACTGCTTCTTCCATCGACAATGAACTGAAATAGTAGTGTTGGAATGTTTGTGGTGACACTTCTGATGGCTGTAACAGTAGTGTTGGAATGTTTGTGGTGACACTTCTGATGGCTGTAACAGTAGTGTTGGAATGTTTGTGGTGACACCTCTGATGGCTGTAACAGTAGTGTTGGAATGTTTGTGGTGACACTTCTGATGGCTGTAACAGTAGAGTTGGAATGTTTGTGGTGGCACTTCTGATGGCTGTAACAGTAGTGTTAGAATGTTTGTGGTGACACCTCTGATGGCTGTAACAGTAGTGTTAGAATGTTTGTGGTGACACCTCTGATGGCTGTAACAGTAGTGTTGAAATGTTATGTGGTGACACCTCTCATTGCTGTAACAGTAGTGTTGGAATGTTTGTGGTGACGCTTCTGATAGCTTTAACAGTAGTGTTGGAATGTTTGTGTTGACACTTCTGATGGCTGTAACAGTAGTGTTGGAATGTTTGTGGTGACACTTCTGATGGCTGTAACAGTAGTGTTGGAATGTTTGTGATGGCACTTCTGATGGCTGTAACAGTAGTGTTGGAATGTTTGTGGTGACACTTCTGATGGCTGTAACAGTAGTGTTGGAATGTTTGTGGTGACACATCTGATGGCTGTAACAGTAGTGTTGGAATGTTTGTGGTGACACCTCTGATGGCTGTAACAGTAGTGTTGGAATGTTTGTGGTGACACCTCTGATGGCTGTAACAGTAGTGTTGGAATGTTTGTGGTGACACCTCTGATGGCTGTAACAGTAATGTTGGAATGTTTGTGGTGACACCTCTGATGGCTGTAACAGTAGTGTTGGAATGTTTGTGGTGACACTTCTGATGGCTGTAACAGCAGTGTTGGAATGTTTGTGGTGACACCTCTGATGGCTGTAACAGTAGTGTCGGAATGATTGTGGTGACACTTCTGATGGCTGTAACAATAGTGTTGGAATGTTTGTGGTGACACCTCTGATGGCTGTAACAGTAGTGTTGGAATGTTTGTGGTGACACCTCTTATGGCTGTAACAGTAGTGTTGGAATGTTTGTGGTGACACTTCTGATGGCTGTAACAGTAGTGTTGGAATGTTTGTGATGGCACTTCTGATGGCTGTAACAGTAGTGTCGGAATGTTTGTGGTGACACTTCTGATGGCTGTAACAGCAGTGTTGGAATGTTTGTGGTGACACCTCTGATGGCTGTAACAGTAGTGTCGGAATGTTTGTGGTGACACCTCTGATGGCTGTAACAGTAGTGTTGGAATGTTTGTGGTGACACCTCTGATGGCTGTAACAGTAGTGTTGGAATGTTTGTGGTGGCACTTCTGATGGCTGTAACAGTAGTGTTGGAATGTTTGTGGTGACACTTCTGATGGCTGTAACAGCAGTGTTGGAATGTTTGTGGTGGCACTTCTGATGGCTGTAACAGTAGTGTTGGAATGTTTGTGGTGACACTTCTGATGGCTGTAACAGTAGTGTTGGCATGTTTGTGGTGACACTTCTGATGGCTGTAACAGTAGTGTTGGAATGTTTGTGGTGACACTTCTGATGACTGTAACAGTAGTGTTGGAATGTTTGTGGTGACACCTCTGATGGCTGTAACAGTAGTGTTGGAATGTTTGTGGTGACACTTCTGATGGCTGTAACAGTAGTGTTGGAATGTTTGTGGTGACACCTCTGATGGCTGTAACAGTAGTGTTGGAATGTTTGTGGTGACACCTCTGATGGCTGTAACAGTAGTGTTGGAATGTTTGTGGTGACACTTCTGATGGCTGTAACAGTAGTGTTGGAATGTTTGTGGTGACACCTCTGATGGCTGTAACAGTAGTGTTGGAATGTTTGTGGTGACACTTCTGATGGCTGTAACAGTAGTGTTGGAATGTTTGTGGTGACACCTCTGATGGCTGTAACAGTAGTGTTGGAATGTTTGTGGTGACACCTCTGATGGCTGTAACAGTAGTGTTGGAATGTTTGTGGTGGCACTTCTGATGGCTGTAACAGTAGTGTTGGAATGTTTGTGGTGACACTTCTGATGGCTGTAACAGTAGTGTTGGCATGTTTGTGGTGACACCTCTGATGGCTGTAACAGTAGTGTTGGAATGTTTGTGGTGACACCTCTGATGGCTGTAACAGTAGTGTTGGAATGTTTGTGGTGACACCTCTGATGGCTGTAACAGTAGTGTTGGAATGTTTGTGGTGACACTTCTGATGGCTGTAACAGTAGTGTTGGAATGTTTGTGATGGCACTTCTGATGGCTGTAACAGTAGTGTCGGAATGTTTGTGGTGACACTTCTGATGGCTGTAACAGCAGTGTTGGAATGTTTGTGGTGACACCTCTGATGGCTGTAACAGTAGTGTCGGAATGTTTGTGGTGACACTTCTGATGGCTGTAACAATAGTGTTGGAATGTTTGTGGTGACACCTCTGATGGCTGTAACAGTAGTGTTGGAATGTTTGTGGTGACACCTCTGATGGCTGTAACAGTAGTGTTGAAATGTTTGTGGTGACACTTCTGATGGCTGTAACAGTAGTGTTGGAATGTTTGTGGTGGCACTTCTGATGGCTGTAACAGTAGTGTTGGAATGTTTGTGGTGACACTTCTGATGGCTGTAACAGCAGTGTTGGAATGTTTGTGGTGGCACTTCTGATGGCTGTAACAGTAGTGTTGGAATGTTTGTGGTGACACTTCTGATGGCTGTAACAGTAGTGTTGGCATGTTTGTGGTGACACTTCTGATGGCTGTAACAGTAGTGTTGGAATGTTTGTGGTGACACTTCTGATGGCTGTAACAGTAGTGTTGGAATGTTTGTGGTGACACCTCTGATGGCTGTTAACAGTAGTGTTGGAATGTTTGTGGTGGCACTTCTGATGGCTGTAACAGTAGTGTTGGAACGTTTGTGGTGACACTTCTGATGGCTGTAACAGTAGTGTTGGAATGTTTGTGGTGACACTTCTGATGGCTGTAACAGTAGTGTTGGAATGTTTGTGGTGACACTTCTGATGGCTGTAACAGTAGTGTTGGAAAGTTTGTGGTGATACTTCTGATGGCTGTAACAGTAGTGTTGGCATGTTTGTGGTGACACTTCTGATGGCTGTAACAGTAGTGTTGGAATGTTTTTGGTGACATTTCCGATAGCTGCCTTGTGCAATTAATGCCTTGCTGTGACTGCAGCCTGTTATAAATTTGTTTTTTTCCCACAAGAGAGTGATGGTAATTCTGCATGGTTTTTGCTGGTAAAGGTATGGAGCAATTATGGGGTGACTTGTTTGCCACAAAACTTGAGCAGCGATTAACTGATAACATAAGAGGTCTCAAAGGCGGGCTTCGTTATGCTGATTTGCTCATCAATTACAGGATATCAGCCACAAAACACCAACAATCAAGAAAAAATCGTCACTGAGCTTTGCGTGAGCAAATGGCCTACGCTTCAATGGGGAATTTAATTGGCAGAAGAAAAAGAACATTATTGCATTGATTTATTTTAAATGTATTTTGTCTTTTTCATATTTCTTCTTCTTATAAATTTTTTTTTTTCAAGGCCAGTTGACAAGCTGTGTTCTGGTTTACAGTGGGTCTATTCTTTTATACCACAAAATGGGGCCCCAGAACCCACATGAGGAGGGTTGTATATATATATATCAGAACTTTTAAATTAGGTACTGTTGCTAAACTATTTCCGTTACCTAACTGCTCTTCAGTAAATTCCAGCACAGTATTTTCTTCATTCAAGTTTTTGCTGAAATCAATAGACAGGTCACTCATGCGCTTCTTGATCGCCGTGATTTTATCCTGGACCTCTTTAGGCAGGTGTAAACCTACAGAATACAAGAGAATAACACATTTATCTCCCAGAATTTCAGATCTGAAAACATAAACACAGCTGTATATTCCGGCAGAAAGTTCTGGTTGTTCATCCTCTCTAAAACTTGAGTGTTGCCTAGATATCCTGTTTAAAGATCTGGCTCATTTGTGTGCAGACTGCTGGTTTCTTGTCTCTCAGGCAGATGCACTCTGACTTCAAAGGAAACACTCTTAATCAGTCACCTCCGCCCACATGCTTGTTAGAGGGTAGTGGGTTTATTCTCTGATCTCCAAAATGGAGCTCTCCAGGACCCACATTGGAAGACCTGGATACAAGAATGGAATGGAGGAATAGACTGTAAGACTTATGTGACATATTAAGACACAGAAGGATAATGATGATGATGATGATGATACAAGACAAATGACTAAGATTCCTGGGTAGGTTTTCAGGGCCTCATGTTTTCAGTGGAGGGGGACAGATATGTTGCTCCTAACAAACATTTTATAAAATGTGACTAATTAAGGTTCTGCTGAAATCGGATGTATTAGACCGAAAGAGTCTCATATCACAGCCTAGCTGTAAACCACAACACCACATGCCAACCACCCTTTTAAGGATTAATGCAGAAGAAGAAGAAAAGATTAACAAGAAATACCCGGCCAACCAAGACAGGGAGGAACGGGGTGATATCAAAGGATAGAACAACTTCGCATGAGTTGGTTGAGGGCCTATGCTCCACCTGGGGATAAAAGGCAGAAGAAGAAAGAAACAATGTCACTGAGAGAAATTTTATTTATCATGGGAGAGTCATTATTTGTTTCTGGAAGAAATGTTACTTCTCTTAAGAAAAAAAAAACACATTTCTTGTCAGTGACAGAAACATGACTTTCCTAAAAGGACACAATGTTTATCATTTAAGAAAATATTCTTCTTTTCTGCTTCTGCTCTTTATTCCCACAGGCCCTCAACCAACTCAGTCTGAGTTGTCCTACTCTTTACTATTGCATGCATCTCACCCCATGTCCTCCCCATCTTTTAAACTTCACTCTCAAGCCCTCCTTCTCCACATTTTTTTTGTTGGTTTGTCTTTATTTATGGGTTAGAGTGCAAAGACATTCTAGCTATATTATACTCAGGTTTTCTCAATGTGTGTCCTATCCAAATTCCTGCATCTTTTTATCTTTATTCTGTGCAGGCACCAGTTAAAGACAGTTTGTAGTTTTTTTTAGTAATTGTTTCAGTTGTTCTCCATGTTTCCACTCTTAACAACAATGCTGATCCAACATTTGAATTTAATATTTTAACTTTAGTATTAGTTTTAACTTCCTCTGACTTCCACAAACCTCCCAGTCCTAAAAAAATTCCTTTGCATTTTGTATTTGTACTGTAATATCTCTGCTGTTGCTCCATCTGTATCTACTTCTTCTTCTTAAAGTCCATGCCGTATGGCATTGGTAGTCATGTCTATCCACAAATTTCTGTCTTGTGTACTTTCAAATTCTGACACAGATGATCTACCATGCCATGATGTCAAACTGTCCAGCATCTGTTCTCTCGGTCTCACTCTACCTCTCCTCCCCTTCAACTTTCCTACTATCACGATGTACTCCAGTATTCTCCTTCTCATCACATGACCAAAGAATGTAGACTGTCTCTTTCTGATGTAGGCAATCAGTTCTCTTTGTGAGTCAGTTGCTTTTAAGACATCTTCATTACTCTTTTTATCTGTCCAGGATATTCTCATCATTCATCTATAAAACCACATCTCTGCAGCTTCCAAAGAAGTTTTCACTAATTTACTAACTGTCCATGATTCACGTCGGTATTTCAACATAGGATTTACATAACTTTTAAGAATTCTCTTTCTCGTTTAAATTACTGCCTAAATAGCTATATGACTCCACACCCCAGTCTGATATCATTAGAAAGAATTAGGAAAATTTTACTTGCCACTAAAAGAAAAGCTGCTGATCAGTTTGAGAAAGTTAACAAATCACTGTGTGATATTAGTGTTTCTGGGCTTGCCTTTAGTCACACACATTCATAACATTATGTACAGTTATTTTTTAAATAAAATATTTAGGTAGTAAGCAAGTAGAAAACAAAACTACAAACCATTTCGTCTGCCAATCTTAATTATTCTTTCCACAAAACGGCGAGCTTCAGGCTTCCATATTTTGAAGTCCTCTAATTTTTCGACTGCTACAAAGGATTCAAACACATCTTGCCTCATGCTGATAAAACAACAGCAACAATTAGTCATTTCTTATCTGTTTAAAGTTTCAACATTACTATAACTGAGGTCAGTCTTAAATGCCAGAAGTATGTTGTGGCCTTGTACCCCATGATTTCTTTGGTAGCCTGGGTAAACCAAAAAGGTCATGGTTCACGCGATCATGATGAAGTTCAAAGAGGTCTAGCAAGCTCATAGTGGATTAAATATTGCTATACTGTGATAGAAATGGACTTATCAAACAGTAATCAAATCACAATGGACTGATCAAACAATAATCAAATCACAACGGACTGATCAAACTGAACTCAAATCCCAATGGACTGATTAAACAGCATTCAGTCAACCAGAACCTGGAATCTCTTTAGACACCCAAAGCAGAAAGTGAAGAAGACAAAGACACACTAAACAAACACTGAATATATACATGTTAACTAGTCTCAAGACCATATACCTACATATGACATGCCTCAATAAATCAAACCACTGTCTTCATCATTATCAATTTCCACTTCTGCAATTGAGCATTGTGGGGAGGAACAGTTTGCGATCCATTGCTAGATGGGCAGCAATGACTACTGTTATTCCCTGTCGATGTAGAAGCTCTTCAATGCCATCAATCCATAATCTCTCCTAGATGAGCAGCAATGGCTACTGTTATTCCCTGTTGATGTAGAAGCTCTTTAATGCCATCAATCCATAATCTCTCCTAGATGAGCAGCAATGACTACTGTTATTCCCTGTCGATGTAGAAGCTCTTTAATGCCATCAATCCATAATCTCTGCTAGATGGGCAGCAATGACTACTGTTATTCCCTGTCGATGTAGAAGCTCTTCAATGCCATCAATCCATAATCTCTGCTAGATGGGCAGCAACGACTACTGTTATTCCCTGTCGATGTAGAAGCTCTTCAATGCCATCAATCCATAATCTCCTATTGCAGCCTCTTACTTTCACATCAGATCTTTTCAGGTGTAGGGCCTGCATGGGTTGTAGTTGTGTCCGCATTCTTCCTAGATGACCAACCAAACCGTTTGATCTTCTGTTTCTCAATGAATCTGCTGCATATTGTTGTTCCCACAAACCAGAACAAAATGTGCCAACCATTCCTTTAAGTGCAAACAGAGAAGAAGAAGAAGAAGAAGAAGAAGAAGAAGAAGAAAAAGAAGAAGAAGAAGAAGAACAACAACAACAACAACAAGAAAAAGAACAAGAACAAGAACAAGAAGAACAAGAAGAGCTAGAATTAGTAAGTCGTGAAATGCTTTAGCTGGTGGTCAGGTGCCCTGTACAGAGAGAGACCAAGCCATATGGAACTAAAAACCTGGTGCGAACTATTAGCCATTTACCTTAGCTCGACATCAAATTCTGACAGCTTCTTATCAGCTGCCAAGCTGGCATCTCGGAGTTCTTTGTCAGCTGATACATGGCGTAAGAAGTCGATGTTGTTCCTCTCTACTGCATACCAGCAATCACTATCAGCAGCAGCCTTTGTATGACAAAAGTAAACAGATGTATGAAAATATGATTACCTCAATGTTTAATTATCTTACAAAATTTCTATGTATCTGCTATAAATGAGGGATTACCACGTATGTGTTTTTTTTTTGTTCTCTGTTTTTCTCTGCCGCTATCCCTATTATCACCCACCAGCCTCACCTCACCGACAAACCATAATCTGGTTACCCCCCCCCCCCTCCCCCCTTTTCCACCAGCAGCCTCAACTCCAGACAGACATTGTCCCACTAACTTGGTTCCCTCAGCTGCCCCCTGACTAACCAGACCAACCCCACCACCTCTAAATTGTTTACCTCAAGCACACTTACTCAGGAAGCTCTGATATTTACAGCCCCTTGACCAGCCTTCACGTCTGCTGAAGCTCATGGAGTATATATGGTACATACTGTAAATACTGAGACAAAAATGCAACACATGGGGGGGTGGGGGCAACAGATAGAAGAAGGGGAGAGGGGGGGGGGCCTGAAGCTGCAGCTACTAAAGAGTTAAGATACCCTGAGCTGACAGGAGCAGCCGCCATACACAGCCTCCCCTGCTGTCCCAAAGTCAGTGGGGCATCTTATACATGAAAATATGCTGTACATTCCACCTGTCATTCTGCTATGCCACAAACCCATGTGTGTGAACATTCCCCAGTATTACAGTATTCTTCCACTGCACTTTATCCCTGATGGCACATAGGCCCTAAAAAAAAAACTCCTGCCAAGTCGTCCTATCCTTTGCTATTGTGAATAATGTCCCCCGCCCATGTCCTACCTATCTGTTTAACTTCGCTCTCTAGCTCCGTTCTCAATGTGATTGTTTTGTGTATGCGTGAGTGAGTACCTACCTTTATTCATATGCCCCTGCAGGTAAATCACAGTATCATTGAAAACTCACGAACTAGCTTACCTTCACAACATTGTCATATGTGACTTGGTCATCTGAAAGTGCCCCAATTGAATCATAGACTGTTTTCAAACTTTCAATTATTTTGTCAGCTTCAGAATTAATATTCTCCCTTTTAATTTTCCATGACAATTTAATTCCGTCAGCCACCATGTTTGGAAATGTAATGAAATGCTGCCCCAGTTGTATATGTTATCCTGAATGTTTATCTGAAATAAAAAGAACAAATTGGCATGCTATTAAAATGTGTATTTGCAAATGTTTATATTCTTCTTCGTTCATAAAAGTATGCAATTGCTTTGCGTCTATTTACAGCACGACTGGAATATTTGTGCCTGTCGGCCAACACATTCAACTTCTGCAGGTACTTGTTGCCCGGGTCAGCCTTCCCCGTTTATTTTGTGTGACATTCTTGTTTTAACTCGTGTGCTTAAAGCTCGTCTTCTTCTTCTCGTACACTGGCCGTACACTCCAGTGGAAAGTTCTGGCTGTTTGCCCACCTCTGGACTTTAGTCTTGTTCCAGAACCTGAGTGTTGCATGCACATCTGTTTAACAGATCTGACTTACTTGTATGCAGACTGTTCGTTCCTTGCGTCTCAGACAGATGAACTCCGACTTTGAAGGAAGCCCCCAATTGGTTGACTCATATGACATGCGTTTTGGGGAGACAGTTGGTCTGTTCTTGTTTTCACCTAATAGGGCCATGGAACCCACACCGGGAGAAGCAGTTGTTAATTTTAAGCTCTTTTTCTTCCATTTGTCTTCTAGTGGAGCATAGGCCCACAACCAACTCACACCAAGTCGTCCCATCCTTTGCTGTAATATGCTGATATTTCATTTTTTTTCACTTCATTCTTCATGGAGGAAATGCTCAGGACAGAACCAGTGACTGTAACAATGGACGGCAACTGACCAAGCTAATTTGGTTTGAAAATCACACCAGTAATAAAGCATCCTAAAATAACACATGCATACACCAAAAATGTGATGTCAACTGACAAACTAAAACTGACCTTAGTCTTTCAGTAGTTAAAGATACAATGCTGGTTGCAACTTTTAAATGTATTAACTCTACCACAATACACCCACTTACTAAGACTAACACCCAATACAGCATAACCTGTGTTTTTTTATAGTAAGGAGGTGTGTCTTACTAACTAATCATTGATAATTAAATTACATAATTATTTTGCAAAGTATCCTTATGAAAAATTAATGTTTAACTTAATTCTTTATCTTTTTTTAGACAAGCATATGATTATTTACATAATACAATCAGTAGTATTAGAATATACTATATCATAAGTATATAGGCCTATATCAAGTGGGACATTCTGCAAATCAAACACGTTTTTAAAAGGCATGGAGGATATGGTGTATTGTTTGTCTGGCTGTTAATAATATATATTTATATATTTGTGTGTACTAGGTCAGTCCTCTCAAATGCAACTTGACGTCCTAATGATGCTGCTGGGTACAAAGATATCTCAAGAGTGATAAAAGATTGTCCTGAGGGCCTGACCCCTGACCTGGTACCCAGGACTGCTTCTGTCTGCACACTTCAGCAACTGAACAGCTCTGGCAGGCAGACAAGTAAATGCCAGCCGGCTCAACAGCTAAGCACAATCTGCTATTAGATCTAGTCTAAGATAAGAACACGATGAATCGTTGGATTATAATAAAACTGATGAAGCAAAAACAGCAGTACAATCTCGACCATTTATCAGTGCTTACCTCTGTCTCGGCAACTCAAAAACGTGTAACGTAAATCAATTTGAGTATCGCCCCTTGAGTTGACTAGACGTCATCATCCTCAAACTGGCGTTGGTGATCATTCCTTTCAATATCGCAGTCTCTAAAAGACTGCATTGTCTCACGGCGAAAGGTGCCGCTGCTTTTGTCTGTCTCATTTCTACAAACCTTTCAAGCTGTTAATTACCCACTTTTTCTATTGCATTTTGTAGCAAAAAATATTGACATACTTTTTTCTGTTATGTTTCAGTTGCCTCTGTGTCCAAGTCTTTGCTATCATCATCATCTTCTTCTTCTTCTTCTTCTTCTTCTTCTTCTTCTTCTTCTTCTTCTTCTTCTTCTTCTTCTTCTTCTTCGGCTGCAAACTCCGACGGAAAACTCTGTCTCTTTATCCAGTTCTGACTCTGGTCTTGTTCCAAAAATTTCCTTGCACATCCGTTTTACCTATCTGACTTATTTGTATAAAGACTGTTGGTTTCTCAACTCCCGGGTAGATGTACTATGACTTTTAAAAAACCGCATATAATTAGCCACCTCCTACGACATACTAGTTAGAGGTTAGTCTCCCTTCATTTGTCAAGGACACCAACCATGCCCTCAACATTTTCGAATCCATCAGACTACTTCCCGGTAAAACCTATCATCTTTTCCTGATAGACGTATGCTCCCTCTATACGTCTATCCCTCACTCTGATGGTCTTAGAGCACTCCAGTTCTTTTTGGACAGAAGGTCCAACCCGATCATCCCTACTTCAGTTCTTGTACGCCTTGCCGAACTGGTACTGACCCTCAACTCTTTTGAGTTTAATGGTGAGTATTTTGACCAGATCAGTGGGGTTGCGATGGGCACCAAGATGGGTCCTAGTTACGCGTGCCTCTTTATGGGCCACCTGGAATACGAGGTCAGTTTATCATACCCGGGCAAGTTTCCGGAGGTGTATAGGAGATACATAGATGATGGCGTTGGTATCACCGAAATGTCCATGGCTGAGCTTGACCAATTTATTACTTACATCAACAATTTCAATCCGGCTATCAAATTCACCTCACTGATCTCCACCACTTCAGTTAACTTTCTTGACATCACGATTAGCATCGATTTCCCGTGTCTGAAAACCACAGCCTACTACAAACCCACGGATTCTCACAATTATCTCCTCTATACGTCTTCTCACCCACTACCGTGTAAAAATTCTATTCCATATTCACAGCTCCTTCGATTGCGCAGGTTGTGCTCTGACGATTCTGACTTCTTTGATAAATCAGTTGAACTTCTTGAATTCTTCCGTGCCCGTTTCTATCCGGAACACATTCTACAAGGGGCTCTAAACAAAGTTTTAGCAATCACCAGGAGAGATGCTTTTCCTACCAAACGTAACTCCACCAATGAGGGACCTAAATTGATCTTGACTTTTCACCCTAACAATGTGGTTGCTTCCAAAGTATTCTTTCGTCATTTGGACATCCTCCGCTCTGATCCGGACACCAGTATTATCTTTAGCGAGAAACCTAGATTAGTTTACAGACGAGATCGCAACCTTAAAGACATACTTGTCCGAAGCCGACTCCCACCGATCCATACAGCACTTCCTCTTGGGACTACTCAGTGCTCACGCAGCACCTGCAAAACATGTCCTTTCGTTGTCCAGACTTCTTCGGTCAGTTTCCCTAATATATCATTTATGTATCATAACACTTGCATTTCTTTTAGAGGCAGTGAGTCTGTTCTTTTCCCCTGCCCTCAATGGAGCCACGAAACTACGCAAAGAGTCTTTGCCGTCGAACATTATGGACAAAAAGCACGATATATTTTTTGTCCTAATTATAACTCAAAAAGCATGAACAGAATAATACTCCAGTTAATAATAATATTTTCTTCGTTTTCTTTACCTGCCACTATTATACTTAAACCTCACCCCCGCAGAACCTGTGCCTTCAAACAACTTTTGCGAAGTCGTCTTTTGCTATCGCCCTCCCCATCTTTTTCACTTAACTCTCCAATTCCCTTCTTTGAATTTTATTTTGGTGTCTCCATGAATTCCTTTGGCTCTGCTGGTTCCAGTGCAAGGATGTTTTAGTTATACTGCTATCAAGTTTTCTCAGTATGTGTCCTAAAAAAAAAAACAGCGTCTCTTAGTCACTTTTTTTTATTCCTTGGAAATGTTTATGTATCCCCACGCAGGTTCCGGGAACCGTGGTTGGGGGGGGGGGGGGGATAGACCCACTTCCGCGTGTGGGTTCCAAGTCCTATTTTGGGGAGATAAAAGGAAAAAAAACAAGAATATACCTAATACATCTCTTACAAGCATGCCGTAAGGGCCGACTAACTAGGGGCTTCCTTCGGATGAATAGCCGGTGAACGTAAAGAGGAAAAAGTGTAGGTCTCAACAAAAGCTCTACATTATTTATTATAAATTATTATTGTTTCTTCGTTGTTTGTCCGAGTTACATAATTGCGGTGAGCCTGTTTACAGCATAGCTGCAAAATTTACGCCATTTGGCCAACACATTCAGCCTCACCATGTTTTTATGTGCGTCCGGGTTGGTCTTCCTGGTTAGTTTCGATGGGTATTCCACAGCCTCGTTGTGTCATCGTCTTTAAAATCTGATCCACTAGTGGAGCTATCAGTTGACGCCCACCCCCCCCCCCCACCCCAATAAAAACCGCAGTGTTTGTCCTCAAGGCAAGGCATGGGTATTCCTAGCTTTCTAAGGTGGGTTCCATAAATGCAAAGAAGATACATGGTGTCTGGCTTACCCAAGGAATAGTTAGTTAGTTAGTTAGTTAGTTAGTTAGTTAGTTAGTTAGTTAGTTAGTAGTTAGTTAGTTAGTTAGTTAGTTAGTTAGTTAGTTAGTTAGTTAGTTAGTTAGTTAGTTAGTTAGTTAGTTAGTTAGTTAGTTAGTTAGTTAGTTAGTTAGTTAGTTAGTTAGTTAGTTAGTTAGTTAGTTAGTTAGTTAGTCAGTTTAGTTAGTTAATCAGTTTAGTTAGTTAGATAGTTAGTTAGTTAGTTAGTTAGTTAGTTAGTTAGTTAGTTAGTTAGTTAGTTAGTTAGTTAGTTAGTTAGTTAGTTAGTTAGTTAGTTAGTTAGTTTAGTTAGTTAGTTAGTTAGTTAGTTAGTTAGTTTAGTTAGTTTAGTTAGTTAGTTAGTTAGTTAGTTAGTTAGTTAGTTAGTTAGTTAGTTAGTTAGTTAGTTAGTTAGTTAGTTAGTTAGTTAGTTAGTTAGTTAGTTAGTTAGTTAGTTAGTTAGTTAGTTAGTTAGTTAGTTAGTTAGTTAGTTAGTTAGTTAGTTAGTTAGTTAGTTAGTTAGTTAGTTAGTTAGTTAGTTAGTTAGTTAGTTAGTCGACAGATTATCATCATTACACATCGAACCATTCTGTCCATAAGTGTTCGGATCTCCTCCTTAGTAAATCCCACAGCGTGTAGCGGCTCACGACACCAATTCTGTGTTGGTTTCTTATTCTTCTTTGGCTTCCTGCATAGTGCTCTTGTCTGGCCACACCCTTTTTAATACGTTGTTCTTGCAGTCTGGTCATTGTTGCACATTCAAAGTCATCACTTGGTTCTCGCAAACGTCTTACTTCTCGTAGAGCATTCAGAATACAAGCATGGTCCACGGCTCGTTCGCCCTCCACGGTAACTTTACCTGCAAGCCGATCACCTTGCTTATTTCTTTGTACACCCGCGTGCTCTGCACACTTTACTACGTGTTATAAACTACCGTCTGGACCTCCTCTGTGCAAGCAGAACCCAGCTAGAAAGGCTGGACTTGGTACGAACTGAGGCCATGAAACTCTTACTCGGCTGCACAAAAGACACTTCGCCCTGGGTTTACTGACGATGACCGCAAGACAAAGTGGCACAGATGAAGGCGTACATGAGAATATCAGCAGACATACATCACCCACTGCACAACGCTATCAATGATATAAAAGGGTTGCATCTCAAAGAGATTACTCCTAGATGGCCGAGGCAGAAATATAATCCAGTAAATATGTGACCTAGAGATACGAATTAAATAGGAATGGAAAAACTGCATTTTATAAAATGAAGAACATCTTATGCAATATATTTCTGTCATTTAGAGTTAGAAAAAGAATTCTTGTTTGCTACACACATTCAGTTTTTAAAATATTGCTGTGAATCCTGGACAATCAGTAGGCAGACCAAACGATTTCTTGAGACCTTAGAAATGTGGTTTTACAGAAGAATGCTTAGAATACCTTGGACAGTCAAAAAGAGCAAAACCAAGAGATTGTGAAAGAGGCGGGAGCCCGAAAACAACTTATCACAGACATCAGAAGGAGTCAGTCATCATTTTTCGGCCATGTTATGGGAAAAGGAAAAATAGAACATGTTGTGACCACTGGAAAGATCTGTGAAAAAAAAAAGGGGGGGGGGGGAATAGAGGAAGACAACGAGAGAAGATTCTTGACAGTCTTGTTGCACGGCATGGAGGTGTGTCGAAAGCATTCGGAGCTCCATCATTTGGATCTACACACCCAGGCAAGCAAGAGTAAATGGCAATGAAAGAGCTGACCAAGTAATACACTTATGTAAACTGGAAGAAGCATGGGCAGAACAGATATCACCAACTCTATACGCAATAAGCTGTGGAATAATGTTGACCGAGGAGTTAAGCTTGGTGAAACACTTTTATGCGTCTTTGATGTAAAGGCAGGAGATACTATAACCAACTCCTCGTGAGAAAAGTCAGCAGAGGTACTTTGGAATGACTACTGACTGCATCAGGGGACTGAGAACGCACGAGGATGAACAATGTGCATAGACGATGCAAAGACCTCAACGATAATTACGTAACTCTTTAAAATAAAGTTTATAAAAATCTAAAGTATATATCAGTTTCATAATATCAACAGCAATAAAGAAATAAAGAGAGGACTTTTTCTTCTTCTTTGGAATTCCGAGCCCTTTAGGTTTATGGCTGCAGATATCACCCGCCTCCATTAATCTCTCTTGTTGGCCTTCTCTTTCCAGTTCAAGTGTTTGCAGGTCTGTCTGTACATTATCTTTCCATGTTCTTCTTGATCTGCCTCGTGGCCTACGACAATTCGTCTCCCTTGTGTGTACAGTTTTTACTTCTCTGTCACCTAACATTCTTTCAATATGCCCCAACCATTTAAGTCAATTAGCTCTCATGATGCCAGTGATCAGTGGTGATTTCAAACAGTTTTTGAATTTCGTCGTTGCTTCTCACTCTCTATTCTCCTGTGTTTGCTAAAACTAAAACATGGGACTCAATTTCTAAAGGCTGAATATTCTATATTTATTGTAATTTTGTAAAGCTCATCTACACTTTCCATTTTCCAATGTCTGCTCCACACACACACACATATATAATATAGACAAGACACCCCTCCCCCAAACCCCCCCCCTCCCCCCCAGTTTTTGACAATCTGACTAGATGGATCAAACTTTCTCTGGTACTCATTGAAGGTAAACCATAAAAAATGCTTACATTCAAAAATTTATTGGCTGATTTTTACCACGTGATCTGCAGTAATCTGCATAAGAGAGACGTTGCAAGATGGCCACTAAAACCTCGAAAACCAAAGAAGAATTTATTAAACATAGAAAACTTAGGCTTTTGAATATCCCACCAAGTACAGAAAACGTAAGTTATTGTAGTATTATAATATCTGTATATATGATCAATATTAGTGGGATCATTGTACAGTTAATGCAGGTAAAAAGTAGCGAAAGACTGATATTGAATATTGGGATATTAATATTGGTAACAGGGTCACACTGTCACTACACTACACGACATAAAAATTATAATCTCATCCTGATCCTCATCATCAATTTCTCAGGTTCAGTTCAGAACAGATGAGGATAATTCTGAGGATCTGACTATCACCAACCATGATGTGCAGCAAATAAATATATTAAATAGTCGAGTGAAAACTTGACAATAGCGGAAATAATTCTTGGGGGAAAAAAAAAGCGGCTCTCGTCGGAACTTCGTGAGTTCGTCCACATATTATATGGCGGCCAAACAAAAACCCTAACAGGGCCTCAGTCGTGTGTAAAATGCGGAGTTCCTGCCGAGGAATAAATTGCAGCAAAACTAGGATTACTTGACATTTTCAAGAAACGCAACACTGCAGACGATATAAGCAGACAATAATCCACTGTTGACAATTTCGAGCGTTTCTGCAGACGATGATAGCGACCATTGACAATTTTGAAACACAACTAGCTACTTCAGTAAAATTTTTAAAATACCCTCTACACCAATAAAACCAGCACAGTTAGATAGCTGTAAACAATCTCTTTCCAATGGTACCTCATTTAGGCTTGTATGTCATTTCTGAGCTGAGATATGTAGGTTTTTGTGGAGATGAGATGTAAGAAACAGCCGCTAAAACTTGTGACCCAGAAACAAGAAGTTTTTCTCTGCGCAACCTACTGCGCAGTTCTGTATCGGCTTTGTTGACATTGGACTGTCATTGGACAAGATGGCAGGCAATGAGACTCAGCTCACTCAGCCGCATGCGATTGCCTAAAAAATGTCACTGTACATCTACCTAGCCACGTACCAGAAAGAAATTTTATACACAAATGTAAAATTGGACGGAGAATTCAATTATAACTAGCATTACCAGGTACAGTAACAGTTAAAGCCTAAAGCCAACCTCGAATTTACCGCTATTTTCAATCAAACTGATGACTAAAGAAAAACAGGACGTCCGGCTGTCGTAGACGTGCGCTGTTAATCGAGTTCCTTCCCGCCGTTTTCAGCTATTTAGAGTGGGTGAAATTACATTGGACAGAGAAATTAGCTCCAGATGTGCCAAAGCTAATCAAGTAATGGGCCAACTATCTCCCCTGTTGACACACAAGCAGATACCTCAGAGTACTAAAGTGAATCTTATCAGAACTATTTTTTGGCCAATACTATGCTATCAGTGCCAAACGTGGACACTTACATCCTCCAATGAACGTAAAATTGTGACAACAGAGATGAAATGCCTTAGAAGAGCTGCAGGAGTTTCAAGGAAAGACAGAATACAAAATCATGAAATCAGACGAATGCTAGGAATAAAGCCAGTCTTACAGGTCATCAAAGAACAACAAATGAAATGGTTTGGACACCTAACAAGAATGCCCTGGTACTATCTGCCACAGCGAGCCACACTAAAACGTTATAAGGGTATAAAGCGAGTGGAAGACCTCGGAAAAGATGGAGTGATGGCATTAAGAACAGCCTTACAGAAATGAACATCAGTCTTAATAGTGCTCTTGACAGAGCTCATCAACGAACATTACATCTCCCCCCGACACTTCGATGAGGTACAAGGTGGAAGAGAAGAAGAAGAAGAAGAAGAGTGGGTGAAAACCACACCAATCGCAAAATTTCATGAGAGATTAGGACCCATCCCGAAACCCCAGCCGACATTTCCGAAACAAGTTTCAAACGGTTTCTATGGTAACGGAAATTGTCGAAAAGATCACAAATTTCCGAAACTATAGTCGCTAACAACATTACAGACGATAATAGCCACATGGCGGGGAGACCACGCGCTCCGACGCAGATTAGCGCCGTTGGTGTCCTCACACTTTTCGGCATGCGCAAAATGTGGTTAAAGTCACCGCCGAAAGTATTCCCCGTGCCGCTACGCAAGGCGAGGATGGGGATCTAAACTAGATGGCTGTGACTCACATGCAACAGAACTCCTTATTCATTAAATTATTGTCTATTCTAAGTGAGTGATTGCCATGGTCACATAAGGTTAGAAGATCCTTCACAGGATGTTGCTAAAAGTAATGATAGCATGGTCAGTTGGAAAGCCTACTCAGTCCTTTTGCCAACTTCCTCATCATTTGTTTACCAGTTTTCTCATCTTTTCTTCATCATTTTTCATTCCGATGCTTGAAACCTTGAAATGGGAGAGATCCCTTTGCTGCTGCAAGGCATGGATGTAAATAAAAAAATCTTTTGATCAGTTGTGGAAGAATTATTTAAATGTTATGCCTTAAAAGTGTTTTTCTCTTCTTTTTTTTTAAAAATATTCATGGTAGTATAAAATCATTTTGTTTATTTCGTTTTATTTCAGGAAATTCGAGAATTTCTAGGCGCTTTCAAGGCAAAGAAAATTATTATTAATCAGTCGCTTGATTCAGGTATGCTTAGTGTTTAAAGAAACAAGTTAGCTCTTCGTTCACTACCATGGTTTTGTGCAGTTTTTGTGTGTGAACCCTTTGAAATCGAGTTTAAACTCTTAAATCACGCATTGGGATTTCGGTTCTGTGAAGCTGTTTCAGGCACTCATCCACTAATGCCCCCGTTGTGGGTTCCGGGGCCCCAGTGTGGGGAAAACAAGAGTAGACCACTGCCTGTCTAAAAGCATGTCGTAAGAGTCGATTAATTGGGAGCTTCCTTTGAAGTTGGAGTACATCTGACAGAGAGGCAAGGAACCAACAGTCTGCATCCAAATGACTCAGACCTGTGAAACAGATGTGCATGCAACACTCAGTTTCTGGAAAGGGACTTTCAGCCAGAGTTCACAGCCGGCAAACACAAAGAAGAAGAAGAAGATCCACTAATGTCTATAGTAATGAGAAAATGATGGCAACATATTGGGCACATCATAAGCAAAGTGGACACAAAATCACTAAACATGAATTGAAATGGGAAACATTTGGATTGAGGACATGACATCCCAAAGAAAAAGATGGTGAATGTTGTTGAGAGAGGCCAAAGGTGCTACACTGGCTGCATCCATGATATCGAAAGGATGGCACAGGATAGACTAGAATGGAGGACTGGACTGTTAGCATTGTTCAACATGTAACAGCTCAACAAGATGGTGATGATGAATGCTGACACATGTGTGCATGCAGTGAGGTATGTGTTCACACTTATGTTCTGATCCAGGACCAAAGTTCCATCTCCGCAGATTGCACAACTCTTTTATTTCACTGACATGGGTTCTGGACCCTTGTTTGGTGAGGGAGGGGTGTGTGGAGTAGACCAACTCTTCCCTAACAAACATGCCTTAAAATGTAACTAATTAGAGGTTTGCTGAAATTGGATATCTTGAACCAAAATATGCAGATATCACAGTTTAGCTGTAAACCACAATACAAAACACCAACCACCTTTCAATGGGCAAGTGTAGAAGGGGAGGAAGGTTCTGGACTCTGCCATGAGTTTGCTTCTGTAGGGGTGATACAAGTGTTAAGACTTCTCTCCTGATGCGGTCCCAAAGTTTCATCTCAAAAGAAAATTGCAGAACTCTCGTCTTTACACCAGGCCTAGAAATCTAGGGTTTGCATGAGAAGTAGGAGCTTTACTTATATGCCATGGGGAGTTAAGAGGATGAAGAAAAAGGAAAATAAACATCTTCTTTTTGCTTGATTGTTTATAAACCTATATGTTGTATCGTTTGCAGCACTTGTCACCCTGAATAATGGACAACAGCTGGAGGCAGCAATAGAAAAGCTTAACAACCAAAAATTCAAAGACAACATTGTAACAGCTAAACAGGGATTCAGTGGCCAGCTTTTATGTGTGGCTCATTTACCACTGACATTCACTGATGTACAGTTTAAAGAGTTTTGCGAGAAGTATGGGGCTGTGGATTATTGTTACATTATGCGCACTGAAAACTCTGGTAAGTTCTTATAGTTATAAGTTTACTTTGCATTATTCATCAAGCATACAAGCAGACCTGCAAATGTGGGGAGTCACCAACTGGAAAAAAGCGGACCAGCAGTCACAGGAATGAATTGGGTGGGGGGGGGGGGGATATCTGCAGCAAAGACTCACACAGGCTTGGAATGCTGAAGAAGAAGATTCTTCAAGTGTATGCAATGACTATGGCTGTGTGCCTAGTATGTGTTTATGTTTCAGGCACATAATTTGCATTTTTTTGGGGTCGTTGTTAGAGAATTACTTAGCAGTATGATGGCCATACCAAATGCAAAGATTAAAGTTTTAAATGTCGTATGATTAAGCACCTGGAGGGAAATAGAGGATACAATTTTGAGGTGTATGGACTATCTCACAGTCCTTAAGGAAGAAAATAGAGGCTTTTGAACTGAAATGCGCCAAGAAGAAGAAAAATACAGACATCTTATAATATGTGAACATCAAGGAAGATTGGCTAGTATGTGGCATTCTGTCTCAGGAACTGAAATGTTTTTGCCATATCAAGCGCTACAGCAGATGGGAAAGAATAATAGCAGAAGGTATGGTGCCAGAGAAGAGGGGCAGGGCAAACCAGTGCAAAGATGAGCACTAGATATAAATCTAGGGACCACAGTTTCGGAAATTTGCTATCTTTTCGACAATTTCCGTTACCATAGAATACCGTTTAAAACTTGTTTCGGAAATGTCGGCTGGGGTTTCGGGATGGGTCCTAATCTCTCATGAAATTTTGCCATTGGTGTGATTTTCACCCACTCTAAATAGCTGAAAACGGCGGGAAGGAACCCGATTAACAGCGCATGTTTACGACAGCCGGACATTCTCTGTTTTTCTGTTAGTCTATCAGTTTGATTGAAAATAGCGGTAAATTCGAGGTTGGCTTTAGGCTTAAACATTACCAGTTGTGGTAATGCTAGTTACAATTGAATTCTCCGTCCAATTTTACATTTGCATATTAAATTTTTTTTCCCGACTCTGGCTGTTTAGATTTACAGTGACATTTTTTAGGCAATCACATGCGGCTGAGTGAGCTGAGTCTCACTGCCTGCCATCTTGTCCAATGACAGTCCAATGTCAACAAAGCCGATACAGAACTGCGCAGTAGGTTGCGCAGTAAAAAACTTCTTGTTTCTGGGTCACAAGTTTTAGCGGCTGTTTCTTACATCTTATCTCCACAAAAACCTACATATCTCAGCTCAGAAATGACATACAAGCCTAAATGAGGTACCATTGGAAAGAGATTGTTTACAGCTATCTAACTGTGCTGGTTTTATTGGTGTAGAGGGCATTTTAAAAATTTGACTGAAGTAGCTAATAAATGACCTTGGGTAGGAAAGTGCACAAGGCAGGAGATCTGGCAAGAGACTGAGTTACTTTCAGGCAGGCTGTGATGAGAGTGATGTCTTGCAAAGGACCTGCTACATCAGCGGTTCTCAACCTGTGGGTTGTGACCTATTTAAGAATCGAACAAATCTTTCACGGGGGTCGCCTGAGACCATCGAAAAAGTAGCAACAAAAAGAATTTATGGTGGGGGTCACCACTACTTGAGAAAACTGTATTAAAGTGTTGCAGCATTAGGAAGGTTAAGAACCACTGTGCTACATGAGGATGTAATTAGGTAACACTCCTTAATGGTAATGATCATTTGATTTTGTTCTACAAGGAAACCAAAACAGCGCTAAAGCAGTCTTTCAAGCGGGAGTGGAGAAGGCAGAATGGAGATTACAGACCATAGAGTGACAGCATAAACAAACTCAACAGGAAAGAACAAACATTAATTTTTAGACTTCGGACTGGACACTGGTCTTCGAGCACACTTGTACAGGATAGGCATAAAAGAATCTGCTGCCTGTGATTGTGGAGCAGAAAGACAAACCCCTGAGCACATACTGCAGTACTGCCCTAACCTCTCCCAGCAAAGACTGTGGATCTGGCCCAAGGGAGCCACATTGCAAGAGAAGCTTTGGGGGACCGGTGGCGACCTTAAACGCACAATCCTATTTGTGACCCAGACAGGACTCAGTGTTTAGCATGACTGATGTCGAACGCAGAAGAAGAAAAGAAGAAAATTTTGTTGTTGTACAGGCACATCAGGTATATAAAGCAAAACTCATTTTTATGGACCAGTGGGTATTCAATGAGTTATGTGGTCACAGTCACACTGACCACTTTTACTTCACAGGACATTACCTTGTACCCCTTTTAGGCTGTCACCCTGCGAGCCAAGATAACTTTTGAAAAAAATGTGCAAAGTTGCAGATATAAAAGTTGTGAGTACATTTTCATAATTCTGACTTGATGGGTTTGATTCAGCGGCAGGTGATTTTGCAACAGGTCACTTACTGAAAAGGTGACTAATTAAAAAAAGTTTGTCTCCGAATTGGGAGCACATCTGTCTGAGCGCAAGGAACCAAGAGTCTGCATACTTGTAAGCCAGATCTGTAAAATGGGTGTGCATGTAAACTTCAGGTTGTGAAACAGGACTGAAGAACTTTCTGTCAGAGTTCACAGCTGGTAAATGCTAAGAAGAAAAGAGGTAAAGGCTTTAAGTAGTATTCAGCAAAGAGCCTCTAAATTGTTTATTTATTTAGACATGGTCATTTTCTTTCTTAGACACTCCATCTGGTAAATGCCAGATTAGTTTGTGAAACTCCTTATGTACAGAGATAGTGCCTCCAATGATTAGATATGACTGCATGCAGAATTTTTATGTATTTAATCTTTGTGATTCTAGGATTCAGCAAGGGCTATGGGCTTGTGGAGTACGCAGTTGATACCGAACAAGTAAAGGAGATTAAATCAGAGCTGGATTGGCTGAATTTGGACGGTCAGATTTTACATGCTGACTTTGTTGACGAAGCATATCAGACATGGGAAGGTTTACAGTCCAGGTGTCTGTTTGTCAACAGCATGCCAGAGAATTTTGTGGATGTCTCCAACCTGAGAGAAACATTTGGAGTTGTCACCAGCCCTGTTTACTGTCAGGTACATTTTAATTAGTTAATACAGTTTTTTAAGTGCTCAGTCGTGAAAGGCTCAGATGGCTAGCTCACACTTGGTGGATGATGGAGTCCCTAAAGACATTCTCTGTTTGTGAATTGGTGGTTGGTTGCGAATCCTTTACAGGACGTTGCAGAACCAACCGAAACAGCCCCTAGCTGTTGTGCGGCATTGTGAAGCGTTCGCATCGACTTTAGCCACAAAGTTTGTGAATTACAAATGGATATTTTGAGGTCAGCCACTAGTTGAATATAAAGATGTGTGCAAGTGGGACATGAATGATACAGATATGGGGGTAGGCTCATGGAAACAGAATGCCATGGACCATGTTACCTGGAGGGCGGGAAACTAGGAAGGGACTAGGAATAAAGGAGAAGATCCTTGCAGATAAGTTAAAAGGCTGAACAAGTAATGTTGTTTTATCTTGTGTGTTTTAAGTGTTAATTTTGATCTTGTAGTCAGTTTTCAGTAGTTAGATTACTTAAGTATAAATTGATTCATTAACTGGTGCCTGAACAGAATAGAGAGAGTTAAATGGTATGAAATAAATCACTTAAGTTGAGCTTTGGGACAGAACTAAACAAAAGTCTCTGAATCAAGAAGTTAAAAAAAATGCTGTTGGAAATATGCTGAAAAGACTTGAGAACAATATAACTAGAAGGGCTTTACACTGGAACACACAGGGGTATCGAAATAAAGGCAGAAAAAAAAAGTAAAGAAGGGAGCTAGAAAATAAAGTTCAAAAATATAGGGAGGACATGTGGTGTGTGCTGCATGCAATAGCAAAGGATATGATAACCTGGCCTGAGTTGTTTGAGGGCCTATGCTGCAATGGGAGGTAAAGTGCAGAAGTATAAATTGGCAGTGATCTAAAAAATGTTTACTGTGATATTGTAGTCTGTTTACAGTATTTAGGTGACTTGAAATTGGCAGTGATCTAAAAAATGTTTACTGTGATATTGTAGTCTGTTTACAGTATTTAGGGGACTTGAAATTGGCAATGAACTAAAGTGTTTACTGTGATCTTGTAGTCTGTTTACATTATTTAGGTGACTTTAGGTTGGCAATTAACTAAAGTGTTTACTGTGATCTTGTAGTCTGTTTACAGTATTTAGGTGATTTTAGGTTGGCAGTGAACTAAAATGTTTACTGTGATATTATAGTCTGTTTACATTATTTAGGTGACTTTAGGTTGGCAGTGAACTAAAATGTTTACTGTGATATTGTAGTCTGTTTACAGTATTTAGGGGACTTGAAATTGGCAATGAACTAAAGTGTTTACTGTGATCTTGTAGTCTGTTTACATTATTTAGGTGACTTTAGGTTGGCAATTACCTAAAGTGTTTACTGTGATCTTGTATTCTGTTTACAGTATTTAGGTGACTTGAAATTGGCAATGAATTAAAGTGTTTACTGTGATCTTGTAGTCTGTTTACAGTATTTAGGTGACTTGAAATTGGCAATGAACTAAAGTGTTTACTGTGATCTTGTAGTCTGTTTACAGTATTTAGGTGACTTGAAATTGGCAATGAATTAAAGTGTTTACTGTGATCTTGTAGTCTGTTTACAGTATTTAGGTGACTTTAGGTTGGCAATTAACTAAAGTGTTTACTGTGATCTTGTAGTCTGTTTACAGTATTTAGGTGACTTGAAATTGGCAATGAACTAAAGTGTTTACTGTGATCTTGTAGTCTGTTTACAGTATTTAGGTGACTTGAAATTGGCAATGAATTAAAATGTTTACTGTGATCTTGTAGTCTGTTTACAGTATTTAGGGGACTTGAAATTGGCAATAAACTACTTTTATAGTATTGAATTTTGTTTTCCTGTGAACAAATACCAGATGAAGTTGAATGTCTTGGCTGAAAAACATAAATATCGCAGAAGTGCTGAAAACAGGCACAATGCAAAAGAATAATACCTTTGTTTAAGAAAAAAAAGGTAAATATCTGTCGCATGCGGATGTGCACCAGAACGCACCAGTACTGAGTGAGCAAATAAGACGTCAAAACAATACGTCAGGTTGTGAAGGAATTGTATTCTAGGAGACGAAAGTCGAAGTTTGACCAAGGCGGACGTCTGGTCCGGCCTTGGTGTGGATCCTTGAGGATGCTTTACCCCGGGATGCCACTGAAGGAATGATAATCAAGTTGGATCCTTGAGGATGCTTTACCCCGGGATGCCATGGTAGGAGTTGATGTTTACAGTCCGAAGGAGATGGACGTGTGGATCCTTGAGGACGCTTTACCCCGGGATGCCACGGAAGCAGACGTTGTATACGGTTGGATCCTTGAGGACATTTTACCCCGGGACTCCACTGTAGACCTCAGCAGAAAGCTGGTATATTGTCACAGTTCGGCAGTAAGCCGGTACACTTTCATTACTTAATTCAGACTGCGGAACCGGAGACAGAGATGACTGTCTGGATCTCAAGGTCGGACTGCGACCCGTCGTGAGGACAAATCAGTCCATGGACGTACGAGCGGGCTTTTGTTGATGTGCTTGAATGAGTCTGGATTATTAATTGCATATTTTCTCCTTGTGTTGATCATTGTTATTTGTCAATACACAAATGGAACTTTTAAAGAGAGTTCTCGTTCCGCTACGTTTGGAAGCTTCAGCATTCATCATGTTGTGTTACTCTTGGCCAGTGGCATGTTAAGTGTTGATGCCATTTGTTACATTGCGACGCCCCTAGTCACCTTTGGTACGCCGCACATCACCACGCAGCCTTTACAGCACGTCACACCGTAGGCCCAAGCTACGCTCGTCACAATATCTAAATAATACCTTTGTTTTTAAAAAAAAAATGTATGAAATGGTCATCCTTCAGACACGGACACACATTAATTTACAAACTTTTTTTGCATCTGGTCCCAGGAATTTACATATAAATGTTTGTTTTGCACTGATGTATTTGGTAGTTTACTGATCTATAAACACACAAGTAGTTTCACAATTATGGTCTGATGAGTTAGATCACAGGCATGGGGGACAGTTAAGGCTGCCAGAAATCTCACACATTTCTGTAGCTACCGGCTGCCTCATTTCTGGTTTTACTAAACTTCATTCCCCATGTGGGTTTCAGGGCCTCATTTGGGGTGGGGGGGGGGGGAATAGACCTACTGTCTCTCTAACTAGCATATCATTAAACTTGACTAATTAGGGTTGTTTCCTTTAAAGTTGGAGTGCATCTGCCTGAGAGGCAAAGAACCAACAGTCTGCATACATATAAGCCAGTTTTGTAAACTGGATGTGCACGCAGAACTCTAGTTCTGGGACAGAACTAGAAGTCCAGAAATGGTTGAACAACCAGAAGTTTCTGTCAGAGTTTACAGCTGGTCAAAGAAAGAAAGAAGAAGAAGGAGACGACTAGACCTTGGGCACAGATTCTGCCAAACATCCATTATAATGTGTCTTAGCTAAATGCCCATTACAAGCCTGAGGCTTACGTTTCAAATAAAATCTGATTATGATTCGGATTAAATAAAATCTCATTTGATTTCAGATAATGACTAAAGGAGACAAATCATTAGGCTTTGCCATCATAGAGTTCCGAACAGCCGAGGAAGCAGAAGAGACGTGGATACAGTTGAGAGATTTAAAAATTGAAGATAAAGAAGTCGTCGTTACATTCTGCATTCCAGGAAAATCAGCAGTAGTCATCAATAACAGAATCATGTGGAAGTTTGTAAGTAGTCAGTTAATAATATGCAACATTTTTATTGTGTGCTTTAATAGTCCTCAACTGCCTTTCATCTATCAAATTCTCACCTTGCCATCTTTTATTTTGCTGTCTTTACCAACTCATAGATCGTTCTAATATTCCAGAAGCCTTTTGTGGAGGTTTTTCTAGGTGAAAGGAAGTATCTGACTCCTTAGGGTTTTCTCATAGGGCATCCTTCTTTATCCAGATCTACCCGTCATATAGTTTTAATTTCCTGTTTGGGTTAAGGGGCCCAATTGTGGGGGAAAAATCAATAGACCCACTGCTTCCCCAACAAGTATGTGTCATAGGAGTCGACTAATGGGTTGGGGGGGGGGGGGGGGTGGAGACATTCCTTCTAAGTCAGAGTGCATCTGCCTGAGAGGCAAGGAGCAACCAGCTGCACACAAATAAGCCAGTAAAACGGTTGTACATGCAAAACAGGCCCTGGCACAAAAAGCCAAAGTAAAAAATGGACAAACAACCAGGGCTTTTCATCAGAGCTTACAGCCGGTGAACAAAGAAGAAGAAGAAGAAGATGTAGTTTAATTACTTTTCTTATCTTTTAACCCTTTCGCACCAAAAACACTGGGAAAAAAGGGATGACTATAAAAATCCTTTAAATCAAAAGACCATTTTACACAGGTCACTAATAATTTGTATTTTTTTTTTTCCCATTTACATTCTGTAAATTTTTTTTCTAAATATATAGAAATATATAAAGGTAGCAATCAATACATCTAGTGAAGTAGAACTTGAAATGCATATTTTGTGTTGAGTGGCCTAAACAAAACCAGCATGTATTTAGCGACTCATCCCGTGACCTTAAACACTGACTCTAGGGGGATGTTTTGGCTTTATCAAGTCTTGTAAAAGCCATTCAGGTCACAAGACAATCCCCCTATATACTGATGTAAGTAGATATGTTTGTATCAAAGAAAGAAGGTATGCAGTCAACCATTACTGGGTATGGGAGCATGGAAACACTGAGAGGGTCCCTGCATCAGAGGGCGAAGCATGAATAGGTCAGACTGAAATGACTTTGGCCCCCAGGTTGACCCAGCCTTAAATGGGTACCAGGTTAAGCCCTGGGAAGTAAAGGCAGCTGTCCTGATGCTGACCGCATCAGTCACCAAGTGCTGATTGGTCTGTAAAATAAAGGTCTAGCTTTACTTGGCCAATACATGTGAAGGCATGGAAAGGGCTCTTTACTTTTACAATTATACAGTTAAATATGTTTGCATATTTAGATTGAAGACTGAAAATAACCAAATTCTCAGCATTTCACTGAAAATTGTGTTTTTTCTTTTTAATTGTGTACATTTTGTTTTTCCATAAAGGGGGACAAACAACAGAAGACCAACAGCTTGTTGCCGGATCCTGTTTCTGCAAAACCTGTTATTGCAGGCAACCCCATTGTGATTAGTCTGAGCAGGCTGAATCCAAAATGTGAGTATGTTTACTGCTGCTGTATTTTATACTTTTGTCTGCCCTGTATCCCCCAGCGGAGCATAGGCCCTTAACAGACTCATCCTGTCCTAACTTTTGTTGCAGACAGCTCATTCCAAGTTCTCCCTCATCTTTTTTTCTTGCTATGCTCTCTAATGCCTTCTCATGTAATTTTTTTGTTTGTATTTATTCCTTTGACCCTTTGGGTTCAACTGCAAGGACTTGTAAGCTAACTTTTCAGGTGTCCTGTGTGTCCTATCCAGTGCCAGCATGTCTACCTCACCTCTTTATTCAGTGGCATTTGTTTAATTCTCCCACAGTTGTATCTCTATTTCACATGGTGAATAGTGTGGTTTCAATGAAATTAAATCACTGTAAAAATCCCTCAAACATACACGCTAATAATAGCCTTGCATGTAAAGCAACTGCGGAAAGCAGATAAGCAGAGGAGTGGGATGACATACTGAAGCCTTCAGAAATGTAGTAAATAGATAAAACAGATGATTTCAAAGAAGAGAAAACCAACATAAAACTATTGTCCTCGCTTGCTTAACACTTGAGGATCTGTTGAGGAAGGGATCTGAGCGCTAAAGATCATTTGCCAGCTAACAAGGTAGCACACCTCTAACAACCTGAATCATGTGGCTTCTCTATGCATGTATACATGAATTGTTCCTATCCTTTTTTTGTATATAAGATTTAAAAAATATTCAATTGAACCCTCTTCTGAAATAAAAATAAAAAACTTGCTGTTGTGCATGCATTATTGCAGATATTTTAACCCTACCAGACCTGAGGCCATGAACCTAACTGCCCCCTATACTTAAGGTCCTGGGCATTAACGCTAAGAAACTAACATGATATACACAAATATTAGTTACATGTAAACAAGTAGCTAGAATAAGATGAAACTTGGAGACTGTTGAAAATAGGTTTATCTTTCATCTAGTGCCAATATTCAACCTTTGTGTGCCAATCCACTCAGCAGGATCAGCCTTGTTTCACAAAGTCAACACCAGATGTTGCTGTATGAGGGACTCCCCCCCCCCCCCCACCCCTTTCTCCTACTATCGATCTATTTCTAGATTTATAATTTTTAATATTTTCCTCATCATTCAAACTCTCACTGACTGTGTCACTCCAATTGTGAACGTATTCTTCATGAAATGATGACTCCGCAGAGTCTGAATAAACCAAAATATCGATCACCTGTTGGACTGTGAAAAGCCTAGACCTACTTTACTTTCCTGTTGAAGTGCTTGGTTCATCAGGCGCTTGTTTTATTGTGAATTTTCATAATTTTTTTCACGTAAAAGAACACAAATTTAATCCAAACACATGCGGGCAGACATCTGACTATTTACGAGTTTTGATTACGACTGGCTAGTTATTTTTAGTTTGTGACACATTCTTTTCACGTAGTACGCAAGTTCCTGACATTGAGGGACAGCGGTTTAGTGGCAGATTAGGAAATTCCCTTTAATAGGGGGCCAGCGGTCTGGAAGAGTTAATGATTTCCACTTGTAAATCCATAATAATAGTGGTTCTGAAATATAGCTTAAATAAATGGCTGAAAAAATTAATAAACGTTCGACTGAAAAAATGTCCTAATGTCTAGGCAGTCCCTGGTGTAAACAGTTACAAGACATGATTGTGATTGATTAGACACTTTTTGAGGAGAAGAGGACAGACAATCACCATATACACACTGAAATGGGAAACAAATGGGTTAATGAAACTAGGAAGCCCCATAATGAATGTTGATTAAAAGCTAAAATCACTGCATTGAATTCCATTGATCGCCTCCAGAATATTGCACAGTATGGAACAGAATGGAGGGAAAGACTACTAGTCCTATGTGATGTATACATGGTAGTAGTTGTAGTTGATTGAGGTTTCAACTTCGCTGCATTCGGGTCACCCCATACCTGCTCCATTCTTATGTGCTAGTGATACTCAGATAAAATATAAACATTACAACAGGATAATTTTGAATGTGGTTGTTGTTTTATTGTTTAAATACAGCCATTAGAAATACACTTTCAAGAAATAAAATAAAAATGATGGCATTAGTTATAGAAAATACGAGCATAAGAAATATCGGTAAAACAGATTTTTGTATTGATTGACTGCAAATATTAATGTTGAATATTTCTTTAAAGTTTGCTTTATTGTGGTTACTTCTTATTTGTATTGAAATGCATTTTGATTAAAATGGACATCCACAGTGATGGATGACTTCACCAGAGTACTTGGTGAGCTTCAGCAGGCCTATGTCTCTCAGATGATGTCTCCTGTGCACAAACCAGGTATTTTTTCAGTAGAGTTTTCACTTCATGCTTTAAAAAAAAAATTTTTTTTTATGTTTACTTGTGTTGACAGCTTTAATGCTGTAACTTTCATCAACTGTTCTAGGACTGAAGGGGTTGCGGTATTCATTCTTATGATCCTGCCATTTTAGATGGCTCTGATTGAAGTATTAGTAGTCGAGGTTTCAACTTCACAGCAGACGGGTCACCCTGAAATTGCTCCATTCATATGCCCGTACAAAGCTTTGATAGAGTGGCTCTAATGTACTTCTCGGAACCAGAGCAAGCACAAATAGAATGGTGAGCAGGGAGTTCAAGAATTATAACAGCAACATTCAGAACCAAAGAAGGCTGGTACGGCCGCTATAAACATAACACTGAATTCACATTGGATATGAAGACCTAAATAAAAAGGTGTGTATATGTGTCAGTTCATGTCCCATAATTCTCATGAATGCAGTTACCATGTGGGATTTAATCAAGCCCTCATATGGAATACGGATAATTAATTAAAACGGCAACTGAGAAGCTTAACATAGCAGAAAATCACAAACTTCGAAGTCAACATTAAATAGAGGGTATAAAAATCACAGGCAAAATATAAAAAGATTGTTGGCTAGAAAAATCAACAGCTAACTAAAGCAAATGAAGTATTTCAAATACTAGGGAAGTGTAATAAAATCTGGAAATAATGGCATACAAATATTGATTATATAAAGCATCAGAATTATTCAGCAGATGTCAAGGATATTGCAGACTAGCACTTTAAAGAAATTATCTTTAGGCATGGATCATTTCCACACTTACTTGCCTACTTTTCCGTAGCCAACAAAGAGTTCCACTACTGCTGGTGTCAGTGGCAACCTGATTAAATGGCAGTGTATCATCTTTCTGTGCACTTTGAATGTTGGCTAGGACTGCCACTCTCTCTCTGCTGATTCATTTTCATTAGTTATGGATACTCTATTCAGCTGCACTATTCACTTGATTCCAGAAAGCCTCATTGAGTAGATGGTGGCATCAGCCAGTCTATCAGTTTGCTCTTTGCCTAGCACTCATAAATACCTAGACAGAAAATCCCATATAAGCTCATAACCTCGGTAATATCAAGCAGTGCAACCTACTTGACACATAACATATTGTATTCTTTGTTTTCTGGAACATTCTCTTAGCCCATTACAGATAAATATCAAGCTGTGCTACCCTCACATTGGCAAACATATTGTCACAAAGAGTACTGTTTAACACAGTTTTCCTATTAGTATTATGCTATCAGTTTAGGATTTTGACACAACAAATAAGAACTAATACAAACTCAGGAGAAACAATCTGGTCATGACATGTGGGGAAGCAAGTGTGGGCAGCACCAGTCAATGCTAGACTGCATTAAAAACAAAAATGTGTGTTGAGATCCTGCTGAGAAACAACAAGCACAAACTCATGTACCTTCCTGACAAGATCCAGAACCACTTGCTTTTCATCCAGTTATTTTAGGTATTACTCAGTTATAGTCCGTGTTGTCTAGGACAGACGTTATAACTGAAATGTCTGGTGTGTAGCGTGAAATAACCTTTCTTAGACATTGTTATATAAATTTAGAACAGGTTCCTTATAAACATGGCCATTTATTCATAAATATGGTATATTAATTATGAGACCTGTGATTTGTGTTTACCCGGCCTGAAGTACTTTTAAAGGTATGTACATGAGTTTATGCTTGTTCTTTCTTGACATACTTTTTAAAATTTCATTTTTTTTTGGGTCATATCCAACAACAGAGACCTTTAAAAAAAACTTGCTATTAGATGGTTCTGGCTGAGTAGCTTTCAAAATTGAATAAAAGTGGTCTGTGATACCCAGAGAATGTTTTTAGTGGTTAATCTGCTGTTTCTTCCTATCCCTGTTTCAAACATTGCTAACTGAAAGCTTTGCGAAGACAAAATCTGATCCTCTAGCTTTATAGGTCCACATTTTGACTTAGAATTATTTTCATAAAGCAACATTTTTACTCAGAATTATCATAAAGCAGTATCCTGCAAAGACCATTTGATGTAAACACACTAGAAATATAGTAGTATCATTTTCATGTGCACATAATGGACTGTTGGAATAATTAAGACTACATATGCTACCATATAAGAAGAAAACAAATGACAGAATAATATCACTTTTACTGCCTGATATCACGTAGTGACCTTCCTAATCAATACATTTGACTGCTTTTATAAGTTGTACAAAAATACGTAATTGCGCATACATACATATGTCTTCTGTCTGAGGATACATGTATGTATGAATTTAGAGTTTTTTCATGGTCCATGCACTCGGTAAAATCAACATCAATATTTACAACTCACTTGATCACATTGAAGATTAGAGTAGTCAGAAAAGGGCAACACATAGTTGTGGCCTGCCAGTCAACACTGAATGAAACAGTTAACCATACTTTGGGTTTATTCAGCCATGTATTACCAGGGTCTGCAAGGTAAGCAAATAATAGTGGCCCTGTACGTTACCACATATGTTGTAACTGGTGGCTAAGTAGGGTTTACCTATTGAAGACTTTTAACTGTGCACCATCACAGCTGTGAGCAAGTATACAGGAGACATGGCATGATTTTGTTGAGTGCCTGTGATGTTTTGGAAGGGATTGGGGAAGAAGACAGATTTATTTTGGAGATTGTGGAAGTTCTTACGGACTTATCCTGGGTATAGCGCTGTCATTTACATTGACACTTTAAAGAAACACAACCTGAGGTATACCTACAGTTAGTTTCTACCAGTGCATAGTAGGGACATGATCAGAGAATTAAAAATACATAGTACTATCAATCCACCTGCAGTTTGGAGACTGTTTAATTTTGTTTCTTGTGTGTGTGTTTTAAAAAATAAAATAAAAAGGCTATGACAGATTGTAAAGAATTGGAAAATCACTGACAGAAACAAGTATTCATGTTTTAAAAATTAGATTTCAGCACCTGGTAAAAAATGTTCACGTTTGCTTGTCATTTCAATTAAAGAAAAAAGATTGATGTTTAGAAGCATTTGAATATGTCGTCATGATGTTTAGAAGCATTTGACTATGCCGTTGCATCATAGGAACACCACTTTTATTATTTTAAGCCGGAAAACTAGAAACTATTTGAAGAAGTCATGGAAAATGTTTTGGGCTTTGCACATTTGAATTATTTCTGTCTGGCTGTTTAGAAAGGCTGTGGTGCGTGTTTCACAAGCAGAGAAGTGTAGAGTGTATTTATGCTGATACATCCCTTACAGTTTTGTTGTTCAGTGTCTAATATATATCATCTTATTGTGTCACATTTTGTGCTTGCTATTGAAAACAGTATTTCACATTTGACAAAAACATTGTCATTTGACTTATCCCCAAATAATTGCTCTTGAGAGTTCACAGTTTGTCATTGTTTAATACACTTTTGCAAGTTGAACGTATGACACATTCTGTGGCAGTCATTTAGTTTTTAACAACGGTATCTTGCTGTAGGATGAAACTCACATTTGGTAGGAAGTACCTTTTTAATTTTATAACTTCTGACCATACAGTAACAATGCCTGTCAGTGCTGCTTCTGAAGTCTCTCACATTTATCTGGTTACAGTCTAAAGTTTTTTATTTTCACAACAGTAAATTTTTTTAAAACCACTTTACAGTTCATTAATTAATGGTGTCTGGTGTTTGCATACAAATTAATCTTCTGTGTCACTTAATCCAGCAGCGATAATCAGAAGTGGCTTTGCTTCATTCATATGCTTTCCACATTTAATAGTAGTCATTAAAGGAAATGTAACACATTTTCTCCATTACACGCAAGCCTTGTTTTCTTCTGCTGTCCTTGTTACTTGTCACTGTATTTTATTGTGTGCGTGACTGTTATTGTCCCAGTTGCTTTTGTATTAACAGAATAAAAACTTCTGTTGGTGCATTAAAATGCAGATATTGATGGTAAGATGCTGTTTTATTGATGTAGTGTTGTGACTTATTTCAGGGCCTTGCAGATGAGTTTGTCGACGCACAAAGTGAATTCATCCTCCTCCTCCTTTTCAAGGCTCAGATCCTTATGGTAGATTTGCAATTGGTTGACTCAAAAACTTCAGATACCCCACATTGTCAAACACACACAACTACACACACTAGCATTCTCTTGAGGCCAGCATCTAGCAGGCACACAGCAAACAACAAATTGGTGATCTCGTTGCCACACCTCCAGTTTCTGAACCCTTCTGTCTGTCCCTCGTCTGTCTTCTAGTTCCACATTTTTGACAGTTTCTTTACTGTCTGTCTGTTCTTTTGTCTGCGACTGTGGGTTAATCGTTGAGCCCTTGTGCTATCTATGCTCCTTGTCTTTCAATTATCAGAATGTATATTTTTTTAAAATTTTAAAATCTTACTATCTTTGAACCCTTCTGTCTGTCCCTCGTCTTTCTTCTGGTCCCAGAATTTTGACAGTTTCTTTACAGTCTATCTCCTATTCTGTCTTGAAATTGTGGATGAATAGTTTTATCCCTGTCTTTCATTTGCTAGAATGATCTTTTTCATGAACCTTACCATCTTTGAACTTTTCTGTCTGTCCCTCATCTGTTTTCTGGTCCCAGAGTTTTGAGTTTCTTTATTATCTTGTTTTTTTTCTAACTTGAGATTATGGATGAATTGCTTTCTAAAAGTGTTTCTGTCTTTCATTTGTTAGAATGTACTTCTTCTTGAACCTAACCATCTCTGCTATGTTTCATATGCCTCTACCATGTATTGTCTGTCTTGTGATCTCTAGCTGCCTGTGTTTAAGTTGCTAACATGTTCTATTTCTTGCACTGAACCAACTCTGTCTTTCAGATGTCTTTTCCATGTATTATCTGCCTCTCATCTATTGTCAGTCACTTTATTTCATGTCTCTATCTTCTGTCTGTCTATAATATTTTCCCCCATTGTAAATTATTATCTTTCCATTCAGCTGTCTCTCTTCTGTTTTCAGATTGTGAACAAGTACATGTGTATACTTTCTGACTGTGTCTTGTCTTTCAAATGCTGTATTTCTGCTGTCTATATGCTGTCATAAGTTTCTGGATGTTCACATATCATGTTTTACTTTCATAATCCAAACCTGATTCTGTCTTTGTATACTAATAATGATCCATCTTCTAAGCTGTCCATCATTTTTCGAGTTTCTGAATACCGTGCTGTTTCCATCCTGATCTGTATTGCCTGTCTATACATTTTATTTCCTGTTCCGGGTAAGTATTTCACTCATCCCTGTACTTTTCTAAGTCTTTCTACTGTCTAATGACGGACTTATTAGATCTTATTTTGTACTTGTTGACTATTCTTGCTTTCTTCTGTTTGTAATTCTTTTTTTTTCTTTTTCTTATTCTGTCTTTTATTCCCCTTTGGAGCACACACCCTCTGCCAGCTCATGCTAAGTTATGCATGCAGCTCACTTCCATGTTCTTCAGTTTGTCCTACTTCATTCACTAGTTAGTACTTTTCTCATTTTGTGAGTGTTGCTTGCCTTTCTTCCTTTGATCCTGAAAGTTGGGGTGCTTAGACATTCTAGTTATATTGTTTTTAGATTTTCTCGTTGTTTCCTTTTCATCGCCGTCGTCTTTTCCTCACTCCTAGTTTTACTGGAATTTTTTTATCACCCAAAGCTGTACATTATTACTGTCTTATTCTGGTGCATAATTTTAAAAGTTCTTGTAGCAGTCCTTTTATGGAGTCAGCGATGCTACTCTTAATGTATGGAGACCTTTTCCATCTTCTGTACTCAAATACTGTTGTATCAGAGCTATGGTCAAATGAGCTAGTCTCTTTAATTTTCTGCCTATATTTTCAGCCCTGGTTTTGTTGAAAATTACCTTTGAAAGTTTTCTCCCTGATATAGTGTTTGAAATTGTTGGTAGAACTGTCTTATCTCCACCAATGCTGGTGGTGGCAAAGATATTTGATTAGAGACCAAACTTTTTTTTTAGTATTCTATTTTCTTTGAACTGCTGCTATCTTTTAAAATAAAGTGAAAATGTTCTGTGACACCCAGGAGCCCTGGCTAAATATGCTTGTAGTGGTTTAAAAAATAAATGTCTTCCCTCTCCTGTATCAATCTTTTTGAAAACTTCACAAAGACAAAATCTGATGGTCTAGTTTTTTTAAGGATTAAATTGCACAGAAGGATAGGAAATATTCTCTTTCAGCATTAGTCAACCAACCTTGCTCCATTCATAGTTTGTATGCAGCTTGATTTCAGTATTTCCAACCAGAAATTATATTCTTAGCTCAGTGTGCGGGCACCTTTGTTTATTATACATTATCTGTGCTGATGTGGATTGTCTCTGGTGTTTTTCTAGGATGTATACCAACTATGTTGACAATCTGTTTTTTTTTCTATCATTTGTCCGCTTGTCAGAAGGACATCATGGAATGAGTAGTAAAATATTCCTTGTTTAAAAATCGGTGCAAAGAGTTTTCATTTACAGTTTTTTACAATTTTCTTTAGTTGTTTATCTGTTTGATTACACCACTAAACAAATTGTATGTACTATACTAGCGTTTCCAGTTTGGTGGTCCCTGAACCACCATAGATCCGCAGAACAAATTTAAGAAGTTCACTGTATCATTTAAAAAAAATCCCTCAGTTTTAAAATGCAATCCCTTTTTGCGATTCTAATATAAATTTTAATATGTTCTTCATTGTAGTTGTTAAAAATATGGGATCTGTCATGGGCCTTTAAAAATATGAAGGGTCAATCACTGCTGTAGACAACCTTGGGTGAAAGCTGACAGTTCTCTGATGTCCTTTTGTCATCTAACGATTCCCTCTATCTTACAGAAACTGCAACAACACATCTTTGCAGACACTTCATATATCCTCTTTTTACAGGTCTGCTGGGTCCAGCTCCATCACTGCCACTCAGCCCTATGATGAACCCCAACATGCAGCTGGGCTTGCTGGCAATGTTAGCTTTGCATATCCAGGCTGCCAAGAAAGAACAGGTATGCACAATTTTCATTGTGGCTCAACATGTTCAAATACATCTTCCTTGTGCATCTTTAGATGTTTATTAGCAGCGATGCAGGTGTACTGAACCACATGTAGTGGCACACCAGACCAGGGCTCGTATTGGTCAAGACCTGGCTTCACCTCTCTGTGGTCATCTTAGAAGCAGGTTCCCAACCAGGGGCCTGGCCATGATATATGGGATCAACATCATCGACGCTGCACAGTCTGGGCTAGTGGATAATGACAAATCTCTGACACTAACACCACTGCGTGATATGATAGTGAATCATGGTGATAACATAACATTGAGGATCAACGTTTTCTGTGAAATCAGAGCATACTTGCCCAAGAGGCGAGGAACCAACAGTCTGCACATAAATAAGCCAGATCTGCGAAACATGCTTTCTGTTTACAGCAGAACACAGACAATGAGAAGATGTTCATCAAAATATATTTGTTTTAAATTAATGTCACCACTTATTAGAATGTATTACCCTTCTTTTACTATAAATATGGTTCTATTATTGAGTGGAAGCCACAGAGGTGCTATCCTAGACAGTTGCCTGCTTTCACATAATTGTTGGATTTGAATCCACATTAGGGCTTTTCCCCCATTTGTATTGACTTATGACTGACTGGTCGACCCAGCCTCATATGGGTACCAGGAAATGCCCTGACATGTAAAGGTATCTGACATGATGTTTACAGTAATGCCCATCAAATGCCGATTGATCTGAAAGTATGGGTCTAGCACCATATGTCTGACATGATGTTTACAGTAATGCCCATCAAATGCCGATTGATCTGAAAGTATGGGTCTAGCATCATATGTCTGACATGATGTTTACAGTAATACCCATCAAATGCCGATTGATCTAAAAGTATGGGTCTAGCACCATATGTCAGATTACCATTGGTACGAAAAGATCTTTTACTTATCTTGCACTTTGTTGCACACTGTAATCGCTTTTATATTATTGTTTCAAATAGTTTTTAGGAGAATACCCTATAATTGTAAAATTTTATGTTTTGTTAATTCAGCGTGTGAATATTTTAATGTTTGTGGTCGCACTTTGACAGGGTAGGCAAATAACAGTATAAATATGTATATTTTTGTTGGTTATGATGACATACTAAACTCTAGTGTTTATTTTTTCAGTTTTCTGGCGTACTGGCTAAACAGTTTAACATCTTAAGTGAGCAAGATGTAGCTTCGGTAAGAATTTATAAAAAAAATTATGTATGCCATTATTAAGACTTTGAGAAATATTTCCATATAAACAAGTGGCGGCCATCCTTTTTAAGTTTGAAGGCTACTTCTCATTTCAGAAACCTCCCCGTGTGGGTTCTGGGGTCCAATTGTAAGGGGGGGGGGGGGGGCAACAGTATGCATACAAGTAAGCCATATCTGTAATATTGATTTGCCTGCAAAACAAAAGTTCTGAAACAAGACTAAAGTCTGCTGGAGTTTACAAGGTACCCTGGAACAAGCTGGTGCAATACAGAGTTTCTACAAAAAGTGCAGAAATTATGTAAGAACAGCAGACCAAAAAGTCAGAAGAATTTAGACCACCAGCGGTGTTAAAGGTGATATTCTCTCACCTTACCTCTTCATTCTTATGATGGATGATGTCAACCTGTAAGGAGAAGAAGAGAAGATCCAATCTGTAGAGCTAGACGATGTGGCCCTGATAAAATCACTGGCAGGTATGTCTGTTTACCAGCCCACTAGGAGTCAAACAACAACAACAATGTTCGATACAGACAATAAGATACAGACCACTATGGGCCATCTCAAGGTTGTTCGTCCATCACGAGTGATGACCACTTTCATCCAAAGTAGTAATGATCAATGACTGAGTACGAAGGTGGCTGATTAGTCCAATATAAGCCAGGAAAGCTCTTGAGCAGTGCAGACAACAGATGGAAGCCACAGAAGGTGTGGGATTAGCAGTACGATTCTGTCTAGTCTGCCTCCGTTTCTGTGACTGTGCAACCTCTGCTGCCTGGCAGGCCGATGCACCATGTCTGAGGGAGGCACGCCATCCAGAAGGGTCCTGTGCAGCAGCCTCCCATGTTGCTGTGTTGATGCCAAAAAAATTGAGAGCAGTCTTCAGAGTCCTTATAGCGCTTTTTCTGTCCTCCCTGGCACCTCTTCCCTCGCTGGAGCTCGCCATAAAATACTCTCTTTAGGAGGTGATAGTCTGGCATGCGAGTTAGGTGACCAGCCCAACGCAGCTGACAATTCTTCAGCAAAGTGTGGATGCTAGGCAGGTTTGCCCTATTAAGAACCACATTATTTGGGATCTTATCTTGCCATTTGATTTTGAGCAGCTTTCTGAGACAAGTTATATGAAACTGATTCAACTTGTTAGCACGACTTCGATACACAGTCCAAGTTTTACAAGAGTAGAGCAGTACTGGAAGAATTACAGCGTTGTTAACCTTTAGCTTGGTCAGCAGGGAGATACCACATCTGTTCCAGACACTGGTATAAAGTCTGCCGAAACTGCTGCTGGCCTTTGAGATTCTAACATTGATCTCATCGTCGATATTGACTCTCTGAGATAGAGTATTGCCAAGATAAATGAATCTGTCGACTACATTAAGCTTTTGATCATTTACAGTGATAGTGGGATCACAGTAATTTTTTTCTAGGAGCAGGTTGATAGATAACAACAGTTTTATCAGTGTTGATAGTTGGCCCGAAGTTGGTACAGGCTTCAGAAAAACTATTTATGATGTGCTGCATACTGGCCTCAGAAGTGGAGTTTAGAACAATGATGATAGCTGGATGAAAGTGACTTGTGCAAGGACTTGGATTTAAGTGAGGAAGAGTTGGGCAATTCGTCGACCTCACTCTCTCCCCTGTGTCCATCTTGATCCAATGGCAGGACAATGTCGAGACGATTGGAAATGGACCTAGATGCAGTGGATGACCAAGGAGTCTTGAGTGCCCTGCCTTGCTCAAAGCTCTCCACAGAGCCTGCTGGTAAACGTCTTCTTGTCCGTTGAACCCATAAGAGGTTTCATCCGCATAATCCACAGAGCCCAGTCTTTGCATGCAGGGTATGCATATCCCAATCACCGAGTGGTTTAGGACCAGGTCGGCTACCCTCTTCTGATTTAGCCAGCCTATCAAGGCTGTTGGCAGGAGGGTGGCCGCTGTTGCATGCTGGGAGCCACAGGAGAGAGCTGAGTGCCAGACCTAGCCCAGTGGTGGTGAGCTGCCCTAAAAAGGACATGACGGTCACCTTGCCAGAGGTGCTACTAGTATCTGCCACTCCAGACTCCCCCAGGTCATCTCGTACTGCTTGACTAGTAGACAGCTGTCAATGTGTTGATCATTGCTGTTGTTGATTGACCCATGTATTAGAAATAGTTGTTCATTCCTATTATAGATTAACCCATGTATTAGAAATAGTTGTTCATTCCTATTATAGATTAACCCATGTATTAGAAATAGTTGTTCATTCCTATTATAGATTAACCCATGTATTAGAAATAGTTGTTCATTCCTATTATAGATTAACCCATGTATTAGAAATAGTTGTTCATTCCTATTATAGATTAATCCATGTATTAGAAATAGTTGTTCATTCCTATTATAGATTAATCTATGTATTAGAAATAGTTGTTCATTCCTATTATAGATTAACCCATGTATTAGAAATAGTTGTTCATTCCTATTATAGATTAATCCATGTATTAGAAATAGTTGTTCATTCCTATTATAGATTAACCCATGTATTAGAAATAGTTGTTCATTCCTATTATAGATTAATCCATGTATTAGAAATAGTTGTTCATTCCTATTATAGATTAATCCATGTATTAGAAATAGTTGTTCATTCCCATTATAGATTAATCCATGTATTAGAAATAGTTGTTCATTCCTATTATTGATTAATCCATGTATTAGAAATAGTTGTTCATTCCTATTATAGATTAACCCATGTATTAGAAATAGTTGTTCATTCCTATTATAGATTAATCCATGTATTAGAAATAGTTGTTCATTCCTATTATTGATTAATCCATGTATTAGAAATAGTTGTTCATTCCTATTATTGATTAACCCATGTATTAGAAATAGTTGTTCATTCCTATTATAGATTAATCCATGTATTAGAAATAGTTGTTCATTCCTATTATTGATTACCCCGGTAATTAGAAATAGTTGTTTATTCCTTTTATTGATTAACCCGTGTATTAGAAATAGTTGTTCATTCCTATTATGGATTAACCCGTGTATAAGAAAAAAGCTGTGACATATTGGTTCCTATCCTGGACTTTAAAAGGTCAGTCCTCCACAGAGTAGCTTATTATCCAACCAACATGACTTTGCGACCAACCTAGCCTCAGAATTTGTTTGAAAATTTGGCAAGTATGGCGATGAGGAAAGGAAATGTTCATTTGAAAGAAGAAACGAGTATGGGCCCTCAGACAAAGTCGTATCCTTTGCTATTGAATGCAGCTCACCCTGTGCCTCCCTCTCTTTTTAAACCGCACTTTCTAGTTCCCGTTTCCATTTGTTTTTTTGTTTGGCTTTTTTTCTTTGAACCTGCAAGCTCCAGTGCAAATATGCTCTACTTATAGTGTTGTCAGGGTTTCTCAATTTGTGTCCTATATGTCAGTTGTTTCTTACCTCTTGAACCACTGAAATTTATTCAGTTCCCTTCCAAAGCTAAATTAGCGATTCTTACCATTTCATTCTGTATGTTTTATGCAGGTCCAGCTAATGAATCTGTGTAGGTTATTAGTAAATTATTGTTTTAGTATGCCGTTTCACTTTCAGTCATTAGTACTGAATTAACACTAAAGGTTAATATTTTAAGTCTGGTATTTAAAAACATTTTGTTTGACTTTCGAAGATTTCTAAGTGCTTTTCCATTTCCATCTTGCCTTTTGTATTTCTTTTTTTTTAAAATATATATATTTATATATCTGTCAAGTTCCCAATCTTTATTTGCTTTACTGCCTAAAAAGCAACATTGACCGAACCCAAATTTGATTACTTTGACACACAGAAATTGCTGCCGAAAGCATCCATCCTTGGTGATCCTTTGACCGGACAAGCCAATGTGATACTGTGCAGCCTCAAACAGCAACTGAATCAGGTGCCTATTGTGGGAGAGGATAGCACGCCACTGACAGAACCAGAGACCCTGGAGGAGAAACTGAAGTTCATTGTCAAGAAGTTTATTGCCAATGGCCGCTATCTGAATCTGAGCCTTCTCAACAACTTTGGCCAGCTTCTAGTTACCATGAAAAACACTGATAATGCCAGCAATGCTCCATGTAAGTCGGTTAAGAAATGGTTTTTGTTTTTGCTTATGAATCTTCTGCACTTTTTGCTTTTGTTTTCTTTTGGGTCTTTGTACTTGCTTTATGATTGTTCCACTCAGTACCTGTCTTATTCCACTTTTTCGGCACCAGAAGATTCACAGCAGGTCATGGAATGTGGAAAGTCACCATAATGAAAAAAATGCAGTTAGTAATTAAAATCAAAGAGGCAAAATATAACGTGGAAGTGATCACTAGAGAAGCATGTTTTTCATAATGCTCTGGCCAAGTGTAAAAATCAGTAAAGGAGTACATTACATGATTTCCAAGATTCATAGTGAAGAGCCAGCAACATGCCATACATTTGTTGAGGCCGAAATAGTCAAGGCACTGCAGGCCACAAAGATGGTGTCCTATAGAAAATTCAGAATCCTATGTACGATTAGGAGATCATTACCTTTCCCTTCAAGCTGGGTGCACCAGCACAAAACCCTACGCCTGAAGCAAATATCCCATGCATATACATTTAGAAGGAGCAGCCGTAGCATAGCAACTAATCACTAGCCTGCTGGTCCAGAAGTCTTAGGTTCGAATCCTCAAGGGTGGATTTTAAAATATATTTTCCTTAGCTCCCAGGTCGACTTAGCCTAAAGTGGGTACCAGATAATGTCCTGGGTGTTAATAAGGGTGGCTGCATAATGTTGGCATCACCACCCTTTGAGTGCCAGTTAAGTCTACACAAATATGAGTTGGTCATATGCTTATTGCACCCCTGGGAGGAAAAGGGTCCTTTACATTCAAAGACCTGCTTTATGCTCATGTTACTTTCATATATCAGGGCAGAAAATATTTTTGGGTGGTCATATCATGATTCATAAGGACCAGAAAATGTAACAACTGGGCTTTAGTCACCGTCTTTAAAAAAAAATAGTTGGCAGTCTTGCCTTCTCAGTCTTTTCTGCTCAGTGAATCATTTCACAGATTTCACTTCTATGATGATATCATCTTCAAGATGCTGCTCAAGCAACAAGCTCTCCACTGTCGTACGAGACAAGTGCTGGTGCAAGTCCCTAACAATAGGTGATGTTGAACACTGAATCAGAGGACATAAACTGGTCAGGAATGATACAGTGAAGTAACAATGTTGCCAGGAGCGAAGCACACACAGGTTTAAATACCAGCTGTTGAACTTCCACATCTCTATTCACATTTTGTGAAAGTTATCCCATGTTGCTTTACCATTTAACTATACTTACTTAATTTTCCATCATCATCAGAAACCACTTCTGCTATTAAGCTTCGTGGGGAGGAAAAATTTGCAATTTAGTGCGCGCTGGCTGCCACTGGCTATTATGCCGTGAAGGCGTAGAGTTTCTCTAATGTTGTCAATCCATATTTTGCGGATTTTCTAAATTTTTACTTTGCTCTAGTAAGTCTAATAATCATTTGAGAAGGGGTTGATGCATCTGTGCTCTCATCCATTCTTCAGTAGCCAGTGAAGAGTTCCGATGCTAATGGTGCCAGCTGTAGTCTGGTTAAAAGTCCCCCACTCCCCTCTTTCCACACTTTGAACACTCACCAGACTCTGCGTACACCAAGCTGAATCAGTCAGTTGAGGTATGGATACTCTCTGGTCTCTTCACAGTCCACTTGATCCTAGAGCCTTCACCACACCCACTTTATCATGAAGTAGCTTAAAACCCTGAGGAGCAACAGCAGCCATTAATCTAACAGGCTGCACATTACACGCCTGAATATCCTGAGCAGAACACTTCATGATAAACTCCCGATCTGAGTATGGGGTGGGAGTATTAAACAACTAGGACAACAGTCTTCTTCAACTGTTGTTGGCATTTAGCAGTTGGTAACTGTTTTGAAGACTATATATCATTAACGTACATCATTGTGTTTTTTTTTAAATCTATAAACAGTTTAAAGTTGTTCTCTCTCTTCTTTTCTTCCTCAGCTAATAAAGGGCATTCCCTTCTAGGTCCTGTACCTGGTTCACAGTTTCAACACAATTTTGCGTTTGGTGGTAAAGGTTCATCTCTCCTCGGAGAACCTAAACCAATGTCTCTCCTGGGAGAACCTAAACCAATGTCTCTCCTGGGAGAACCTAAAGGAATGTCACTTTTTGGAGATCCAAAGGGAATGTCACTTCTTGGAGAACCAAGAGGAATGTCACTCTTTGGTGAACAACGGGGTTCCTCATATTTTGGGGAAGCAAAAGGAACATCATTTTATGGGGACACAAAAGGAACGTCATTCTTTGGAGAGCATAAAGGAGGATCACTTCTTGGGGATCCAAAAGGAGCATCGTACTATGGAGATCATAAAGGTGGATCCCTTCTCGGGGAACCAAAAGGAGCATCATACTATGGAGAGCATAAACCTGCATCACTTCTCGGGGAGCCTAAAGGAGGGTCATTTTACAGAGAGCAAAAAGGAGCATCACTTCTTGGGGAGCCCAAAGGAGCATCACTTCTTGGGGAACCCCCTGGTGGGTCATCTCAGTCCAACCAAGCCAATGCCACCATCAACACTTCACTGATGAAAGCTATTGGCCTGAACGTTGGAAGTGGGAGCTCTTTAGGTAACATGGGGCAGAGTTTGTTGTCACAGATTAGCCACGGGCTTGCCCATCAGATTGGCCAGAACATTCTGTACCAGATGTCTGTTGGCCAAGGAGTGCAGCCTGGATCTGGGAAGGGTCTTCTGGGAGACATCCCTGCAGAGAGTGGTCAGAAACACAAAGGCAGTTCAGCTGGCAACAAGTCACTGCTGGGAGAGCCTCCTCAGAATTATATGTCAGGCCAAGGAACTAATACAGGCACGTCTAATGAACAGGCTAGCTGGAAAAGCACAGAGACAAGGTAATTTTTGTCATCTGTCTTTTATAACAATCTGGAACCATCATTCACCTAATTCCCCAGTAAAAAAAAAAAAAAAAAACTAACTTTTAAAGGAATATTTAATATACTGAAATGTATAGTGAGAGCTGTGGTAGGTATAGTTACTAGACATTTGCTTGGCAGCCCAGAGGTCTTAGGTTGGAACCCACATTGAGGCATATTTGTATCCCCTGCCTAGAGCACCCAGATTGCCCCAGCCTTAAATTGGTTCCAGGGTTCTTTAACAAGCATGCCATAAAACCAAGTTTTTAAAGGTTTTTTATTTTTAGTTGGAGAGCGTCTGAATGAGAGGCCTAGAACCAAGAGTCTGCATACAAATAAGCCAGATGTGTTGTTCTTTCGAATAGATTATCTACATCTGTAGTGTTGTCTCTGACATAAACTTCACTGTCTTTTTTTTTTAAGTTACTCAATGACCTGTTATGTTTGGCTTCCACCGTCGTTTCTCTTGGACAGAAATTTTGTCTTGACATGTTTGTATTTTGGAGTCTTTGAAGACGTAATCTGTTGGAGGACATGATCTATTGTCTCAGCTGCCAGTCCGCATGTGAACATTTCTAATTCATCAATAGCCAGATCTGTCAAGCAGATGTGCATGCAAGACTCGATGTTCTGGAACAATACTACAGTCTAGAAGTGGATGAAAAATCATAACAAACATTCTGATGCAGTTTACAGCCGATAAACATGAATAAGAAGAAGAAAAGAGGTGATGTTAAGCACATGAACTGTTGAAGGCTGAATGGTCTAATATAATATGGGGTCTGTTCTGTAATAGAGGTCTAGCACATATGGCTGCTGCACCATTATTATCTTAGGACACACATTGAGAAAACCTGATGACAGTATAACTAGATTGTCTTTGCAATGGAACCCACAGGGTCTTACAAATAAAGGTGAACAAAAAATGCACATAGAGAAGATTTCTAGATAGGTATGGTAAAGGTGAGAGGATCAAATTCATTACACTGAGTTTTATCCCATATGGCTCGGTCTTTGCACAGCGGCTAGCTGCCTGCCAAAAATGTCACACAGCACGACCTCCGTAGCTCCAGCGATGATTCCCAGAGATCTCCATAAAAATTGCACTTGTGAACTGGACCCCGCTGTGTGAAACGAACTCGGGACCTTAAGAGCATGAGATAAACGGGTTGACCACTTTTGCCACCCCCAGAGAGCTAGATAATAAAGTTAGAAATAGAAAAGATGGGGAGGATATTGGGTGAGTTACAGGCAGTAGCAAAGGATAGGATGAATTGGCATGTGATTGTTCAAGGCCTTTGCTACACTGTTGGGTAAAGGGCGGAAGAAGAAGAAGAAGAAGGATGTCTGATGTGTCACTGCTTTGACATTGATTTAACATTGTTTTCTTTGTTTTATTTCCTGCCTGCTCAGGAAGAGAATGGAAATGCTTTATGACAGCAAAAATCCATCTGATAGGTGAGAATGCTTGAGCACCTTCTGTTGATGTTGTGGCTCGCATGGTGTCATGCTTCACCTTGTTATTGTGAACTTCTTTCCTTTCTGGTTGATGTCAGTGTTTTTATGTTTGCTCTTCTCCAGATGGGGAAGTGGTGCTTATGAAAGTGGTTATAGCAACAAATCAGCAATGGGAGGAGGAGCCGGCAGTGGTGGCAACTACGGTGACTACAGTTATGGAGCTGAATCATATGGGGTATGTTTGATAGGTTTTTTCCTAAATGTGTGTATTTGGCCAAGAAGGCTGACTAGAACTGCAACTTGTGGGTTGTTTTGGTTAAAACGGCCAAGAAACAGAAATATTGCAACTTTATATTGTTCAGACACAACACAGCCACTGTTCAGTTAAAAAGAAAACTAAAGGCAGTGAGGCTTGAAGAAGTGTATTATTTATTCATGATGATCATTTTCTTCATTTGCTAAATTATGCAACTTCAGTGGTTACCCAAAATTCTTAAAAATTTTTTAAGTTCTCAGATTTTTCGCTCCTCCTGCATCCTGTCATTTGTTTCTAGGCTTGTTTCGTCGTTTATTATTATCGCGTGGGATGGGATGCTTAGTTTCACCTTAGACTTATGTATCTCAGACTCTTTCTCGAACACCCTCAAGTAGACTTATGTTTCTCAAACTCTTGAACACCCTCAAGTAGACTTATGTTTCTCAAACTGTTTCTTGAACACCCTCAAGTAGACTTATGTTTCTCAAACTGTTTCTTGAACACCCTCAAGTAGACTTATGTTTCTCAAACTGTTTCTTGAACACCCTCAAGTAGACTTATGTTTCTCAAACTGTTTCTCGAACACCCTCAAGTAGATTTATGTTTCTCAAACTGTTTCTTGAACACCCTCAAGTAGACTTATGTTTCTCAAACTGTTTCTCGAACACCCTCATGTAGACTTATGTTTCTCAAACTGTTTCTTGAAGTAGACTTATGTTTCTCAAACACTCTCAGATTTTGTTGTCACAACCTTTTCCGGGTCCTTTCATCTCATGGGATGAAACAATTATTGTCTGCAAAAGTATTTATTTGATTATAAATAGACTGTTTAGATTTTCTGTAAATTGATTTCAGGTAAGTTGAATGTTCATGGTTCATTAATATCATCATGCACAGAAGTTGCTTGTTCTAATAGGAGTTGTGAATTGTTTCCCATTTCAGGACATGAGTGGAAATGCTGGCTATGGTTATGGTGATGGCAATGAGTACTACAATTATCAGTCTGTAAGTACTTTGTTTCTTTGTTCCTGTCTGTCAGCATATTGTCTTGTGCTTTAGGAACGGTCCTTCTTGTTGTTGGTTGCCTGTACTCTGTTACAACATCAGCAGAAATGAGTGGCTATGCCGGAGATATGTCTTCTTGCATGTTTGTTACTCGTGATCCCATGTAAGAGAATGCAAGTAGGTGTGGTTTTCTGTTTGCTTACAAATTCAGCATTGTAGAAACAGTTATTGATTGTTGAACTGTCTGTTGTTTGTTGAATCATCTCGAATGACCCACAAAACTAACCACACAGCAAATCCCCGATGATGAAGTTGAATATGTCAGCTGAAGGATGCAAGTGTTGCAGTTATGCAATGAATATATAACTTGGGCGAAGGTTGCAGAAGAAGAAGAATCATGAATTTTAAAAATGCAGAAAATACCATGTATGGAGAAAAAAAAAATGAATGAAAAGAGTTTAAACCATAAATTGATTAGAAAAGTTACATGTAGACATGCAGTATTCTTTAGAGGGCAAGTTATGAGGAAAAAGAATCCTAAAAACATGACATTTGTTAAACATGATAAGAAAAGAGCTAGATTGAGACAGTTAATTACCTGAATGACTTGCCTCAGAACAAATCAAAATGAGAACACAGACTTGATCTGAAATTATCATGTATAGTGACCACAGCCACCAGTGCTTATCAGTCAGCAGGGCACATGGTGATAATGAATTGTGAAAATTCTTTACTTGGAAAATGCCAGAGTAGTTTGGTGAATATTGGGGTTCTAGGCAAGGACACCTTTTGTTGTGTTTTTTTATCTCCGATCTGTTGTATAGGGCAGCAAGAAGTGACCAGGGGTTCTGGTCGACACTCAGAGGAAAGGCAAGATGGACATGTAATCGGACTGCTAGTGGTACCATCAGAATTAGAGTTCTTCACTGGCTGCTGAATATAGAGACAGACTGCTTACGGCAGCGGTTGTCAGCGTGTGGGTTGCGACCCCTTTGGGGGTCAAACGACCCTTTTACAGGAGTAGCCTTAGACCATAGGAAGATGCATATTCACTGAAGTTATGAAGTAGCAACGAAAATAATTTTATGGTTGGGCATCACCACAACATGAGGAACTGTCTTAAAGGGTCCCAGCATTAGGAATGTTGAGATACACTGGCTTACAGGAATGTACTGAGTGCTGTGATGTTGACTCTCAGCTCAATTTAACATATGATAAACCTGTATATTTAGTCTTTGGAGCAAACAAGTGCATGTTTTGTATCTGCTTTGCTGTGCTGTCATTAACCAGAGGCCACCACTTTGTGTCTGCTTGCGGGCATTGGTGTAACTTTTTCTCTGAAACCTTTGTTTACACAATTCTGCAGCAGATTTTGTTCAGCCCTTAAGTGTAAGATAACATCGTTTCTAAAGCTCTTAGAAAAGTCTGTGACATAATAATTAAAAACAAAAACTGAATTTCGATTGTTGTCATGTTTAGATTTTATTTGGTTCGAAGCGTTTCCAGGTAAGTGATAAATATATTTACTCACAAATATTCAGAACCTTGGAAAGATGATGTTTTTCTGAATATAAAACATTTGTCATGAGAATTACATTAATTATTCATCTAACCAATACAATGTGTTCAGTTCATTTGTAAATTTAACATCACTTATATTTAAAAGTTTACCTAGAAAAATCACAACAGCCAATAACTGCTGTGGTTGATTCTGCAATGTCCTGTAAAGGATACGCAACTAACTTATCATTTAAAATGTTGTGTATAACTTGTTGCTTGTTGAACCCCCATTTTCTTCCTGCTCCATGCATGGGAGTTCTTGGCTGTCCCAACCTGTACAGAATTTATTGTTTCCTTAGCTCTGCAGAGAGCTTTCTGTGTAGTGCATGTTTTACAATTCACCAGTTTGTACTGTTTAAACTTGACACAGCTGGAATACCTCTTTAGTAAACAAATTCTTAAGGTTGTAGCCTTTTCTATTTCATTAGTACAGGCATTGGGAGCCTGTCTGCATGGAGGTCTTGAGTTTAGATCCACATGAGACTTTTTGGAATTTTTAAAAAAAAAAACCTTGGCTACCAATTTGACCCAGCCCAAAATTAGTCCCAAAACATTGGCCTCTGTGTGATATTGACGTTAGTTGACATCACCCATTGAGTGCCTGTTGGTCTACTAGTCTGGCATTATATGCCGCTGTGCAACTAGCATGAAAGGGTTCCTTTACTTTAGCACACACATTTGCATAACAAGCGGTAAAATCAAACAGGTTAATTGCATTACACATCATAAAGGATTGGGTTTCATTTGGCGTTAGAAGCGTTGTTATAACCAAGTAAGTTTTCACAGAGTTGTTTCATTTTTTCCCTTTTTAACTTTCACATTCTTGTTAGAAGTTGTATATCAGTTTTTTTTTCTAACAGACCTTACTGACAGTTAATTTAACAACATTCACTATCTCTGCTAATTTACTGTCCTGATAGATGTTGGGGACATTACATTTCACAAATTTTGATTTTGCTATAGTTAATCAAGGTCGGTGAACCTTGAACATTTATTACAAAAAATTAGTACTGTTTGGTTACAATAAAATATAACAGATTTTCAACAGATACAATCTAAGGTATTCCTTTACATTGTTTTAATTAAATATCTACCATAATTCTCGGACGTTGAAAACACTTTGTTAAATTATTCTGTTAAGTGACATGTTTTGTGAATATTACGATATATGTGTACACCTTTAAAGTTGTATGTGCCACAGCTGTCACATTATACATTTTCTGTGCCATGAAAATTTCACATCGGGAAAGTATGTTTATGCACTTAAACAAGACATTTGCATCACATTTTTTAAAATATATAATTCAATTGATAGGCAATTATGATAGATTAATATTTGTAAAGAAAATCATATTTGTTTAAATAATAGACTAGACTGTAGAAGCATGGCTGATTTTCTGAAGCAACATTTAATTATGCAACATGACATGGTATTTAAGTAGAAATAATTCATTTGTGTGTGCTTGATTATGTGTTGATGTAACTCTGTAGTAATGCACCTGACCAGATATAGCGAAGTATGCCTGGCAGTAAATCGTGCAGTGCATTATTTAAATTAGCTACGGGAAAACATTGTTTTAAATATTCTCTGCAGCCAGCACTTTGGCTTTTATCTTTTTCTTGCCATGAAAATAAAGTGTATTATTCACCTTCTGTTTTCCTTGTGTGTTATCCATTTATTGCTGTCCATTTCAGCAATATGGATATGGAGGACAGACCGATAATATGTACCAAACTGAAGGTGGTTATAATAATCAGGTAGATATATATATACGCACGTCTTTTATTAGAGTTAAGTACCTTGAGCTAATTAAATATGTATTGCTGTTAGTTGTACCAGTGCAGATTTTTATTAAGAAGTAGAAAATATTAGTTATTAAGCAGTTCTTGGAGAATGACTGAATCATTTTTTGATGGTTTCCAACGTGATGTTTTAATTTGCGGCCTGCCATCTTTATCTTGAGCATTTCAATACAGTTCTCACTTAGTTCCAGGTGTTTCCTCCATGTCTGGACTTTAGTCTTATTCCAGAGTTTTATGTGTACATTAGTTTCACAGATCTGGCTTATTTGTATGCAGACTGTTGGTTCCTTGCCTCCTCAGGTAGATGCACTCTGACTTTGAAGGAAGCACACCTAGACAGTAAACTTTTAGGACATGCTTGTTAGAGGGACATTGGGCACCAGAACCCACATGGGGATTGGATCTGTTCATACATTTCTCAAGATGGACACAATTAACTATTCAGCAAACTGCATTACAGTGCTAACTGAAAGAGAAAAACTGATGTCTTTTTAACGGAAATGCAGTAGATGCGTTGCATCATGGGCATGGTGCTGGAGTTGTGTTTCCCTGGCTTTTGAAATTTGATGTTTTTGCCAACTGAATGGCTGCTAACAACTTTTTTGGATAATGCATGTTCTGTTGTGGACGTTTTGCACATTGCTTTTTTTTGGTAGTTTTATGACACTGCACTCAGTCGATTCATTTGTATTGTTCAAGTTTTTGAAATTGTATCTACATAATCCTGTGCTGTTCTGTGACCTCATTTAGGGGGAAAAAAGGTGGGGGGGGGGGGGGGGAGAGAACCTGCTGCCCACTTAGCGAGCACGTCATAAGGAAGGTTGTTGCATATCCTTTACAGGAGGTTGCAGAACCAACCCCAAGACAGCCCCTGGCTGTTGTGTGTGTGGTTTTTCTAGGCAAATTTACTTCCAGTAGTTTGCCATTGCTTTCTGGACAATCAGCATTCTTGATACCATTGTTGAAACCAGCGCAAGGCGCATGGCCCACAGCTGGGATCGATCCCAGCATTACGAAGCGTTCGCATCAACTTACCCGCGGAGGCGACGCACGTCATAAAAGGCGACTAATTGTTTTCTTTTCGGATGTGTTGTGATGAAGGGTGCAGATATCGCAGCCTTTCTGTAAACCACAACACATCTTACCAGTAAAGGGCAGCAGTAGAAAAAGAAGCATTCATGTATATTTTATCTTCTGATATAAATGTGTAGATATGATGCTGTCAGACATGAAGTTTATTAATTGTAAAGCAGACATTAGAAGATTCATCAGACTGTTCCTGTTCTGTAATTATTATTATTATATTTTTTGTCCAGTTTGAATATTTCATACATTTAATGTCTGTAATTTGTTATGCTTGTTGTTGTTATGTCTAAATCTATTATGCTTGTGGTTATGTCCACTACCGTATTTGTTGTGTTCACTGAAACTTCTGCTCATGTTTTACCAGTGACCGTGATGGAAGTAGAGAATATTAACGTTTTTTCACGCCATGAAATGAATTGTTAAATACCACCTATGATTAGGGAGCCCTTCTTCTTAGCATTCACTGTCTGTGAACTCTGGCAGAAATTTTTCTTTATTTGTCCACTTTAGTACTTTAGTCTTGTTCCAGAACTTGTGTCTGGCATGCACATCAGTTTTACAGGTCTGGTTTTTTAATATTTGCATGCAGACTGTTGGTTCCTTGTCTTGCTGACAGATGCACTCTAACTTCAAAGGAAACAATCCTGATTAGCCAACTTTAACGACATGTTTTTTGTGGTGGTGGGGGGGGGGGGTGGTCTATTCTCTTTTATCTCTCTTGAATAAGCAGAATTGCCTTAAAATTATATAACTTCAGTTCCAAGCAATCATTGCACATGTGAATAGACAATCCAATTGACTTAACAGATAATTTTGTACTTTGCCCGAGTTGGTTGCAGGCTTTGGGAGATGAAAAGCGGCAGAAGAATAATACTTCAGAATTGCTATCAGACTTATTTATACAAATACATGATTATATTTTGTTGTTTAACTTGTAATTGCTGTGAAAATATGCCTATATTTGATGTAGGGTTTTTATCTGTTGGTTATTTCAAGTGTAAATGTTTTTTTAAAATTTTCATAGTTTAAAAAATATTTATTCTCTTTCAAACTAAGATCAGGCTGCATTTTTGTTTCAGAGTTTAAGTTTAAAAATTATAGGTAGGAGGAAATGAAACACAAAAAGTTTGAATAGAGTTTTGGGTTCTAGATACTTGTATTCCACCTAAGGGCTATAATTACTTTAATAAGATTTTAGATAGCAGTGCTGTATGCATTGCTTCATCCATTTTCCTGTTTGTAATGCTGTGTATCTTCTGTCCCCAGTTTGGCTCTGGTTACGGTTCTGGGAGTGGCATGGGTGGTAATTATGGAATGGGCAGTGGATATGGAGGAAACCAAGCATCAGGTGTGAATTTCCAGGTACCAAGTTGTAACCCTCATTGGTAGATGGCCATTGTTCTTTGTTCACGGTTGACCTTTATGTTATTGGGCACACATTCTGCAGCATTGATCAAACCTGTCTTAAAGCCCTACAGGCAGAGATTGTAAGTAATGAAGTGAATTATCTTTGTAGCTTCCACACTCGGCTGGAAAAACATCTCCTCTATCTAAATTCATAAGTAATTTCTACTGGTGAGCTTCCAGTGCTTTCGTTTTTATTCACCCCAAACTGACAGTCCAATATTTCAGGGGGTGGTAGATAGGCTGCACTCTCTCGTGGGACATAGGTGGGTTGGGGTTAGGTCTAGTTCTAGATGTTTTGGGGTAATTAAAAGCACCACACAACCGGGAAACCTGGTCTTACCACCCTAAAAAATATTGGACTGTCCCCATGACGTCATCTGGGGTGACTTATTACGAAAGAAACGAGCTTTCTTTTTAGCATTCTTCCGAGCCCTTGAAGCGAGAGTATTTTTAGGTCTGCTTTGTGTCCTAATCCTATTCATCTTTTCTTCTTCTTTAGCATATCACCCGCCTTCATTCATCCTTGTGGAATGGCCCTCTCTTTCCAGTCGGTGACTGACTGTTTTTAGTCTGTCTTTATCTTTTTACTATCTTCTTTTTATTCCTTATACTTTACTACCCTTCATCTCGTCGTCATCTTTTAGCATTCTGAACCCTTGAGGTTCTTTGCTGCAGATATCACATGCCTCCTTTCATCTTTGTGAATTTCCATTTGGTGACTCTTTTGAGTTTTTTCCTTTTTTTTAAAGTTTTGCCTGTAAATTCTTTACCGTCTTCTTGGTCTGCCTCATGCTCTACTCCCATCCATCTCTTCTTCTTTAGCATTCTGAGTCCTTGAAGTTCTTTGCTGTAGGTATTACCCACCTCCATTCATCTCCATGATTGATCCTCTCTTTCCTAGTTTTAGGAAGGCCTTGTGCTCTGCCCCCATTTAAGTCTTTTGTGGAACACAGTTTTGTCTCTCTGTTATCTGTCATTCTCTCTGTGTGCTCCAACCATTTGCAGTCTGTTAGCCTTCATGATACCAGTAGTTAATCACTGGTGATATAAACAGAGTATGCATTTCATAGAGCTCTCTGGGACTTTAATAAAAACTGCCAGTGTGTCACTATTTAAGGTGGTACAGGAGTCGTGATTAACCTAAAGATTTAGGAATCATGGTAAGTGTTGAGTTTTGTTAAGAATCAACATCATAGGGGCATTCCCATAAGTGCTCCATCTCTCCCCCCCCCCCCCCCCCCCCATCTTCAGCAGCTAGACATGTTGCCATGAAGTTTGCAGGTTACATGAAGATCGCTGGTTAGGAAATAAAATGTTGAGAATCACTGGTCCAGATGTAACTGTCAATGTTCTGATTTGTTAGTTGCATATCCTCTTCAGGATGATGAAAACCAGTGCTGGAGTATACTAGCTGTTGTGGTTTTACTAAGTAATTCTACGTTTTTCTTGGCGTCCAATGTCTGTAACTAGTTTGTAACATTCTGTTTTGTACTATCGGCAGGTTGTATTCATTCTCTTTGAGGTGGATTTTCATTTATCATTGTCCTAATTTGCCACTATGTGTCACATAGGGCTCACAGTATGTTCCTCCATTCTGTTCTACCCTGTGCAGTCAGTTCAATATCATGGATGGAATCCCGCCCAGCACCTTTGGTCTCTCTCATCAACATTCGCTTTAGGGTTTCTCTGTGGTATCCTCATCCATCCCTTTATTTCCTATTATAGTGCTTGTTTGGTGATTTTGTGCTCTTTTCTTTTTGGGATATGTCCAGTAAAGCGCCATCTTCTTTGTTTTATAACTGTTGTTACCAGTGGTTGCCCAGGCATTTCTCTGATTTTGTTCACAACTCTTGAATTCATCCCATTTTGTGGTCAGCATTTTCCTCAGACATTTGTGTTCAAATGCATGTAACTTTTATTCTCTGTCTTAGAGCTGGTTCATGCTTCAGAATCTTCTTGTAAAACCCTGCATGTCATTGTGTCACCAGTTGCTGTCGACCATCTGATCAGCTCCCTCCACATTTGAAGGTTCATACTTTTTATTAGTCATAAATTCCCCGGTGTGGGTTCTGGGACCCCATTGTGGGGAAAACAAGAATAGACTCACTGCCTTTCCCAACAAGCATGTCGTAAGAGCCGACTAATTGGGTGCTTCTTTTGAAGTCGGAGTGCATCTGCCTGAGAGGTAAGGAACCAACAATCTGCATACAGGTAAGTCAGATCTGTAAGATGAATGTGCACGCAACACTTAGGTTCTGGAACATGACTAAAGTTCAGAGGTGGACAAACAACCAGAACTTTCCGCCTGAGTTTACAGCCAGTGAATTTGAAGAAGAATAAGAATATTAATAAATTACTTCAGCATTTCCTGTGATTGCATGTGCTCTCTCTCTCTCTCCTGCAGTTGTCTAAATCGTTGTTAATGCTATCCACTGTTTAAAGACATGTGTCGGTGCTTTCTATTAATTTAGAATTGATAAACATATTTTATTATTGCATGAGTTTATAACTAAAACATATTGTTTTATTGTTTTAATGAGTTTTAAAAATCTGAACAAAAGCACATTTTATTATTTAATTTTATATTTTTTTTGGGTATTTGTTTTTTTAACAGTAAATGTAATGTTCTTACTGTCCTTGTAATTAAGAACTTTAAATGGCTTTTATTGCAGGATGGACAAACTTTCGGCAAAGGAGGCAACAGTGGCCTCGGCCAAGATAGTGGGAGATACGGGACAGATGGTTTTGCTAGTGGCATGTCAGAAACTGGGTACGGGTATGGGGGGAGAGATAACCTAGGCAATAATTATGATTCTTATGGTATGAGTGGAGGTTACAGCACTGGTATGGGCGATGGAATGGGGGGCAGTGGGGGCTACATGGGAAATGAGGGTATGGGTAGTAGCAGCATGGGTGGGGGGCTGTTAGGAAATGGAAGCATGAACAGTGGGATGATGGGGAACATGGGTGGGAGTATGGGAAACGGGTTGCTGGGAAATGGTGGAAATATGAATTCTGGCATGTTGGGAAGTGGCAGCGGCATGAACAGCGGGTTATTGGGAAGTGGTAGCGGGAATATGGGTGGTGGTTTGTTGGGAAGTGGTAGCGGGAATATGGGTGGTGGTTTGTTGGGAAGTGGTAGCGGGAATATGGGTGGTGGTTTGTTGGGGAGTGGTAGCGGGAATATGGGGAGTGGTAGTGGGAATATGGGGAGTGGTGGTGGAAGCCTGAAAAGTGGATTGTTAGGAAGTGGTGGTAGTGGAAGTATGAACAGTGGAAATATGAAAATGGAATACATGGGAAGCAATGCAGGAAACATGAGTGGAAGTATGGGCGGTGGCTACAACAATGGCATGATGGGCATGGCCGATGCTTACAGCACTTCTATGGGCATGGGAACATCCAGCCGGTCAAATATGGGAAGTGGAGGAGCTGGTCTGCTGGGTAGTGGTGGAGGAGGAGGTGGCTTGCTTGGCAGTGGAGGTGGTGGCAGCAGTGGCTATGGAGGTAGCATGTCTTCAGTCAGTGGAATGGGCAGCGGATCTTTGGGCAGAGACAATGCAGCTTATTATACTGGTGGATCGGGTGATTCCTCTGGTGCTGGACTGTTGCCATCTCCATCAAAATTTGTGAGTAATACCGTAGACTGTTTGTTGTTGCCCTTTTAGATGAAAAAATTTACATGGATAAACTATAGATTTCCAGAGCGTGACAAACTTTCTTTAAAAGAAAGATAACAGCTTACCTGCTGTCATTATGTAGACAGGCTGTCTTTTAACTAATGCAGTGAAAAGCTTCTTTGAACTTTTTACTAGCTGTAAATCCCCGTGTGGGTTCCAGGGCCCCATTGTGGGGAAGACAAGAATAGGCCCACTGCCTTCCCTAAAGCGGGTCGTAAGACTCGACTAATTGGGGAGCTTCCTTTGAAGTCGGAGTGCATCTGCCGGAGAGGCAAGGAACCAACAGTCTGTATTCAAGAGAATGAGATCTGTAAAACTGATGCACACGCAACACTCAGGTTCTGGAGCAGGACTGCAGTTCAGTAGTGCACGAGCAACCAGAACTTTCCGCCAGAGTGTACAGCTGGTGAACGCGAAGAAGAAGAAGACCAGCTGTAAACTCCAGCAGAAAGTTGTGGTTGTTTTGTCCACTTCTGGTCTTTGGTCTTGTCCCAGAACATGAGTTTTGTATGTACATCAGTTTTACAAATCTGGTCTTTTTTCTTGCATGCAGGCTTTTGGTTCCTCACCACTCAGGCAATGCAGTCCTATTTTGAGGAAAACACTAATAATTATTCGCCTTTTGCAACACACTTGTTAAGGGGTAGCGAGTCTGCCTCCCGCCTCACCCCATAAAAGGTTTTCTGGAACCTACACGGGGAAGGCAAAAAAGCAATCCCGGCTGGGAGACGTCTTTGATTCCATAGCAATATTTCTACGCTTATTCTTTATTTGGACCTCGACTCCTCAGTGAACTGCTGCAGGTTCATGTATGTTGTCCCCCATATCATCTCCATGTCGTTCTCTTGTCTCTTTTGCTGTGTGGGCTCTCTTGAAAGAACATTCTAGTTTTACACTGTACATGCCATTACAATAAAGGATCTGTTCAGTGACAGTTGTTGTTATCGATCCAGCAGCGCATGAGCTTTCGCCCTTTGGTCGAATTTGTCAGTGACAGTAAATAGCAATATATGCAGGATATTCCTAGACTATAATCAAACTCACTACAATCTACAGGAATAATTCTTCTTCTGTATTCATTCGAAGATGTGCATTGTGCCAGCTTGGAGGAGCATGGCTGCGATATTTGCGCCTTTTACCAGACACATCCAACTTTTGGAGGCATTTTCAGTACTAGAACAGTAAATATATTGTGACAAAGATTCCATAATTTAACATTAAAAAAATAATGAGTGTGCTAAAAATGCACTTGATTGTGGCACATGCAGAAATAGTGAAACTACTGAAGTAATTAAACATTATTGTTAAAGATCTGAGAAGTAAAAAAAAAATGTAAGCACTTTTGCACCAGAATTATGCTGTTTCTGGCTGTCTAAATTAGGAAGATTGGATAATGATTTCAGTGCTTCAGTATCAGCAGATTGTAGATGGTGTAATGATAAGTAGGAAGGGGTATACACAAGAGCAAAGGACCCTTGTGTAATATGATGCCACATTCATAATTTGTATAGACCAGCCTGCAGTGGGAATGTCATGAGTAAAATATCACTAGCCGCCTTTTACTTCCAAGGAGATTTCCTGGTACCCATTTTAGGCTGGCCCAACCTGGGAACCAGGTTCGATTTTTGTGTGTATTGTCAAATCTTCCAGGCATGGATTCGAACCCAGACCTTCAGGCCGGCAGGTAGGAAATATTGGCCAAGAGAGTCAAGACCAAACACAAATTGTATCAAACTAAAAAGGAATTAAAAAAAAAAAAGTAAATTTAACTAAAAAGCTTGTCTTTGTAAATGGAGAGCGATCACAAGAAGAAGAAGAAGAAGGCCAGCAGGTGAGCATGTAGCCCCTATACTACTGAAGCTCGTTTACATGATATAGAACATAAACACTGACATATCACTAATGCTGTTTGCCCGCGACCATTTCAGATGACACCTGCAGGACAGAAGCGTAGCCACAGTGAACTCCTGCCAAAACCAGAGCCTAGTCCAGAGAATGCTGGCTACATTGGCCAACACTCCCAGGGTATCGGAGGACACTACCTGGACTCGTACAAGAGAAGCCGACTGTTTTAGGTGTGTTTGTGGGGAATAAACTTGAATATCTGGACAGGATAGATGTGTTTGTGGGGAATAAACTTGAATATCTGGACAGGATAGGTGTATTTTAGGTGTGTTTGTGGGGAGTAAACTTGAATATCTGGACAGGATAGGTGTGTTTGAGTGTGTTTGTGGGGAGTAAACTTGAAAATCTGGACACGACAGGTGTGTTTGTGGGGAGTAAACTTGATTATCTGAAAAGGGTGGGTGTGTTTTAGGTGTATTTGTGGGGAATAAACTTGAATATCTGAAAAGGGTGGATGTGTTTGTGGGGAATAAACTTGAATATCTGGACGAGGTAGGTGTGTTTGTGGGGAATAAACTTGAATATCTGGACGAGGTAGGTGTGTTTGTGGGGAATAAACTTGAATATCTGGACGAGGTGAGTGTGTTTGTGGGGAATAAACTTGAATATCTGAAAAGGGTGGATGTGTTTGTGGGGAATAAACTTGAATATCTGGACGAGGTAGGTGTGTTTGTGGGGAATAAACTTGAATATCTGGACGAGGTAGGTGTGTTTGTGGGGAATAAACTTGAATATCTGGACGAGGTGAGTGTGTTTTAGGTGTGTTTGTGGGGAATAAACTTGAATATCTGAAAAGGGTGGGTGTGTTTGAGGTGTATTTGTGGGGAGTAAACTTGAATATTTGGACAAGGTGGGGTATTATAAGGTTTATTGGTGGTGACTGTGTGGTCAGGATGGTTTTACTGTGAAATAAAACGCATGCTGTGTTGCGAAAGTAAATGTTATGATTTAAAACTAGAATAGGTTTTCACGCTCATGAGTAACAGATGTTTTAAACTAGTGCTGCTGGCCTATAATTTGCTTTAACTTTTAAAAGGCAGTATTTAGCGCTGATGGTTCAGGTGTTTGTGGTTTAAAGTAAAGGATCTTTTTTTACACCAGTGGTACATTGGGAGTGGTAATTATTATGTTTTATCTTGTGATTCTGAATTATTTTATTATCCTGTTTAATTGTAGTGTTTTTGAGGGAAGAACTTTCACATAGTTAAGCATATTCTTACTAAAACAGAAAACTTTAGAAGGGAGGGAAAGTCTGTGACCATTGTGGGACAGTCCTCCCATCCATTAAGAATTTAGTAATTTCAGCCGAGTATGCGGCTACCATTAAGACTAAATAAATGCATGAACGGTGAATAATTTCCTGAGATGTTAAGAACGAACAGAAATTCATTGTCAGATTTAATTTATACAGATAAATGTTTAAGAAAAAGGGTAATTAAATTCTAGATTGTCCCTGCATGTACCTACTATCATGTATAAGGTGGTCTGTGCAGTCAGTACTAGAATTTGTTCTGTTGCTACTATTACACTGGAGGTTTAATGTGAGGCCGTTACAGTTAATGATATATTTGTCAGCTACAAGCATTGTTTTAAAATTTCTTGTGTGTGCTTTGGTTAAAAAAGAATATAAAGTTTCTTTTTTTTTTAAACTTTAATTTTGTTTAAGTTTAAAGTTAGTTTCAAAATTAATTGTAATTACATTGAAATTGTGTTGTATTTGTTTATTGTCATTGTCAACATTCTGGACCATTTTCTTGGGATTTGCTTCTAATTTAAGTATGTGCAAGACCAGTGACTCATAAGTTGTTGTCATGTATGCGCACATCTAAAAATCATCATCGGACATTTTCAGAGAATAAACAAATATGCACTTGGCTCAGATGTTATATTCCTGAACTCAATTTGTCGCATTCAAAAATTATTTTTGTCATACGCTTGTGTGTGTGTTAGTGTATTTTTCACATCTGTATGTAACTTTTTGTGCAGGAGGTTGACCCGTGAATATTTACCATTTCTTTTAAATGCTTTTATAGAAGGTGCATCATTTGTACTGTTGCTGAACTATCTGTTCAAGTATGTGTCGTTTGAAACGACTAAACACTAAACTGACTGGCATTTACGTCTTTATATTGTTGGCACTGCCAGAATTTGAATGGTTGCTTTTGGTGATTTTTCTCTTAAGTGCATTTTCGGGGCTATTATTTATCACTTTACAGTATGCGATTTCCTACCATAGATTTGTTCACTGGCTGTAAATTCCTGCATAAAGTTGTTGTTGCTTGTCCACTTCTGGACTTTAGACTTGACCCAGAACTTGTTTTGTGTGTGCATCCACTTCTTCTTCTTCATCTTTGCATTCACTTGTTGTTAACTCCAGTGGCAAGTTCTGGTTGCCAGTTTGTAAAACTTCATGATTCTTTTGTAGTTCTCGTTAGTTAAAATAATATGGCTGGGTGTGCATATGATCACTGATGTGTGGATATTTCAGGAATATTGTTTAAGAAATTCTTCTTCTCTGCCTCCAGTTACCTAACTGAAAAGAAAAAAAAGGGGGGGGGGGGGGGGGGAGGGGGGTGTAAGGATCTTCTATGTGTACTAAAGCAGTCGAAGAAAAGGTTGTTTTCTTGTACTGATTGCATTCTCACAATTTGACCTGCAGTTAACCACACATCATAGCAGCTGTGACATAAACAGCCGGCTTGGTTTGTTCATTTGCTGATTTGCCTGCGTGGTATATTATGTTCCACAGATATGTCTGCAGCATATACACAGGTTAATTCCCCTACCTGATTTTGGCTGTGGGTTTGAGAAAGACGGGCGTGGTTGTTATTTCTTAGATGTGCACTGAATGAAATTGAAAACCCGCAGGAACAGGCTTTTTTAAAGTAATTTTTTAAAAATATTAGTTACTCAAATCTGTTTATTATGTGGAGTGTATTATTGTTAAATGTTGTTTATTAAAGGCAGTTGATCAACATTTGCATTTTTGTTTTATTAATGAGTAGGGGTAAGAGAGACATAAATACTTAATATCATGCATACATCTGCATCATATTTTTGTGTATGATAAAAAAAAAACTATTAAATAAAATAAACCAAAAAACAAGTATTTGTCTAGTTCTTCTGCTTTTTATCTTTTACTGGGGCCTAGTCGTTTTTCAATTGGGGGGGGGGGGGGGGGGGGGGGGGCGGCGCATAAGGAGATGACTGAAAAGCTATGTAAAGGACCATTTTCCATGCCTGCAGGCGTGTGAGGCCCCGTTTTGAGCTTAAGATGTTATGGTCACCTTAGTCTGCAGGCTGTTGGTTCCTGGCCTTTAAGTCATATGCATGCCGATTTCGAAATAAACCGTCACCTTTTATGATAAAATTTGTGGGAAAGGTGGTGCGTATCCCCCCCTCTTTTCACAAACATAAAAAAAGACCGCAAAAGACGTACGAGGACATCCGTCGGAGTGCATCTGCCTGAGATGCAAGGAACTAAAATTCTGCATACAATTAAGTCAGATATGTTGAACAGACCCGCTGGCATCTATTTAACGACTCGTCTTGCCTCCACATTCTATTCCCCATGTCTCGAGTGGTGTCCAGAGCTTGCTGACACTCTGCTGCATTATTCTCACTGGGTACGGGTTTTCAGTATCCTCTATTCTACCTGTTATCTCATCCCCCAGGCGAGAGATCACCTCTGCTTTGTGCAACTGCAGTACAACTCAATGTGTAAGGTAGCTAGCTATACAAGAGATACTATACCACTTGAAGTTCCCAAAAATGAAAGAGCTGATAAACTAGCTGCCTACACTGTCAAAAGTGCTAAATCATGCAGTAATGATGGTGAACTGCGAGGTTGCGCTTCTAGTTCTCAAGAACTAACGAGAAAGTTTTGCAGGATGTGAAAAGAGCGATGGGGTTTTACTGCAGAGAAGAAAGTTGTTAAAAAAAAAAAAAAAGGCCTGGTATGGTGTTGGAAGTAGTAACAGAAGCATTCACATGACAGGGGAGTAGAACAGCAAGACGCTATGTAATTATAACTGACTCACAGATCATGCTTTAGGAAATAGAAGCGAGCAGAGGGCCTGAATGATTTCCCGCAGGGGAAAATAAAACAGGCGAACTAACAGTCGGGCTGCAGCTGGCAGCAACCGTACAGAGACTTTTCTTTGGCTACAGAGGGAGGGGACTGAGCACGTATGTGAATGTCCTGAGTGCAGTAATGGATTTACACATCTGGTTATGCTGACGTAAAGGGCAATGAGTGAGTGGACCATTTGGCAAGCAATGCACTAAAGCATGTGGGAAGAAGCGTGAACAGAGCAAATATAATCAATGCTGTACGGACTGGGCTAGTGAATAAGGATGCATCTCTGACGTTAACACGATTGCATGACATGGGAGTATTTAATTGCCGCTCAGCACAATTGTAATAATATTAATAATAATAATAATACTGTGCCGAATGGCAAATAAATATAATGATAAAATTGAAATATTACGAACACATACTTTAGAATATAATTTCAATGCAAAATATTGGGATGGGGGTGATGAGCACACTTCTCCCCACCATCATTATCAGTTTTTAAGGGGAAAAAAATCATCACCTTCAACCAACATCCCCAAAGGGGAGAGCTCTAGGTTATAATTATACCACGTCCTTCTCTATTTATATACAGACGGACCTGAATTATATCTAGATTATGTGCGCCATATAACATAGTTTAATACTAAACGCCACCAAAGGCCCTGAAAAGGACTCCTGCAGTGCTGAAGCGATCAAAGGAGATAAGACTCAAATACTGTCCCGACCGGCAACGGTCGTCTAAAGGTGAGCCAATGGGCAAACCGGTCACCGGTGTTCTCCTCCCTATTGGGGGGGGGGGGGGGGGAGACTAAAAAAAAACCTGAGAGCACCCAACCCCAACCCAATTATTTGCCTAAAACATTTGTAACAGGGTGAGACAAGCGTGGTCTGAGGAGTCCCCTGATGTTTCTTACCTGATTGGTGGTTGGGTGAGGTGGGGGGGGGGGGAGAGGAGGGGGCACCCCATTCTTGCCCAATGGTGAGAAGGGCGTGGTTAGGATAAGGCTGATCCTAACCCTTTCTCAAAACTTCGTCATTTTTTTTAAAAGACGAAACGGGGGGGGGGGGGGGGGAAGAATCCCCAATGTTTAACTAAAAATTTTACCGGGGAAGGGGTTGAGGAGGTCCCAGGGTTAACTTCGGTGCGGAGCGCCTGCGTCGATTGCGATAACTTAACTAACATAAAAGTAGTGTCATTTTTAATAATATTCATTCTGAAAGTCTGTCGCTTCATATTTTTACTAAACCAGTGTGCTTTAGGAAAAAAAAAACAAAAAAACAGAAAACTTCCGCCGTGAGCACAAAGTAATGATAATGTGTCCACGCAACTGATGTGTTAGTGATACCGACTGCTGTATTCCGAGGTGTATGACTGATTGATTAACAGTTACAGTATTTTTTTTTACAACCTTCTGCCATGCCATCCCCAGCAGATGCAAATATTTGCGACCATGATATCGAAGATATAGAAGACATTTCTACATCACAGTTGGACCACCGTCCTCCCAAACACAATGTTGTACCTAGGGCCAGGAAAGCGAAAACAGTTGCATCTAAAACAGAAGATCATCAGGATCATAATAATTCACACCTCTCGAAGGGGGCAGATACTTCAGATCTAATACTAAGAGACAGCTATGTACCAGGTAGTGTATTTACTGTTACATTTTTTGTTTCATTAAGTAAAGTGATTTGTGGCATTAAATATTATAATTTATCAGGGATTTAAACACATTTGTATTATGAAAAAGTAAAAGGAGCCTGTTTAGTACTGTACTCTCTTCTACAGATGAGTTAGAATTAGGGCTGTACCGAATATTCGCTTCGGGGCCAAATAGTGGACCTATTGACTATTCAGTATTCGGCCGAATAGTTGCAGTCGGGCCAAATACGAATAGTAGTTACCTTACACCTGCTTCTGCATACACTGCCTTAATGCTGATAACATGAAACGATTGGTTTTGTTGAAAGCTAATGCAGCTTTCCTGCATTAACTAAGCTGTCAGTGACAATTTCCAAGTTTTGTTACTTGTTATAATACTTAGGATTCTTGGCTCTCCTCCGAACTTCTACCCCCTGCAGTATTGCGGCCTGAAATATCCATTCGGGGTGCAGTCCAGTTAAAAATACGCACTTGTCGGAGTTCCCGCCGAGGAACAAATTGCGGCAAAACTATGAGTACCTTACAATGTCACGAGACGCAACATTGCAGACGATAGTAGCAGATGATAAAAGCGACCGGTGACAATATCAAGCTTTTTCTGCAGACGATACTAGCAGACGATAAAAGTGATCGTTGACAATTTCGAGACATAACAGACGATGAAAGCGATATAGCGAGTAGACCACGCAGATTAGCAATACTGTTCTTCCGATTGAGGATTTAGCAGCGTTAGATGTCAGACTTGTCGGCATGCGCAAAACGCGATTAAACTCACCGCCGAGCGCATCCCCCGCGTCGCTACGTGCGGCGCGGATGGCTAAACTAGGTGCCTGGGACTCAAAGTAATTGGAGGACATTGCAGGAGATGCGGTAGCTGCCGCTCGTGAGTCCCAGCCATCTAGTTTAGCCCCTATCCGAGCCACGCGAAGCGGCGCTGGGGATACGCTCAGCGGTGAGCCATAGTCACAGAAACAGGTCCGCAAGTAACATATGGCTGAGAGCCTGTTGGAGCATTTGTTTCGTTTTTCTGAGCCGATCCTAGATTTGCCGCGATTTGTTCGTCGGCAGACAGTTCGACAATGGAAAGTGTCAACGGTCGCTATTATCATCGTCTGCTTCTACCGTCTGCAGTGTTGCTTGCGTCTCTTAGAATTGTCGGGTAATCAGAAACAATAAGAAACAGGTCCGCAAGAAACATATCACTGAGACCCTGTTAGAGCATTTGTTTCGTTATATGGAGCCGGCATATTTTTAATTGGACTGCTCCCCGAACGGATATTTCAGGCCACAATACTGCGGGGGTAGAAGTTCGGAGGAGAACCGGATTCTTTCATTCCTCTGCACAGCTTGGTGGAATACTGATGCATGATAAGGCAGATGTGGTTAAGGCCTTATGGGAGTGCATGTGCAGTTCAGAACAGCAAAGTGATCATCAGTCTGTTGAGAGTGAGGCAGCGATGAGAGGATCAGGCCGATACTCGACGCTCAGAGGAAGGCAAGAGAGACATATAATCAGACTGCTCCTGGCACCATTTGTATTGGAACTCTGCACTTGCTGCTGAAGATGGGGACTAAATGCTTATGGGAATGTTCCGAGTGCTGTAATTTCAATTCTTGAACCAACTCAAACACTCATGTAGAGGATGTTATATATTGAATCTGTCCGAGTGATTTTCCTGGCTGAAATGTGTCTGATGTTAATTTTCTAGGCACTCAGAGTATCTATGTGCGAACTTGGGGGTGCTCCCACAACAATTCTGACAGTGAATATATGGCTGGACAGCTTGCAGCCTATGGATACAAGATAGTTGGTCAGTATCATTTTGTTTCTTGTTTATAAATACAGAGGTCGCCAAAAAAAATTATACATAGGAATCGTCCACCTGGAAAATGCATAGGCATTTTCATAAAGGCTACTTGTTTTAAAACATCATCATTACATGACATATTCGGCCATATTTAGATCACATTACGGAGGCTATATGTTGTGTGATTGTTGTGAAAAGTTTCTGGAGGCCAGTGGGAATCACTTTGAGCACCTGTAGTAACTTCATCAAATCACATGTAACATGTAAGCATCTCTACCTGTCTGAATAAATTTAGTATCAAAATGTCTATACAGGTAGTTATTAACAAAACTATGCAACTCATTGCTACCGTAATGTATTCAAAGACTGCAAATATCGTACATATAGATACATTTCACTGCTGGACGATTACTGTGTTAACATTTTCTTGGCTACCTCTGTTTATATGCATACATGCCCGGCTCTCTAGCGGAATTGGCTAAACCGGATTTCGCGGAGACCGGGTGACGTACTCCTTGTGGTCCGGGTTCAATCCCGGGGGTAGGCAGGAAAGCCACATTTTCTCCCAGATTTACGGTATTTACAATGGAATCAAGGCCGAAAGGTTGCGATATCCATAATACCGAGCCTAAGGGTTAACAACTCAAGGCTTCTGGATACTAAAACAAACAAACAAACAATATGCATACATAAACATGTGCCCCCAAACACACAAACACAGATGCATAACAAATTAAAGAGAGGTAATCATGTGGTATTAATCAGACCACTCGCCAAATGTTTGTTTGTCTAAAAACGTACAGAGCTAGCAGGAAATGCCTAGTATCTTCATGAGTTGTGAAAAGGGTCCTATATGTGTTCATGGACAGGGGCAGTTCTAAAATATTTAAAAACAGCATGCAAGTAAGTGGCTTAGGAAGCCAGCTGCTACAAGTATTTATTTGTATCGGCTTTATCCTTTCCAACTGGTTTAAACGAACAAACAAACAAATGGCGCTTTTGAGGATTGAACCCACACCACTATCATGGCGGTCAGTCATACAAGCCATTCTGCTCATATGGCTCTTATTCTTTATTATTTCTGTGTATTACGTGCGACAAAATTGAACCGACTACTCACATCTCTTCCTTTTATCCTCCTCCTTTCGTTCTCCACATATTTCCATGGCGTGTGTGCGTGGCATCTTGATTGCTGTGGTGCGCCTCCTGGCTGGTTGCCTCCGACTTCAGCACCTTGTTTTGCAAGGGTTGACTGTGGTCATACTCGAGGAGAGTAGGCTCATCCCTTTGTCTTTCGCCTTTACCTCGTTTGTTGTCCCATCCAGTTTCCCGCTGGGGGTTGAGACCCCAACCTTCAACTGGATTGCTGGGAAGAACAGGGTCCACCACGTGAAGGTGAGGTAGGCTTGAGCAAGAGAGGCTAACAGACATTAAGAGTCTTGTATTGCGCATCATTGCTCCATTTGGACCCCTCTTCCTTTTATGTTCTTTGTATTCTTGACGCAGCATTACGGAACAATATGTTTATACGTGTTGTGTTTATATGATTCGACCTATTTTTGGTGAATATAAATTTCTGTAACCTGTGGTGCCGTTTCAGTGGTTTGAGACACATTCTGTCCGTATTCCATAGTTGTGAATTCAAGCTGTACCATAGACATGGCTAATGAAGACATCTTTTTTCTTGGGGCGGGGTACATAGCTATTCATGCATCTTAGTACATGCTGTCATCATTTAGAGGGGACAGGTTTGATTCCCAGCATGGGCAATATAAAGGATCCTTCTCCACGGCTTCAGGTGTTTTAGGCATATAGGGCTAGACATATATTTTATAGACCAGTCCGCACTCGGTCGGTAATGTCAACATCATTCCAGCCACCTTTACTTCCCATGACTTTACCTGGTAGCCGTTTAAGGCTGAGAGCCAAGGTAATTTTTTAAAGAAGCCTAGCTTTATCTGGATCTGAACCCAAGACCTTCTGATCCACAGTCGAGCACCTAGCCGTTACACCATGGCGGCTCCCATGAACTCTGTAGCTTTAAGTTTTCATATTGTCTAAAGTTTCGTTGTATCCTTCTACTTCTTTCTTTGAGTACCGATTAATACATTTTATTATATCTTTTAAATTGAAGTCTAAAGGAAGTATTTCAAATAAAATTGTGAATCTTTTAACAGACGACAAAGACAGGGCTGACTTGTGGTTGTTAAATAGCTGTACTGTGAAAAACCCTGCGGAGGATCACTTCAGAAATTCTATCAAAGAAGCCAAATCCAAGGATAAGCTAGTGGTCCTTGCTGGCTGTGTGCCTCAAGGGCAGCAGAAGGCAGAGTATATACAGGTATGATGCTTTTGTCTTGAGTTCTGTAGATACTTTTGGTGTATGTGGTGTGTCTTTTTTTGTCTGTTGTATGCAACATTCAACAATCCTTAGTCATTTCTTTGGTAGACTTAAGAGAGAATGAATAAATAAATTTAGTTTTTAACTCTTTCATCCCAGTGACAAAGATTACAAAGCCAGTGACCCGTATTTTGGGAATTCCTGGAAAAAAACACATCCTTTTTAAAAAAAACCCCAACATTTTACACAGGTTAAAAAAATTTCCTAACATTTTGATTTAAGGACCAAAGCAATAGTAAATTTCATACAGATGTAGTCAGTAAGTACAAATGCAGCACACACAGGAAAAAAAGAGAAAAAACCGGGCTATATCTGTTTGAGCTTAAACAAATTTATATGTCTCATTTTTTACCTCGTGACCTGGTTGTCAGGTTACCATTATAATTAATGGGAAATTATGATGTTATTATTTCTTAAGAAAAAAAACCCAGCTATTTCTGACAAGAAAACCCACTTAAATGCTATTTTTTTTTAGCAAATATAATAATTCCTAAACATTTGTGCAGCCGCGAACAATAACAGTGCTGTAAGTTAGGCTTCTTGTGATTTTGCGGTTTCTTAGGGGGAAAGGGTTAAAGGGTCACAACGAGGGTACACATATCCGTCTTAGATTCAGCTCTACAGCTCAGCACACATGTGCACATGCACACACACACACACACACACACAGATATATGACACACACACACAGATAAGGTAAGGGGTTAGGGTAGGGAGGAGCATACTATGTTTTTAACATTAAGTTGTGAAACTGAAACAAACAAAAACAAAACAAAAAGCAGAATACACTGATTTCTTTCATATGTTCATTAATATTTTTGTTATTTATTTGTTCATATTTTGTTGTTTGTTCATTCTTGTATCATTGTTGTTTTTTCATTCATATTTTTTTTTTGTCAAAACAGGGTCTGAGTGTCGTAGGTGTACAACAGATTGACAGAGTAGTCGAAGTTGTTGAGGAAACTTTGAAAGGTAAACATTTTCAACTGTGTCTTTAAAAATTACTTTTACAGGCAAGTCTGAATATTTAGTTTCTTAAATATTTTTTTTTTTAGAAGAATAGAAATATTATGTAAATGCATGCAAATTATAATGGCCTTCATTTTGAACTCGGTCCACCGTCCTGCTAGGTTTATTGCTCCAAACAAAACACATTGATTGTTTGGTGCCTGAGTGGAGTTGATTCCAGAACCGATATCACTGCATTCCGGACATTCCCATAAGCACTTTGTCCCCATCTTCAGCAGCTAGTACCAAGTTCCAGTAACCAATGGTTCCAGTAACATTCTGATTATTTGCCTGTCTTGCCTTTCCTCTGAGCGCTGAGTATCGGCCAGAGATCCCCTCGTCACTCCTCGTTACATAACTTTCACCAAACTGATGATCTGGTTGCTCCTCCGAATTGTACACAGGCTCCCATAAGGCCTTGACCATGTCTGCCTTATCATGCATCAGTATTCCACTAAATTATGCAGCCAGTTTGTCCATCTGTTCATTTCCCAACACACCGTGATCCCCAGGAGACAAGGTCCAGACAAAGCTCATTACCTGTGACCTCCGAAGCGAAGCATGCGACTCTGCATGATGCATGCCTGTCCTCACCTTCCTCAGCATACTTTCTGAGTCAGTTACGATGTGTGTGTGTCGTGTTCTATAACCAGCGGAAAGCTGCAGTGACCGCTTCCATGTCCATTCTTAAGCTGGATGTTGTGGTATGATATGCTAGGCTCTCCTGCACCAAACATCAGTCATAAGCTTTTGCTAAGAACCCCCAAGCACTTCTTTTACTTCTTGATGCCGAACCATGTGTATAAATAATCACATCACCCGAATGAGCATTATCTTGAATTAATTGCTGGATTTCCACCTCCGTGGTACCGGCTAGCCACTCTCTGCACTCCTGGTTCAATGTGATTATGACTACTCAAATTTGACTGTTCTGCTGGCACTCTGACCCACTCCTGTCCTCGCGTAATGTTCTCCAGTATGCAGACCTGTCTGATCCTGTCCTCTGTGAGCCATCCATGGCTTCCCTCTAATCAGCTGCTGACCTTTAACTGCATCCAGCGCTCCGCGCTAAGGGTGATCTGTGCTTAGACTTTTGGGTTTTCCACAGTACGTATACTTTACCTATTTTATTGTGGTGGGTTTTATTTTTTAAATGTTGCCACAACTACGGTATAGATCCCATGTCAATTATGATTTCTGGCTGGCAGTGGATTTACTATATTCTCAGTGCACACATAGAACTTCTGTCTTTCATCCTTGTCTGAGAAAGCTGATCATCTACTCTGCTACCCAGAGATCAAGAGGGCAGATGGCATCATCATGTTCTTGTGATTTATTTTCTTCACAGAATGGTTTTTAACTCAGTTTGAACTTTAAACATTTCAAGATTGTTGTGGATCCATACTTCCACTTACCATCAGGTGGCAGGTCATTTGCAGAGCATCACTCTCACTACAGCGTGCCCGGAAGAAATTCGGTTTCTCGTGGAGGTTCATACCCAAGGAGACAACCATATCTTGTGCCTACGTTCATACTGGTTGCCCCCCTGCCCCTTTCTGGCACCGTGCTTTCTGCTACTGTTCTTTCTGATCTGTGAATGAGCTGTGGCTCTTGACAGGGCCTAAATGTTTTGTTTCCGAGACAAGATGCTATTTACTAGCAAGTCTTCTAAGTCACTAGGATCTCTCTATATAATTATTAAAATATGTGCTGATTGCACAGTGGAGGTTGGTTGTAGTATATCTACTGCTGCGTTTAGGAATGCAGCGAAACCTCCTTAAAATTTTTTTTTTCAACATTTTATTACAAAGAAACACATTATTATAATTAATTATCTTTGGAGTCTTGGTTAGTTTTGATTAAAAAATGCTTGGGGTTCTTCTTCTTCTGTGTTCATCAAATCCATGAAGTTGAAATCTATGACTGCCCAGCAGAAGGCAGGCCTGCTAGCTATGGCTTCATCGCAGCCCTAAAGTGACGAAAAAGATGCAATTGTCATATTTACAGCCATAATTTTTGTACAGAATTGATATATATATATATGTGGGCTCAGTCTGGGTAAAGATTTGATATCACAGTGTTCAGGAAAAGCCCATATTTGCTCAGAGTCCCTTCTCAACAGTCAGCGAAGAGTCCCTCAACAGTCAGCGAAGAGTCCCTCAACAGTCCGCGAAGAATCTCCATACTGATAGTACCCGTTGTCTTCAGGAAAAATGTATGATTTTTTTTTAAATACAAAGGGAAGTAATCACTAAATACTGACAAAGCAAAAATAACTTTTCTTCCCTTTGACCAAGAAAACAAGGGTTTTGTTGACACAGCCTGAGAGAGCATCATAAGTTAATTTTTCACCCCAAATATCTTCTAAAAAATGTTTTGGTAAATTTAATGATGCACATCACATCTAGACACTATGAAGTAGGCACAGTTTATTGCTGGCATATTTCACTGCAACTCTGCAGGTGCATTACTGCAGAGTGTTAAGCTAAGAACCTACATCGCATTATGCAGGACATTCCCATGAGTGCTCCATCCTCATCTTCAGCAGTCAGCGAAGAGTTCCATTTCTGATTATGCCTGTAGCCATTTTATTTCTTAGTGTAGAGTGCTGATCAGATTCCCTGGTCACTCCCAGTTGTGGCACTCTCTCCAGATCACAATGATCGGTTCATGCCTCTACATTGTCTACTAGGTGCCAGAGGGCCTTGACGACATCAAGCTTGTCATGCATAAATTCACCACCCATTGAGGCAGAACCAGCCAGTCTGCCTTCCTGTTCATTTCCCAACACTCTTGCCTGTCCTGGAGAAACTATCAAAATAACGCTGCCTACCGGGAATTTCCGAAACGATGTCGCCACTCTGCACGGAGCATGTCTGTCTCCACCTTTCTTAACCTGCTTTTTGAGTTAGTTACAGTCACGACATGTATTAGCGGCTGGTTCTCAAGCCATAGAACTATAGAGTTACACCAATAAATAATGAAGCACAAAAACGAATCCTTTCCATAGAAATACACAACAGTGTTTCTAGTTACACTGTAACACTATCATCTAGAAAGTCAGAAAAACTGTTAACAGTGTCATCATTGGTAACTTGTATTTGTTGTAGGTAATTCTGTGAGGTTGTTTGGACAAAAGAAGACGTTTGGGAAGAAGACAGGGGGAGCATCACTCAGTTTGCCCAAGATCAGAAAAAACCCTCTAATTGAAATCATTGCAATAAACACAGGGTTAGTTTTTATAATCTCCGGTGTGTTGTGACTAATGTGTTCTATTGTATGTAACAGTATTCTGACAACACAGGCAGTCATCTTATTTTAGTATGATGTGTGTTTGTATTGCAGTTAGAAGTTTTTTTTTTTGTTAACAGCCCCTGGATTTTTTTCAGCCCATGGACAGTCGAAAAAGATATTTTTTTTACTGTTCATTTCTAGTGTTTTTTGTGTGTGTAGTAATTTGAGATAAAGAAAACATGTCTGGCAATAAATTATGTAATCTATTGTTCCTCCCGTTTCAAATTTACAGCAGGATAAATGTCTTATCTCACAGAATTCCAGAAGGGGCCCCCCCCCCAAAAAAAACAGCACAAAGCACATGAAAGAAAAGGTTTCATGATTTTTCTTTTCTTTTTTTCAATCTCCCAGTTCAAATTGGTCGAATGTGTTACATGCAAATTTCCTGGGTAGTAAAGGCAGTTAAGATGTTTTTAATCAGTTCGCCTGTCGAGTGGCAGGTCAGGTCTGTTTTCTTGTCCTGCTGACAGCATACGACCGAGCCATCTAGATATTTATTTCTTTGTCTTCCCCCTTGCCTTTTCCTCATTGATTTGCCAGGTGTCACCAGTTTGAGTTTGTTCCTTCTTATAACATTACCAACAATCTTGGCTGTCTGTCTACTATAATTTCTTGAGCCCTTTTCAGCAGCCTAATTTGTTACACCAAAGTGCTAACAGTATCATGTATCAAATTCCTGTGTATCTTTGTCCATGTTTTAGAAAGGGTGATGTGATCTGTAGATCTTTTGTAACTAGCATGAAGATTATATATGGTTAAATAAAGAAATATTTGTGTATGAAATAACACTACCTTCTCAAGACTTGTAACTAGCATGAATATTATATATGATTAAATGAAGAAATATTTGTAAATGAAATAACACTACTATCTCAAGACAACTAGCATGAAGATTATATATGATTAAATAAAGAAATATTTGTTTATGAAATAACACTACCATCTCATGACTTGTAACTAGCATGAAGATTATATATGATTAAATAAAGAAATATTTGTGTATGAAATAACACCACCATCTCATGACTTGTAACTAGTATGAAGATTATATATGATTAAATAAAGAAATATTTGTGTATGAAATAACACCACCATCTCATGACTTGGAACTAGCATGAAGATTATATATGATTAAAGAAATATTTGTGTATGAAATAACACCACCATCTCATGACTTGGAACTAGCATGAAGATTATATATGATTAAAGAAAGAAATATTTGTGTATGAAATAACACCACCATCTCATGACTTGTAACTAGCATGAAGATTATATATGATTAAAGAAAGAAATATTTGTGTATGAAATAACACCACCATCTCATGACTTGGAACTAGCATGAAGATTATATATAATTAAAGAAATATTTGTGTATGAAATAACACTACCATCTCATGACTTGTAACTAGCATGAAGATTATATATGATTAAAGAAATATTTGTGTATGAAATAACACTACCATCTCATGACTTGTAACTAGCATGAAGATTATATATGATTAAATGAAGAAATATTTGTGTATGAAATAACACTACCATCTCATGACTTGTAACTAGCATGAAGATTATATATGATTAAAGAAAGAAATATTTGTGTATGAAATAACACCACCATTTCATGACTTGTAACTAGCATGAAGATTATATATGATTAAAGAAAGAAATATTTGTGTATGAAATAACACCACCATTTCATGACTTGTAACTAGCATGAAGATTATATATGATTAAATGAAGAAATATTTGTGTATGAAATAACACTACCATCTCATGACTTGTAACTAGCATGAAGATTATATATGATTAAAGAAAGAAATATTTGTGTATGAAATAACACCACCATCTCATGACTTGTAACTAGCATGAAGATTATATATGATTAAATAAAGAAATATTTCTGTATGAAATAACACCACAATCTCATGACTTGGAACTAGCATGAAGATTATATATGATTAAATGAAGAAATATTTGTGTATGAAATAACACTACCATCTCATGACTTGTAACTAGCATGAAGATTATATATGATTAAAGAAAGAAATATTTGTGTATGAAATAACACCACCATTTCATGACTTGTAACTAGCATGAAGATTATATATGATTAAAGAAAGAAATATTTGTGTATGAAATAACACCACCATCTCATGACTTGTAACTAGCATGAAGATTATATATGATTAAATGAAGAAATATTTGTGTATGAAATAACACCACCATCTTATGACTTGGAACTAGCATGAAGATTATATATGATTAAAGAAATATTTGTGTATGAAATAACACCACAATCTCATGACTTGGAACTAGCATGAAGATTATATATGATTAAAGAAATATTTGTGTATGAAATAACACCACCATCTCATGACTTGGAACTAGCATGAAGATTATATATGATTAAAGAAATATTTGTGTATGAAATAACACCACCATCTCATGACTTGGAACTAGTATGAAGATTATATATGATTAAATGAAGAAATATTTGTGTATGAAATAACACTACCATCTCATGACTTGGAACTAGCATGAAGATTATATATGATTAAATGAAGAAATATTTGTGTATGAAATAACACTACCATCTCATGACTTGTAACTAGTATGAAGATTATATATGATTAAATGAAGAAATATTTGTGTATGAAATAACACTACCATCTCATGACTTGGAACTAGCATGAAGATTATATATGATTAAATGAAGAAATATTTGTGTATGAAATAACACTACCATCTCATGACTTGTAACTAGCATGAAGATTATATATGATTAAATGAAGAAATATTTGTGTATGAAATAACACCACCATCTCATGACTTGTAACTAGCATGAAGATTATATATGATTAAATGAAGAAATATTTGTGTATGAAATAACACCACCATCTCATGACTTGTAACTAGCATGAAGATTATATATGATTAAATGAAGAAATATTTGTGTATGAAATAACACCACCATCTCATGACTTGTAACTAGCATGAAGATTATATATGATTAAATAAAGAAATATTTGTGTATGAAATAACACTACCATCTCATGACTTGGAACTAGCATGAAGATTATATATGATTAAATGAAGAAATATTTGTGTATGAAATAACACTACCATCTCATGACTTGTAACTAGTATGAAGATTATATATGATTAAATAAAGAAATATTTGTGTATGAAATAACACTACCATCTCATGACTTGTAACTAGCATGAAGATTATATATGATTAAATGAAGAAATATTTGTGTATGAAATAACACCACCATCTCATGACTTGTAACTAGCATGAAGATTATATATGATTAAATGAAGAAATATTTGTGTATGAAATAACACTACCATCTCATGACTTGTAACTAGCATGAAGATTATATATGATTAAATGAAGAAATATTTGTGTATGAAATAACACTACCATCTCATGACTTGTAACTAGCATGAAGATTATATATGATTAAATGAAGAAATATTTGTGTATGAAATAACACTACCATCTCATGACTTGTAACTAGCATGAAGATTATATATGATTAAAGAAAGAAATATTTGTGTATGAAATAACACTACCATCTCATGACTTGTAACTAGCATGAAGATTATATATGATTAAAGAAAGAAATATTTGTGTATGAAATAACACCACCATTTCATGACTTGTAACTAGCATGAAGATTATATATGATTAAAGAAAGAAATATTTGTGTATGAAATAACACCACCATCTCATGACTTGTAACTAGCATGAAGATTATATATGATTAAATGAAGAAATATTTGTGTATGAAATAACACCACCATCTCATGACTTGTAACTAGCATGAAGATTATATATGATTAAAGAAAGAAATATTTGTGTATGAAATAACACCACCATCTCATGACTTGTAACTAGCATGAAGATTATATATGATTAAAGAAATATTTGTGTATGAAATAACACTACCATCTCGAGACTGTTGTCCTTCTAGATGCCTGAATCAGTGCACCTACTGCAAAACTAAACATGCCCGGGGGGAGCTGGGAAGTTACCCACCAGAAGAGATTGTGGAGCGAGCCAGGCAGTCCTTTTCAGGTAAGTTAAGTTTAAAAAAAAAAGTTATTTGCAATCCTTTACAGGACAATGCATAACCAACCCCAGCATCTTTTGTCGGTTTATGAATTAATTAGGCAGTTTTATATTCAGTAGTTTGCCTTTACTTCTGAGTGGTCGGCTATTGATACTACTGTCAGAACTGATGCAAGGCGGTCTGCTACCTGATCGCCTGCAGTTAGGATAAAACTTGAATGCTTGAGCCACAAGAGATGAGAGCAATGTTCTGTAAATAACCTGTTGATTGATTGATGTTGTCACTTTAGAAAGTGCCAATGACACACAGGTGATTTCCTGCTCCAGATAGATCAAAATAAAGTAAGACTTTTCTCCCAACTTTACATTTTTCCTTTGTCACAGTGTGATATTTAAAAGATGTAGGTGTCCAGTTTTCTTGAAACAAGGATTTAGCACTTAGGTGAGTTTAGCTAAATGCCAACAACATGATGTAGCACAAAACATTAATCTTTTCTCAAATATGCAAATCATATTCTCTTGTTCACACTGTTTTGTGCATTATTATATTATAATGGTGTTGTTGCCACTTTCCATCTTTCCAGCGTCATATTTTGTGCTATGGGGTTGGCAAGGGCCCATGGCGATAACATTAGTGACTAGTAAGACTCGTGTTGAGAATAACCTCCCAGGCTATCTTCCGAATAACGGTCCCAAATTATCGAGGCCAAAAATATACCCTAACAGGGTCTCAGTCACATGTAAATTGCGGACTTCCGCCACCACTTAGAGTATCTCTCATGCCGCTACGCGTGGCATGGAGTGGGGCTAAACTAGATGGCTGGGACTCAAGAGCAAATAAAATGAAGGAAGCTGCAGGAGATGCGGTATCTGCTGCTTGTGAGTCCCAGCCATCTAGTTTAGCCCCAATCCATGCCGCTGTGCGTGGCGTGGGAGATACTTTCAGCGGCAGTGGTAGTTGCAGGAAAAGCGCAATTTAAGTCGCCGGAAGTCTGCAATTTACATGTGACTGAGGCCCTTTTAGGCTCTATTTTTGGCCTCGATAATTTGGGACTTTTATTCAGAAGATAGCCATCTCCCAAAATTCCAGCATAGGATTTTAGGACCATTGTTGCCATCACATGTATTTAGTGTCCTTCTTCTCAGACGCTCAGCTCTCAACCTTTCAATTTTTTCCTTTATTTCCATTTCCTTCCTGATTTTTTCCCCCCATTGCAACATCCTTGGCATTTTTATGTGAACTACGTATTAAGGCATCTGATGAGATATTGTGAAATACACCCAGCAGTAAATTATGCAGTATGTTGTTTGTGTTCTCATATTTATATTCACAACAGAACTTTTTTTTTTTTTTTTTTAATTTTAAAAAGAGAAACAGGAGAACATTGTTGGGAAATGGACAGGCAGATAGATTGGCTGTTTCTGCACTATTTGGTGATAAAGTGATGCACAGTGAGCTAGATATTGTAATGGCCCTTTAGATATGATAATGCCCCTTTAGATATGATAATGCCCCTTTAGATATGATAATGCCCCTTTCGATATGATAATGCCCCTTTAGATATGATAATGCCCCTTTAGATATGATAATGCCCCTTTCGATATGATAATGCCCCTTTAGATATGATAATGCCCCTTTAGATATGATAATGCCCCTTTAGATATGATAATGCCCCTTTAGATATGATAATGCCCCTTTAGATATGATAATGCCCCTTTAGATAATGCCCCTTTAGATATGATAATGCCCCTTTAGATATGATAATGCCCCTTTAGATATGATAATGGCCCTTTGGGAGTGAGTATATTGTGTCGAGGCACAAATAGATCATCACAGGCTGAAGAGAATGATAAAGCTGGGAGTGACCAGGGGAGCTGGCCGACACTTGCTGCTCAGAATGTTACTGGTACCATTGCCATTAAAACTCAGCCCTTACTGCTGAAGATGGGATTGGAGTACTTATGGGAATGTCCTAAGGACTATGTCAGTTCATAACTCAGGAAACCATTGTTTTCTTCTTCTTCTTTTTTCGTTCGCATAAAATAAATTATCTATATCTGCAATGCTGTCTTTAGTATGAATTTCACTGTCTTTTGTAATTCACTAAGCGACCCGTAAAGTTTGACTTCCACAAGTGTCTCTTTTGGCTAAAGGTTTTGCCTGAAAGCGTAGAATCTGGGACAGTCTTGGAGGATGTGATCTGTTGTTTCAGGTGCTAGTCCACAAATACACATGGCTGATTGGCCAATCTTAAATTTGTTGTACATGTGGCAGCGAAGTCGGTTGTGCCCTGTTCTAAGGCGAAGGATAATGACTTGCTCCGGTCTGTCCATAATATGGTAACCATTGTTTTGATATTTCAGAAGGTGTTGTGGAGTTATGGCTGACATCGGAAGATCTGGGTGCCTATGGGCATGATATTGGAGTCACCTTGCCGCAGCTGCTGTGGAAGCTGGTGGAAGTGATACCTGAAGGTGCCATGATGAGGCTAGGCATGACCAACCCTCCCTACATCTTGGAACATTTGGAGGTAAGCTTTCCTTGTGGGATTCCGAAGCTCCATTTTGGAGAACAGAGAGAACTGCCATGTGTCCCTTTCCTGAAAAGCATGTCATGGAGGTGACTAATTAGGCCTGTTCCTTTAGTCGGAGGACTGAACATATCTGCCTGAGAGACGAGGAACCAACAGTCCGCATACAAACTAGCCAGATCTATAAAACAGATGTGCATACAGCGCTCAAGTTCTAGATCAGTACCAATGTCCATGAGTGGATGAACAACCAAAACTATCTGCTGGAAGATTGCTGGTGAACACTGAAGAGAAGAAGTAGGAGGTAAACTCAGCGTGAGATGAAGGAAAAAGCAATACTGATTGTGTTTGTCGTACATAGCATTTCTGATTGTTATTCCTCTTCTGTGTTTGCTGTCAGAAGAGCTATTAGCCCATTGTTATGTAGTTGACAGCTAGGCCGTGATATCTGCACCTTGCAGTCCAACTCATCCAGTGTCAGTAAACTCCTTCAGGCTGGACAACTCTGAGAACAAGTGGGATCCCATACATGTTAAAATCTTCCTGCAATTAAAAAATGAAAACAGTTAACCCTTTTGGCTGCTGGAATTCATTGTGTTCATCCTGATGCCAAACAGCACCACTTGCAGTAATTCTGACTGGAGTCGCAAAACTAAATCTGTCCAAGCATGCTGTTCCATGAGAATGTTCTAGAAGGTTGAGGCAGGTTGGTTTTGAGGCAGACAATGGCTTAAGTCCCTCTAGATTCACAATTCGTGAATTTATGTTTATGTCTTGTCACAGAATGTGTCTTCGGCGACATAAGAGCGGATATATAAAAGCTAGGAGAATCAGAGATGCATCTGTGCATGCACAAAATCTTTGAGCAGTTGGACAGTAAGTTGGCGACATTTCAGGCTTTAACCAACCCAACCACATAATAAAGATGTATTTCGCTTGTGATTCTGGGATACATCCAGCTGAATATGTTTTAATTGTATGAGATCATGCCAGGAGCTGTGTGTGTGTGTGTATTCTAGTGTTATTTTTAGGAGGACTGTGGCATGCTCAGTGTTACATGTTTATTTAAAAAGAAAAAAAAAGTAATTTTAGGAGTTCAACGGCTGTAAACTCTGGCAGAAAATTCTGTTTGCTCATCCACTCCTAGACTTTGTTCCAAAACTTGAGTTTTTGTATGCTCATTCATTGTATGAATATGGCTCATTTTTATGCAGACTGTTGGTTCTTCACCTTTCAGGCAGAGGCACTTCGTCTTTGAAGAAAACGCCCTAATTAGTAGCCTTTTATGACATGCTTGTTAGGGAGGCAGTGGGTCTGTTCTTTATTTCCTCCATAATTATGCTGCGAAACCCACACAGGGTGGACAAATGTGTGTTGTACTGATGGTGATTCTTTACGTGAGTCCAGGGCCGCCTTTTTTTGGGGAGGAAAAAAAAAGAATAGAGCCACGGCCCCTTAACAAGCATTGTTGTAAAAAGTGACTTCTTAGGGTTTTTGTTTGTTTGATGTTCTGGGTCGAAAGGAATGATATCGCAGGTTTCTTTAAACTACAGCACAATGTGGCAATCAGTTTTAAGGGCAGATGCAGAAGATGATGTTTATTATGCACCAAACCTAATCAGACTTTCTTATGCTGAAATATGGGCCTCTTTTGGTAAATTAAAGCAAAAAAGTATGAATACTTGCATTATATGTACTTATTTTTATAATGTCTTGTAAAAAATGAAATACTATTTTTTCTGTGTGTAAGACAATATGTTTTATAAAATTTCATAAGTTTTAAATTGAGGGGGGGGGGGGGGGGGGGGGGGGGGGGGGGGGGGGGGGGGGGGGGGGGGGGGGGGGGGGGGGGGGGGGGGTGGTAATCTCATACATTGAATATGTTAAAAATATTTATTTCTTAATTTTTAAAATAAAATGTGAGGGTGCCTTATGCACAGAAAAATACGTATTTTATTTACTTGGTGTTGATGTATGTTGCTTTTTTTGTTTTTTATTATTGTTTTCAACAGTGACATGTTTTGTGTGTGAATTTCTTCTAGGAAATGGCCAAGATTCTGTCTCATCCGAAAGTATACTCCTTTCTGCATGTTCCTGTCCAGTCAGCATCAGACAGCGTGCTCATGGATATGAAACGAGAATACTGCATTGCTGATTTTAAACATGTGGTAGACTTCTTGAGAGACAGGTAGATTGTTCTGTATGTAGGCTCTTATTTTGTATGTTCCATATATGTGATCTGAGTTGCCTACTTACCAAAACAGTGTGTCAGATATTTGTACCAGAACAGTGTCAACCAGCTGTGCCAGAACACTGTGTCATCTAGCTGTACTACAACACTGTACCAGAACTGTCAAAAAGCTGTACCAGAACAATGTGTCAACCAGCTGTACCAGAACAGTGTGTCAGTCAGTAATAAAAAAGCAGTGTGTCAATCAGCTGTACCAGAACAGAATGTCAACCAGCTGTACCAGAACAGTATGTCAGCCAAATGTATCAGCCAGCTTTGCCAGAGCATTGTGATAGCCAAAAGTACCAGACAGTGTCAGTTAGCGGTACCAAAAAAATCGGCCAGTGCAATCTTTTCCAGATACCCTGAAGCATAGACTGAGTCAGACTATACTCAATAACTCATGCAATTGCAGGCAACTAAGTTCTTTTTCTTCTTCGTCGTGTTCACCGGTTGTAAACTCTTGTGGAAAGTTCTGGTTGATCATCCACTTCTGGACTTTAGACTTGTTCCAGAACCTGAGTGTTGCATGCATATCCATTTTACAGATCCCACATCTTTATATGCAGACTATTGGTTCCTTGCCTCTTAGTCAGATGGACTCTGACTTTGAAGAAAACCCTAATTAGTCGGCTCCTGTGACATGCTTGTTGGCAAGGTAGTGGGTCCATTCTTTTCTGTTTCCCCACAATGTGGCTCCAGAACCCACACCATAAGTTGAGCTCAGTGAAGTCGAGTACCGACATCACTCACTTAGCACTGGGAATCATCATTGTGTAGCAGGTCCTTTGCAGGTCGCTCTCATCACGGTCTGCCTGAAACTTGGTCTCTTGCCAGCTCCTCCACCACGTTTACTTCCACATTCAAGGAAACACTTATATCCTGCATCCATCTTCCTGTTGGTTGGCCCAGCCTTTCCTTCCTGGTACCATGCCCCCCCCCCCCCCCCCCCATTTTTTTAAAGAATACATCTCTTTTTACAAATTCGTTTTTTAACAGCACTGTTATTTCTGCCAGTTTATGATAGACTTCTATTTTTGATTGCGTTTGTTTCCATGAAATACAACCTATCCTTCTATATCCACATCTCCAAAGTGTCATCTTATACATGGGGAGGTCTTATACATGGAAAAATACAGTACTTGTTCATTGTCCAGGTTTCTGCACCGTATTCTGTAGGGTTATGTTACCAGAATATTTGATAAATAAGTTCTCGCTCCCAATAGACCCTCAACATTAACTTTATCTGGGACCTCTGATGTGATGCTTGCTACTCTCCAGGGAGCATACCTGTCTCCACCATTCTTAACATGCTTTATGAGTCAATTACTATCATGATATTTGTGTGTAGCTGGTTCTAAAGCCAGCAGATAGCTGCTGTGACTGCCTCCACCTCCATTCTCAAATTAGATGTTGTAGTATCATGTCTGAGAAGGAACAGGAAAATGGTCAATCCATCTCACATGTTCATAGCCTAGAATGTATGTAGGTCTAATATTTCACATTCCATTGGCAGTTTCTGCTATGTGACTGCATTTACCCTTTAACACTTATATGGAACACATGATAAATTGTCATGTATTTTTTTTTTAATCAGGGTACCTAATGTGAATATAGCAACAGATCTGATATGTGGCTTTCCTACAGAAACTGATCAGGTGAATGTTTAGCTCATCTGAGCTTACTTAAACATATTTACCTATACTGATAGAATACCTTATCAGTTGAGATGAGAAGGAGAATTATCAAGAGCTATATAAATCTTATCTTTATATACAAATGTGAATCACAGACAGTAGTATGGTTAGTGATACATTATTTGAAAGTGGTGGAGTTGTGGTTTTATAGACGAATGCTAAGAATACCCTGGTCAGATAAAAAAGAGTATTAATGAAGATGTCTTGAACGAAACTGACTCACAAAGAGAAGTAATTTGCCCACATCATTCTTTGGTCATGTCAAGAGAAGGAGAAAAATGGAGTACATTGTGATGGTGGGACAGTTGGAAAGAAAATGAGGCAGAAAGAGACCAAGTGAGAAGATGCTAGACAATTTGACATCATGGCATCGAAGATTATCTGTGTCGGAACTGATTGACAGTATGTGGGACAGAAGGTTGTGGATAGACATGACTACTAACGCCACATGCCATGGACTATAATAATAAGATATATGGATAGTGTCCTGTAAACAGTGCCCTTGTGTTACTGGGATGCTCAGGGGAAGCAAAGAAAGGTAATAATGCATCCTACCAGGCATATTGTAAGAGGCGACTAAGTGGCTTGGAGCTGGCCACCAGAAATGAACAAGATTGAGGTATTATGGGCATGTAGAGCACCATGGTGGTGAACAAACTACATCCACTAAATGGCACTGAACAAACTACATCCACTAAATGGCACTGAACAAACTACATCCACTAAATGACACTGAACAAACTACATCCACTAAATGACACTGAACAAGCTACATCCACTAAATGACACTGAACAAATTACATCCACAAAATGGCACTGAACAAGCTACATCCACTAAATGACACTGAACAAGCTACATCCACTAAATGGCACTGAACAAGCTACATCCACTAAATGACACTGAACAAATTACATCCACAAAATGGCACTGAACAAGCTACATCCACTAAATGACACTGAACAAACTACATCCACTAAATGACACTGAACAAACTACATCCACTAAATGACACTGAACAAGCTACATCCACTAAATGACACTGAACAAGCTTCATCCACTAAATGGCACTGACCAAGCTACATCCACTAAATGACACTGAACAAGCTACATCCACTAAATGACACTGAACAAATTACATCCACTAAATGACACTGAACAAGCTACATCCACTAAATGGCACTGAACAAGCTACATCCACTAAATGACACTGAACAAACTACATCCACTAAATGACACTGAACAAACTACATCCACTAAATGACACTGAACAAGCTACATCCACTAAATGACACTGAACAAGCTACATCCACTAAATGACACTGAACAAGCTACATCCACTAAATGACACTGAACAAACTACATCCACTAAATGACACTGAACAAGCTGAACTGAACAAGCTACATCCACTAAATGACACTGAACAAGCTACATCCACTAAATGACACTGAACAAGCTACATCCACTAAATGACACTGTACAAACTGCATTCACTAAAGGTAAAGGTAAAGTCGGGAGATGTAAACCAGCTTCATTGCACACGGTTATAAACCATAAGTGCACTGTCACATACAAGTATGGTTAGAGAAAGATTCACTGGCAGAAAAGTGGCAGGAAAAATAGTGCCAACAAAATAAAAGTTTGTCATTTTACAGGTATTGATTGGTTTGGTATGCAGTAGGAGTGACCTGTGGACTGATGAACTTAGTGGTATATATTTATACATCTGTTATATCTGTTTGTTCCCTATGCATTTGTTATATCTGTTTGTTCCTTATACATCTTTTATATCTGTTTGTTCCTTATACATCTTTTATATCTGTTCCTTAAAATCTTTTATATCTGTTTGTTCCTTATACATCTTTTATATCTGTTTGTTCCTTATACATCTTTTATATCTGTCTGTTCCCTCATCTGTTTTGCTTAAAAAAGTGGGTTGACCACCTATAAAATAAGCATTCACCAAGAGAGATTAAGCAAATTATTTTTTTTTAACACTAATTCTGATTATCTTTTGTCTGTTCACTGTTGTGTCTATCCAGATGTTTTGTCTACAAACATTATGTCCCATTTATGTAACCTTTTTTTTTTTCTCTAAAGGATTTTGAAGAAACGATGGATCTTGTCCGACAGTACAGGTTTGCTAGCCTCTTCATCAATCAGTTTTTTCCTCGCCCAGGAACACCGGCCTTTAAAATGCAAAGGATTCCCGCTCAAGAGGTATAGCAAGACAGTTTTATAGAACAATAATACAAAGTTAGAACACAATATAATTGTATTTATAAAGTCTTGATACCCATAATTACTATAAAAGTATTTATTTTCCCAGTATGGGTTTGGATAGGGTGGAGGGGGAATGGGAGATAGGTATACTGCTCCCTAACAAGCGTCATGCCATAAAAGTGTTATAATGAAGGTTTTTGTGAAATTGAATGTGTTGGGCTGAAAAACTCATTATTTTAGCCTAGTTGTACACCACGGCACATGGTACCATCCATCTATGAGAATAAAACAAAAACTCTACAACATTCAACCTACTGCACATTGTGCACCCCCCCCCCCCCCCCCCCCCCCCCCCCCCCCCCCCCCCCCCCCCCCACCCTTTGTTTGAAAGGATAAATGAAGAAAAAGGTGGGTTTTAAATATTAAAATGTATATATTTTTTTCTATATATATTAGCGAGACCCATAAGGAAGCACAGAGTAATTAATGCTGTCGCCTAACATGCACATTGTAGGAGGTGACTCTAGAGGGTTGGATAACTCTGTGTTCCACACTTAGCTTCAGAATCCAACCAGTCATTGTCAAGCTGACAAAAGGCTTAGAGTTATTTGGTTGAAGACCTGTGCACCATTGGGAGATGAAAATTAGAAGAGCTGTATCATTTCTTACAGTATCTTGTCAGTGCAGTTCTGTCTGCTCTCGGGTGCATGATGGGGTATCACAGTGGCTAGTACAGTGACTTATCTGTGCAACAGCCTTGTAGTCTTCATTTCAATTCCTGCAGTCACCACTGGAAGCTGTAAAATATAGGACCCATTCCATGTCTTTAGGTATAGCAAAGTAAGTAAAGTAAAGATCCCTTTTCATGCCTTTCAGGCACATCGGGTATATGGGAAGAGCACCCATATTTTTCAGACCATGCATATCCATTTTACAGATCTGACATCTTTATATGCAGACTGTTGGTTCCTTGCCTCTCAGTCAGATGGACTTCGACTTTGAAGGAAACCCCTAATTAGTTGGCTCCTGTGACATGCTTGTTGGCAATCATCATTGTGTAGCAAGTCCTTTGCAGAAGGTCACTCTCATCACGGTCTGCCTGAAACTCCGTCTCTTGCCAATTCCTCCACCATAAGTGGGTAATGTGGTCAGCATTATGCCGGCCATCTTTACTTCCCCAGGACATACATCCTGGTACCCATTTCAGGTTGGGTTAACCTGTGATGGCCCATACCACAATAAAAATCCACGCAGCCAGCAGTGGGTTTTGATCGCGGTACGTTGAAATTATTAGTCAGACTTTCAGGTATAGGGCTGGACCATTGTTTTATAGACCAAACGGTACTTCGTGAGTGATGTGGTCAGCATCACGCTGGCCACCTTTATTTCACAGGAGTCTGCCTGGCACCCATTCTAGGCTGGATTGACCTTGGAGCCAAGGTCATTTTTGAATAAAAAGTTCAGTACCACCAGTGCTCACACCCGTGACCTGCCGATCCACAGATGAGCGTCCAGCCACTACAACACGGTGGTCCTTCCACTGGAAACATAGCTAAAGTGTAAATTTAGTTTGTTTGTTTATTGTGCATACAATGAAACAGTCATAGACATGGGTAACATCTCACTTGTTTTTGTTTCTTTAGGTCAAGTTACGCACAAAAGCGGTGTCAGAGTTATTTCAATCATATTTTCCATACACACACCAGGTGAGTAGTGTCGGGTATACTCAACACTGCTAGATGCTCTTTTTTTCCATGTATCATTGTTTCATTTTAATATCTTAGTGAATCTGCATGACTTAAATATTGGTCTTCTTGGTTGCTGATGGGATTCCTGGTATTCTTTGGGGAAGGGGCGGGGAGGGAGAGGGGGATTTACTCTTTCAGTTCTAGAAGATCATAGCTGATTGATGCGTGATGAAGGCAGTATTGACGACGACAAAAGCATGGGTACACTACTGACGTATCCATGACGGTTCAGATATATAGCACATTAAGGGTGACTTGTGTTGCTGGGTTGATTTAGTTTGTTGGCAGAACTGAGATGTACAGATACACAAGCTATGTAGACTAATGCTATGTGATTATTGTTCAGTGCACACGATGCATTGTTTGGGACTGAAAGCGTTAAAAGAGTAAAGTTGGTTTGTGTTATTTTAATTGTTATGTTATCATCTTTTGCTGTGTGGTAAAGACAATGATCTTTCACTGCAAACACATCCTTATGCATTTTCTTAGCAAGATCAACTGCTGATCATTTTACCTGTTGCTCAGTTATTCAGTTCAGAATTGTCTTCCTCAGCTGTATTCTATCTCTAAAACGCTCCATCATCATAGTTATCACAACCTTCATACCCTCTCATATTACGTGTTACACTTCCCCTCGCTCCCTACTCAGACCCGAACACCCCCCCCCCCCATCCCTCCATCACAATAATGATTGTTGAGGAATGAGAATTGCTTCATCATAATCAGGGTTTATATTGGTCGCGACCTGCCTGGGTCTCACAGCGGTCATTCAACGCGGTTGTCTAATGGTGACCAGGAAAACATAGATAGGATCATTTCCTTCACAGTCGCAGTGCAACTTTCTGAGAGGCATCAAACCAGTGTCTGCACACAGTAAGCTGACCCTAAATAGTGGATATGAAAGGGGCACTCGAGTCTGTGTCCTGTGGAAGTAAAGACGGCTGGTGTAATGCTGACCACATTATCCACTTAGTGCCGCTTCATCTGTAAAAATATTGGATGCTCTTCCCATATGCCCGATACGCCTAATGCGTGAAAGGGGATATTTACTTACTTTATTACTCAAGTCTTTGAACAAAGTCAAAGTCCAGACACAGATGATTAACCAGGGCTTTCTGCCATCTTTCACAGCCAGTAAACACAAGAAGAAAAACGTGAACAAACTTTATTTTCAGATGGTTAAGGATTGGGTACGCAGGCCCGGCTAACAGTCTGCCCTTCTAGTCTCCCTCCTCTCAGACATCATTTCATTCATACATGAAGTAGTAGTAAACATTATCGATAGCATAAAAATATACAATACAAGCACTAGAAGATGAATCATTTCTTCTGATATGATAATTGTCTGTGTAAATTTGCATTACTTAGATATTGGTCTTTTTAGCCACTGACTGGATTCTTACCATTCTTTGAAGAAACCACATCTTTCTAGACTCCAGTTTCTCAATTTATAGGTTAAAGATGTTGAAATTGATTTAATCGCAAAAAAAGGAGAAAAACAGATGTGTCCAAAAAAGCTGTTCAGCCAAAGTCTAAGATTGGGGTTTCTGTGGCTTAGTCATTTGCTTCACGCTTTGAAGGTTGTAGGTTTGTTTCACAGACCATATTTAGATTTTTACAAAGATGCCTGGGGATGGTTGCTGGAGCTGTAGAGTGGGATACTCTAGACAAGCAGTTAGCTTTTCTGCAGAGAGCCATACTGAACCATTTGTAAAAAAGTGGAGTTGAACCTCTCAACTTTTAAAACATTTGAAAACTTTTTAGTTTAAAATACGTGATGCATTTGTTTTCTTCTGCTGTTAGCTGGGACAGATTCAGGAGGTTCTGGTCACAGAGATATCACATGACCAACAGTTCTATGTGGGACATAACAAGTCCTATGATCAGGTATGCTTATTTTATCTCATTGTTTTTTTGTGTGGTTAAAATCGTTAGGCCAGTTTTGTTAGTTGTATTTTTTAAAGTGATTTTGTTGTTTATAATAATCTTTAGGTTAACTTTGTTGATATTCAATACAAGCACTGGAAGATGATTCACTTTTTCTGATATGATAATTGTCTGTGTAAATTTTCATTACTTTGGTATTGGTCTGTTTAGCCACTGATTAGATACTTATTATTCTTTGATTTTGTTGGTTAAAATCTTCAGATTTATTTTATTGGTTAAAATCTTTAGATAATCTTTAGATAAATTCTGTTGGTTAAAATGTTTGGATACATTTTGTTGCTTAAAATCTTTAGATAAATTTTGTTGCATAAAATCTTTAGATTAATCTTCTTCTTCTTCGCATTCACCGGCTTTAAACTCCCGTGGAAAGTTCTGGTTGCTCTTCCACTTCTGGACTCTAGTCCTGTTCCAGAAACCGAGTGTGGCATGCACATCCATTTCACAGGTCTTACTAATTTGCATGCAGACTGTTGGTTCTTTGCCTCTCAGGCAGATGTACTCCGACTTCAAAGGAAGCTCCCAATTAGTCGACTCCTATGACATGCCTTTGGGCAGGCAGTGGGTCTGTTCTTGTTCTCCCCAGAGCGAGCCCCAGGAACCCACATGGGGAGTTAGATAATTTTGTTGGTCATAATATTTAGAGTATTTTGTTAGTTAATTGAATTTAAAGGTTGGTCGAGGTAACACCGATATGCGTCTGCTTCAGGTGCTGGTCCTGATGAGAGAGGATCTGATAGGGAAGCTGGTGCGGGTGGAGATTGTGGAGACCGGAAAACACTTCATGAAGGGGAGGCTGCTTCAAGAGCATCCTCCGCAGCAGGTTGATGTTCCCTTACCTCTGTCTAGAGGCCAGGTGTCAGGTGTCAAGCTTCAGGTGTCAGATAACCAGGTGAGTTTTACACTGTTGGAATAATTATCATCATGTGCTGTCAGTAACTATGGTTGTTCATGGTTTCTTGTGTAACCAAACGGATCACAGTTTCTTATGTAACAAGGTTGATATTTCTTCCTTATGTAACAAGACTGATCTTGCTTTCTCATGTAACAAGACTGGTCATTATTTCTTATGTAACAAGGCTGATCTTTCTTCCTTATGTAACAAGGCTGATCTTTCTTCCCTATGTAACTAGACTGATTTGTTTTCCTTATGTATAAAGACTGATCTTGCTTCCTTATGTAACAAGACTGGCCATTATTTCTTATGTAACAAGGCTGATCTTTCTTCCTTATGTAACTAGACTGATTTGTTTTCCTTATGTATAAAGACTGATCTTGCTTCCTTATGTAACAAGACTGGCCATT